TCATCTGAACCGCCCCTCACAAAGGAAAAGGGTTACTTTAACTGTGAAGGATTTTTCAAGGTCCAATGATGAAAGTGTATTGGATTATCTTGATTTTTGTTTCAGCGACTTTATTGAAGGCAATGTTATTTTGCTGTGGGAGAAGTTTGTTTATATGTGTAACTATTGTTTAGATAACTTCATACCTGATCGGCGTAAATGCACGGGACGTAGGAAGCCTTGGATAAACCGCGAAATAATTCACCTTTCCCGTCGCATCAAAAGGTTTAAAAGAGCTCGCAAAACTGGAAGCGTACAAGGTTTACAGGATGAAATGACAAGGCAGGTCAAGGAAGCTAGAAACAAATATTTTTCGTGCACTCTTCTTACCTTCTTGAAACATGATCCTGCAAAATTTTGGAATTATCTTTCAGAGAGTACAAAGCCTGTCGACCAGATAAAGGTTAACGACGTGGCTGTCACTGATAAGAAACAAATTGCTGAAGAGTTCAATTTATATTTCCAATCTGTGTTTTCTGATTTAGATACGTACACCCCCGTTGCTACTAATACCCCACTGAACCCCGATTTTATCTCGTTTCGCGGTGTGTTTGTTATGTTACTAAACTTGAAAACTAAGTCTAGTTGTGGGCCTGATAAAATCCCAAACGCCTTCCTGCGTAGATATGCAGAATCGCTTGCACGTTTTCTTACTGTCATTTTTCGCGCTTCATTTAGTTCTTGTGTGCTGCCTAGTGACTGGCGAACCGCACGTGTCGTTCCCATTCATAAAAAGGGTGATCGTTCAGAAGTCAGTAATTATCGTCCTATTTCTATTACGAGTACATCGTGCAAACTTATGGAGCATATTGTGAGTAATTATGTTCGAGATTTTTTAGAAGAAAGAAACTTGCTTACACCATTTCAGCACGGGTTCCGAAGGGGTTTATCTACCATTACGCAACTTGTCACCACAGTTCATGATTTTGCCGCTACTTGAGACAGATCTGGTCAGGTCGATGTTATTTTTTTGGACTTTAGCAAGGCCTTTGATAAAGTTCCACACGGCAAACTTCTGTATAAATTAGAGTGTCTTGGAATACCGTCCGAGATTGTCAATTGGATAGGTTCGTACTTGTCTGATCGCAGCCAGTTTGTCGACATTGCTGGTCATGCTTCCGGTATTCTGGGTGTTTCCTCAGGTGTTCCTCAGGGCAGTGTGCTTGGCCCGTTGTTGTTTTTAATTTATATAAATGATATCATCTCAGTTGTTCGCCCAGATGTAAATATTCGTTTATTCGCTGATGATTGTATTTTGTTCAAAAGGATATCCACAGTTGCCGACCAAATATCACTGAATTCTTCCCTTGCCTCTATCTGCAATTGGTGCCGCACATGGCAAATGCAGCTAAATTTTACGAAAACAGTTCATTTACGTATAACAAGAAAAGTAAAGCCACTGAAGTTCTCTTATCAATTAAACAATGATGTAATATCTGATGTGACTGAATACAAACATCTCGGCGTAACCATATCTCACGATCTCCGTTGGTCACAACACATTCAAAATATCTGTTCCTCCGCTTCTCGAAAATTGGGCTTGTTACGTCGAAAACTTAGAAGCGCTGCCCCTTCCGTTAAATCACAAGCATATAACTCCTTGGTCCGACCGAAGTTAGAATATGCTGGCATAGTATGGGACCCGAATACCAAAAAGGATGCGTCACAGCTTGAGATGGTTCAGAGGAGAGCTATTCGCTTCATCTATGGAAAGTATAATCGGCTAGATTCCCCATCTTCATTGATGATAGCAAACAATATATCATCACTCCAGCATCGTCGAAAAATTGCGCGACTAAAATTTTTGTATTTGCTTTATAATAACAGACTCCGCATTGAATCAAGTCTATATTTATCCCCATCATTATCTAGGGAAACTAGGCACCATCATCAGTATTCCCTGGTAGCAATATTCGCTCGAACTAACATTTTTAAGTATTCCTTTTTTCCACGCACTATTACGGATTGGAACGCCCTCCCTCGTGACATCTTTTTTGCCCCCGACTTCAATGTTGCTCTTGAGAGTCACAACTTTTGATTGTTCTCCTTTCCTTCTGTTTGTACGTGCATTTCTTTTTAATTTTTTTATTGTATATTAGGCATTGATTATGGAATGTTTATTATGCTGATGGCGTTCATAAGTATTTATGTCGTTGTATAAGTAATAGATAAGGTTGCCATGTGTTTCTTGTTTCTCATATGTATAGTTTTGTTGCTTGTATGTACCCCACACCTGCAGGGGCCTGTTCAAGGCCTGCAGTATGTCTAAATAAATAAAATAAATAAATAAATAAATAAACCTATTTAGACTTCCTCGGTATCCCTATTTTATGACGCATTGCAGTTACGACACGTTTGACGTGAGTAAACTTTGCGGAACGTTTACCGCCCCGTTGTGGTGTTCCGGCCCTTAGTGTATTAAAGTTTTTTATGCGGCCCACTTCCCGAGACGAGATTAAGACCACTGTCCCAGAGGGGTGGCAACGATGACCACCAGACGTACGGCCATGACGAGACATCACCCGAGTGCTGCTGTACAACCAATTAACCGCAGCTCCACCGCTATGTGACGTCACGAGGGTGCTGCCCCAGTGTTCCTCGACGAAACGCAAACCCGCCTGCCACCCGCTGAACAGCCTCTGGTCGCATTTTTAAAATCGGTTTCAGTGGAGAATGCGGCTTCACTTTGACGAAATATTTCGGCTGCGATCATTATTTGTGTTGCTAAAGCGTTTTGTTTTCGCTTTCGACGAGAGTTACCTTTTAAAGGGGACCTGCAATCATATCCAAGCGCCTACCTTTTTTGCGGTTTCTAAGTCTCTTGGGGTTTGGGCAAGCCAGCGGGCACATTGAGAGTAACTAAATATCAGTGCGTCATATTTTAACAGGACGACGCGGAAACCTCCTCCACCTACGGAAGCGACCCGCGGTGACGAAAGCATACAATATGTGACATCGTGACGTTTTAGGTCCTGGCCTTTCTACAGGTCAGAGCTGCTAAAAGCCTGTTTTTTGTCAAAATACAAAATATAAGTGGCACGAGCCGTTTCAATTATTTATAAAAGTAGTTCTTGTTCAGTGTTTTAGATCAGAAAAGAAACAAATGCAGTTCAGAAAGTATAGAAACAAGAAATGACCGGTCGACATACCCGCCACCAAGCGGTGGAAAAAGTGGCGCATACAAGAAAGGGGTGGGATGAGGCACTGACGAGCGTTGAGCGTAGAAAGGTCCCGGATGTACGCGGCGGCGCTGCAGTCGTATACGGGCTCGAGGATCCGAGCGTTCCAAAGGCCTTCGGCGAGCAGCTTTGGCTTGTGGTTTGGCCATTTGGCGGTATGGCAGAGCGAAGTGGCTCCCGTTCTGAACTGATCTTTACCTCGTGTTTGCTGCCGTTTGTGGCCAATGAAGTGTCATGCCGAATTAGTCTTTAATCGTGCAGCAAATGCAATGCGAGCCGCCCTGGCCGCCCGCTTTATCCAGCCTCTCCAGAACATGCTTTAGTGGCACCCTCTTGAGCTGTCGACACGGAGTGCGGCAGCCGTGAGCGCTCTCCGAGCTCACTACTCCTCCGTTCATGGCCACCAAAGCCAGGACCAAGGACGTCATGAAGGAGGTTATTTTTTGCTTGTTTTTGTCATTTTAATTTGCCTATAACTTTTATAATAAAGCAAAATTCGAGAAAAGTTTTAATTTACTATGTTCAGTGCGTTCAGGTTTGGTGCAAATTAAAAACTAGTAAAAGAAGTCCTTGCAGGGCCCCTTTAAGCTACTTAAAGTAGGTTTAGAAAACTTGTGGTTTATTTAAGTACACTCTGCGAGAATGTGATTCTACCTCACTTATTTTTGGCGGCACTTTCCGAGGAAAGTAAAACTCGTAACTTTGCGGTACATTCCCATAATGTAGTCTCGTTAAATTTGTGTCAGAAAATGATGCTTTGTCACCTCCGAAGAAATACTGGGAGGGATATCCTACTCTCACCAGAAACGCGAGCAGACGGCACACTGCTTCGTTTGTACTGGGAGAGGATTAGGAGAGGACACTCCTCCACGAGAGGATGGCTTGCGGAAGCTTTGGAGCCGACGTTGTGCTCCCTTCCGGTATGTTTCACCCCCTCGGGCGTAGGCCGGTGCAAGCGGTGCCAAATTCACAATCTGAGGGACTTCTGAATTCGGCGCCATTTCCCCAAGATAACTAGTACTCCGAGGTCGCTACACTTCACCCAATATTCGCCGCCATTTTCTAAAATAACCGACGCGCCCCCGATTACCCCTGGGGCAATGCATACCACGAAAGAGTGTTAAAAAGTGCTTATACCTCACTTTGAAAGAGCATTGTATTCCGAGTACATTGTGCCTGGTGTCTTTACTACTTTACTCGAAATACGCAACCTCTCATTTACTTTGTACTTTACTCCGAGTACTTTTTAGCAATACTTTATCCAACACCGGATGTAACAGAGTGATTACACTTAATGGGGTAAAATGTTTGCTGCATCCCAATGTTGATTCCCCAGATTCATTTTATGACACGAAAAATATTTGGGAAGGGGTGTACCACAGTCCAACCAAAATCAATTGAGCCACAAAATAAGGCTGCCAGATCTTATTGCGGAGCATACGCACCGCTTTGGTACGGTGTAGTATTCAGCCTGTGGCAGCCAACCACACCAAAGAAGAAATCCACCTTTTTCCCACACTCTCAACAGCCGAAGCTATAATTCGTTGCTGCTAATCGAGCAACCCCAAAAGTGCATCACCGACTAAACTGCACAAAAAAGCGCGGGATCACGCTGCCTTCAATCTGCGCGACCGGTCCGGTCGGAGATACCGAGCGCACAAAGACGACGCACTCTTGCTCGATTGGCTTCATCGGATTGCAGCGTTGGCTGCGATCAGACCCTACGGAGTAGAGGAGCCGACCACGCGGCACGTAACAGACATCTCACCGCCTTTGTTGCAGGAGGACCGCCGAGTGCTCTTCAAGGGAGACGAGCAGCTGGGCTGGACGCAGCCCCTGCAGGCGGTGCGGACCACCTGGGGAGAGGTGTGCCTGTTCCCCGGTGGCACCGACTGGGCCACCTGCCGCCGGGTGGCCATGCAGTGTGCTCGCCACCTCCGATGGCAGTGCACCCTGCGGCCACCCTGACGCTCCCACGGGCGCCGGCTCACGAAGCAGTTCGCAATAAAGGAGACGATTAGCGTTTGCGGGGATTCGAACGCCGTACCGAGTGAAGAACCCAAAAGGGACGTAGCATTTGGAAATGGTTGTAATGGTACGGGCAATGGAGTACAGTTGCGTCTCGTTACTATACGAACATCTCCATTCGGCCAAAAAGTCGCCCAGGGTGCGAGGTGTCCGAAATAAGAAGACAAAAATGCGCGCAGTCGCCCAGTTCGTCTCCGAAACTTTGGTCTATCCGGCGGGGTACTTGAAGTTGTCTCGGACAGCCCAAGCTCGTGCCACAAAAATCTCTGCAACGATTGGCCCTTTCCTCCTCTCCAGTGTTCGCCCTGCTAAAATGGAAAGAGGCTTTCTGGAAGGAGTTTGTCCCGCCACTCCTAACCTACAATCAAAACCAGCAAATTCTCTCTTCGGTTTTGAAAAAAAAAAATATATATTCTTTATTTCAACTTCCAAGGACCGACTAGACGCTTGCCAGATCAAAGCCTTCAAGCGTTCAAAGCAAGCGAGAAAAAAAAAAAAGAAAGAGTCCCACAACACTGCAGTCAGCATTGCACATTTCTCTCGTAATGGCGTTTGCAGCACCTCAAACCTACCGCACTGCCGCAAAATACTGAGCATCCATCCATTCCACAATAAGTGCCCACCCCTCAGTTTTCAACATTTGGAAAATACGCAAAAAAAACAGATTTTTACACACTGTTGACCTAAGCAGCACCCAACCCCCAGTTTTAGACGACCATCTTCTAATGTTTAGTGGGCGCTTGCTCGGGATTTGACGGTGGTCTGAACATGGCACACTCTCCACTGATGAGAACCAACAAAGAATAATGACACCCTTTTGCCATTTAAAAAGCAAGCAGATAACCTGGAGGAATCCTGGGACACTAACCTCATCCCAATTGCCACTTATATTGAGGAACCTCACTGAAAAAAACGAAAAATAAAAACAGAGACTGCAGTGGTGCAAGGACATAATGTTCCCAAAGTTAAGGTTCGTTCACACACTTGCGTTTACTTATCACGGCACCACCTATGAGGTGATTTCGAAACTGTATAGCACCAGCGTGAGGGTTTTGTGATATTTGTGATCAAATATATGCCCCATGTACGAAATGGCGTAACGGTCGCGTCCGCCCACACGTTAGTCGGCCATTGCAGAATTCTTTTCGGTGAGCAAGCTGCGAAACGTACGTTGAAATTGCTCGTTGATGGCTATGCTCTTGAGGCGGTCTATGGCCCAGGGAATTCCCGTCACCATGAGTCGCAAGAAGTGCTCTCCGAAGCCGTCCTCGTACTCGCCGAGCTGAACGTCCTCCACCTGCGTCAGGCCGCAGAGCATCGACCGGAACTTGCACAAGTTCCGCATGACCGCCATGTAGAAGTCGTGGTCCCCGCTCTGCACGAGGACCACCTGTGTTTGGATCGGTCCCGCGGGCAGGACCGCCGTTCCGAGGTCCACCTCCTTGCCGGAGCGGTGGTACAAGAGCCGCTGGAGCGTGTGCTGTGCCAGGTTGCCGAGGCAGTCTCTCTGCTTGGCCACGTGTAGGCTGTCTCTGCTCCTCGCAGCTTTCCTCCCGTCTTTGTGACAGACACGACTCAAGTCCTTGAGACAGGAGATAAGGAGCACGCTCGGCCGGTGCCTCACCCGCTCCTTGCCGTACCGCTTCTCCAGGTCCGCCATCGCCCTCTCCAGACTCTCCTTAGCGAGACGTGTGTAGTCCGCCAGCCGCTCGTCGCTCGGCGTGCTCGAGTCCATGCGGGTCAGCGTCTTCTCATTGCCCTTGAGCCACTGGCGCAGCAGCACCAGCGCGTTGTTTAGGAGCGCCACCTCGAATGGCACTGCCTTCTGGTCGTTGCGGGGAAGTAGCCTCTCGGCCAGCCGGTCTCGTACCGTCCCCCTGCCGTGGTACCCATCCACCGGCAGCGCGGGGGCATCGCGGAGCACACTCAGAAGCACGTCCGAGACCGCCCACGCAAACCCGCTGCACCCGCCGGTCTGCCCCTCGTAGCTGACTTCGTACCACGCGGACGCCTTGCGCTTTGCGGCGCGGAAGTCAAAGTCCCCGCCCAGCCCCTCGAAGAACACAGCGCGCGTGCGTTCCATCAGGTGCTGAATTTGGCTCTCTAGAACCAGCGCCACGTCGGTGGGGTCGTGCTTCGTCTTCACGTGCTTGTCCATCGAGAGCACCGCGCCCGACAGCGCCTCCGCTTCCGAGCTTACCCCATAGCTAGTTAAAATGGAACAGAGCGCCAGTTTGTACTCGCGTAGTGCCTCCCGTGCCCCCTCGACAAACTCCTCCCGCCCCGGGACCAGCAGACGGCGGTCCGGACGCACGTCCCCGACGGGGCCCGCGCTGTCCGCGACCATGCCCTTCAGGTTGCGGTAGAGCAGGCCGAGCGCCCGCTTCGACGGGTACGTGTACTTCTCCGCGTGCTTCTCCATGAAGTCCGGGTAGCGCGGGGGCTTCTCGGACTGGGCGAGGCGCGTCGAACTTCCCGTCTTGGCGAAGTCCACGCACTCGGAGCACTTTTTGGCAAGGACGAGGCAGCGCTGGGACTTGACTCCCTGCTTGAGCAGGTCGGCCCACGCCAGGTGCGCGCTGCCCATCAGGCCCACGATGTCGTTCACGATGTAGGTGCACATGAAGTCCACCATGTCTTCCACCTGTCGAAAGGTTGGGGGCCTTTGGACAAGCACGTGGAGCAATGCCGGGCCCATTCGAATTACCCGCACCTCCCGCAGCCGCCAGACTATGCATACGCCGCCGTCTTTCATTTAGAGTGTGGTCTATTTTAGAGCACGGACGACGAGTCACTGCCCTGCGCCATTCTGCACCGTGCAACGCTCTTCCTCACCGGTGTAGGTTGGTGCAGGTAAGACGATTGAACCCATTGTTAACATAATCACCGGTTGCGACTGTATTTTTTTTTAGGATTGAAAGGCTCTGATTAGAGCTACTAGTGCAGAGGAAAGTGCACATTCAAGGCACTAACCTAAGCAGTAAAATTTAGTGGCCGCCAAGAGCCCTTTGCACTAAAATGCAAAAACGGACCGACGTCATGTTTGCGGTAACAGTGTTGCACAGTGTACTACACTATTGGCACACTAGTGTTTGCCCATTTTCCCCTACTAAAGCATGTCGCCGAACAGTCTCATCATAAAAAAAACGGAAATCGCTTCGGATTCTCTTGACACGAAAAACGTCTCCCCCCACTTCGTCATGCCCTGAAGCGCGTCTCTCCTTAATTTAGAAACAACTTATCAATTTCACTATCAGTTGCAATCGAATCATTCGCAACTTTCCAGCTTCCGGAGTGATGGCACTTGGCTTTTAGAAGACACGCACACCTTAAGTGATTCCGACTTTGACCACCGAGACAGCATACAGAAAGTTAAGTTCAACCGATGTCCGTCTATTGGCTGCACCATTGAGCGGCAACAACGTGGAAATGGGAACTTTTGACTATTCTGAGAATGGCCAAGGACCCCAACTCAAACATACAGCAGAGAAGACTTCAACCCTTACCTGAACAGTGCCTTCCTTCTCCACGGCCTCGCTGCTGTAGAAGTCCATGGGATCGTCGTTCCTCTTAAAAAGCAGCGGCTCGTACCAGATCACCGAATACTCGTCCCCATCCAAGTCCGAGCCTGCGAACGGAAGACCCATTCGTAGGAGTCGTATGGCCTTGGGTCACGTGACCAAGTGGTACGGCGTCAAAGTCACGCGATCGTGTCCATGGATGACACCACGACATCCCGTAATCAAACGTCACAAATGCATGCTCCGTCCGCGACATCCCAACTCTTTTCAAGGCAAAAAGAAACCCCAAAAAACTGCTCATTTTTGTAAAAGATATTTGTTGCCCACCCCAAGTTTTCCACATCTTCTCTCCTCACCATGGGCTGGCATTTGTTTGGCACTTTACGACGTATAAACGAACGAGTGTCACCTTTTCCACATTCTCGCCAGAGTTGGATATTTTCACAATTACAACCGCCACTTCGGCTGGGCGATTTTTCGCGACTTCACGGCGTGCCCCAAACTAACGCCAGACCTTTGCGCCTCGAGAACGAGAGGACGCCTGATTTGCTACTTTTGGAAAGCGGGGCTCACCGGCCATCTCGTCGGGATGCGGCCTCTTTCCGATCTGCGGAAACACCACGCAGTCTCGGATGTGACTCAGGGCCGGAACGTCCACCGCTTCCAGCAGACGGATGTCGCCGGGGTGGATGCACGGGTTCTTCGTGACCATCACCCTGCCTGCGCGGAGACGAAACGTTGTACACAACCTGTACTTGAAGCAGACGACGCACGGGCGATTCGCTGAGCGGTGAACATTTTCGTAATCGAGTCAATCTTATGAGACCATCCGACAAAACACATCGAGCCACAGACTACGCTCGGCTGTTGGCTAAAGAGCCGTAGATCGACGAGATGGTCCCCAAACATTTTCAGCGCACAACTCCATAGATAAACCGGCGATACAAAGCTAAATAAAAGATGTTGAACGGCCAAAGTTACAATTGAAACGGCTTCCCATATCATTCAGAAACCTCAAAAACTGAGAACAATGGGCACAGCTTGCCGTAAGCACATCGACAACTCGAGCCGGCAAAAACAAATCAAATAAACTTTTAGAATAAGTGCCACGCCACGAGGCTCAAACGCGCGAGTGCTTTTATCTCGAAATCGATTTGTTACGAAAACGTATGAAATTCCCTTTTTGCTTCAATTTGGTACATCGGTGCCCCACTTTGGCAGACGAGTCTCGACAATGCTGAAGAGTAGTATGGGCCAAACTTCTGCTAAATCGAAAATTCGGCGCCAAAACTTGGAATTCGGCGGAGCCGAATTTCGCCAAACGTTTTTAAAGATTCAGCAAAGATTCAGCAAAAATACATTCTTGCCAGACCTAAGAGTTGATATGCCGTTTTTTCGTGTAAAAAAAAGTTCCTAGGTTTTTACTTTTAAAGCATATAAATGCATTTTAACTTATTAAGGTTTCTACGAGATAATTGTATCGGTGTCATTTCTGTGTCTTCACTGGTAATTTTTGTGACTTCTTGCAGAAGTGCTTTGACAACAGGGTTGGGCAGTGGCGACCACACTCAGCGCAATCACGTTACGCGAGTTTTGGTTTTGAGGCCTCATCAAACCAAACTTTTTTTGCGAGTCACCTTTTCGTGCGCAAAAATGAATGCAACAGCTGCTGAGCCTTCACTAGAAGGGATAACAATACTATCGTCAACATGCACGTTTATCTATTTGAGTCACTTCAGCTTTGCATGAAGTGTGCGTCCCACATTTGCAACGTCTCGTTTTTAACCTTTAAAATGCCGGTTTCTGATGCTAGGACAGACCGGACGTTTAGGAAGATGAAGAGAGTTAGGAATGTCGGATGTGAAACGGTCAAGCATGTATGTTGCGTTCAGTTTTATGCGCATGGTGAAAATTGCGAAATAACGCTAACTGAAAAGCTATATAGTATTTTGTCTTGGCACAAACTACTCGTGAGCCGAAAACAGTATTGTTATAATGGCGAAATGTGCTTTAAAGTACTTGTCAGTTAGTGTTGCAACTACCTCATTGCATAACTGGAAAGATCAAATGAAAACCACTATCCCCAATATACCGCATCACGTGTCACTTGCGCAGTGGACTGTGCCGTTTTTGTATCAACTTGTGGTTGATCTTCTGTTCTCGAGGCCATAACCACTGGTACACTGTACGATAGTGACCGCACGACTTGGCCCCGTCGTATTCACTACTTGGTCCCGTCGTATTTTTGCGTGTGCACAGACACTTGCCGAATTTTCGCCGAACTTTGCCACATCTGAAGTTTGGAAGATTCAATCCATCACCAGTAAAGAGGTCCATGTGCATGCACCACACATGGAACTTGGTCCAAGGCAAGCTCCCCAAAGTCGGCGACTCACCCGTGAGAACCTGGGATTCGTCATCTGGCCCAAAGCGGTCGAGGTCGGTCGAGTAGCGGACGTACACTTGTCCGTACTGCAGGGTTGCTGTCTCGTCCAGGACGCCGAACATGGTCCGTCCGAATCTGGGAGGCACCAGGATGTTCATCTTGTCCTTCAGGTCCTCTGCTCGGACGAGACGCGAGAAAATGTGCTCGAGCCGGCTTCACACGGAGCGAGTCTTCCCACTGGATCTACGTTATAGCGGCGGTACGCGTTGCCTACCGAAGTCAAGCGCAAGAAGAGATTGGATGCGAAAGTGCTGCGCCGGTGTTTGGCTGGGACTTGTGTTCAGTCGGCCAAGTTCCAGCCCAACGCTGCACTCGAGCAATGCTCTTCCGCTACAATTACAGCAGGCGTTCTCAAAGTTTTTCAATCTTGAGAAACCCTGACCTGCCTCGACTGATAGCGGACGAACCTCTCCCGGCCTTGTCACCGACACAGTAAAGCAGTCGAGAAGCCTACAGAGCTTACGAGCAATAATGAACGCACTTCGGAGTGTTTAACCCACAGTTATGCATCCACAAGTGACTCGGGTGTTCCCCCGCTCGTCACCCCCCACGACACCCCCCGGAGCACTACACCCAGGGCAGTCCCACCCCTTGTTACACCACTGGGGTAATGTTTACCGCTCTGTTCCTAGGAACGTTTTCCCGAGTGCCCTACAGGTACCCCAAGCTATCGAATTGTTTTGGGTGTCTCTGCCCCCGAGTAAAATGGCCTTTTTTTAGGCATTATTTGAGAAGATGGAGTCACCCACTGATACAGTACTATGGGCCAATCACCCTCTCAAAGCGTATTATTGTTGAGAGGGCCAGTAGGCTTCTGTAGTGCCTTACTGTATCAACTTCGTGACTGGGAAGGGTTTCTCGGCAATTAGTTGAAAGAGAAATGTTTCAGAACTCGCAATTTGCAGGATTGCATTACATATAAAGCGCTCTGCGTTAAAAATGACTCACGATTTTTGTAAACCCGTCTCCATTGGGCGGGCAAACGACCACACGGATTTCGTACACTCATATCTAAACGAGACTATGAAAGGACTAATAGGCCCTTTCCGAAACCCCATCGAGCAACTATGGTGATCGCCGTTTCTGGGGCACGAAACATGAGACTGGATTCGAGGCCTCGCCAACGCAGCATTTGTTTTCAATACGAGCCGAGCCAAGTTCACGCCGAAGTAGCCTTCGTGTCCAATGCACGCCCAGGGAACGTGCCCAAGCAACAGTGCCCCCGAGCAATTGGCGCAGCAGCCGCTAGATGGCGCGCACCTTCGAAAAGGGCCTATGGGCAGTGGAAGAGCACGCACTTAGACAGCGGTGGTGTAGGGCCCAGAGCAGCGAACGGAAGAAGGGCTCGGCGTGCAAGTCCAGCCCGGCCTCGGCCAGTTCGCGGTAGGGCATCCGCAGACTGCTCTCCGACTGAAGCAGGGCGGCGGTGCCTTTGTCGTTGAACAGGCTGTCCAGGTACGGCTCCAGGCAGTCCTGCTGCATCCTCATGAAGACGCCGTCTTCGATGTCCTGGACCCCACTGCGCGTCATCTTCTGGGACAGGATTGTGATCATAGGCCGGTTCAGCTTCACCACCCCTGCAGAGTTTCACCCATCGCAATCACCGTCCAGTCCCGCGTGAAATCCCACCCCTTTTGAACAGGTCAAACAGGCTCAATATATTTTTATCCTACAAGTAAAGATAGAGAATGTGTTTCGCGTCATTCTTTGGCGTTTGTGGTGGACATTGTTTTTCATTTTTTTATATTTCTTTGGTTGTAGCAGGTTTTGTTCCAAACAGTCCTTTTTTATGCGAAGGCAGGCATGCCTCGAATTTCTCGTCTTCCCATAAACTGTTGAATGCGTCTGCCAGCTCATCGTCACAGTGGTAAAATGTCGAGCTCGCCATCATGGGGTCGCCGTCGGTTCGATTCCTGTCGGGGGACGTTTGGAATTCTATTCTTCTTTCTCAATATACCCCACTTTTGTACAGATTTTCCTCTAAAGTATGTTTCGTAACGATTTCCGTGGCGTTTCGTCACACTTTCCTCAGGGATCTCATTGAGCACACTTTGTGGTTGGGCGATCTTTAAAAATGATACGGCAGTTCATTAAAACAAAATTGACCGACAAACACCGCAGCACTTGCAACCAAACGCACGACATGAGAATTGACGCCGCAGGTCACGGACACAACAAACTTGGGCTCTGCGGTGTAACAAAATATGTGGGCACCTACTACGAACTCGCGTGTTGCAGGAACTGGTACCGCACCCGCAGATCACGGACACGACAAACTCGGGATCTATGGCCCGATAAGCTCGCGAGAACCTGCTACAAGCTCGCTCATATTGATACCGCAGATCGCGCAGTTATTGCGATTTTCGTCGGACATGGCCCGATGTGGGACGGGAATCGGGGGAGGGCGACTTTTTTTAATGTTTGGCCTATGGATATTGAACGAATTTATTGGGATGGCCAATCTCTCGGGGGAGGGAGTTCATTCGGGATTTTAGAAAACACCCCATTTCACCCGACCCCTGATTGCGGGGAATGCCACCAGCCATCCCAGCCCATCCAGCGCTCGTCGCTGCACCTGTCCCAAGGATCATGTGACACTAGCGTGACATAACATCGGCTTCGAATAGCTTGCTAGCGCCCTGCGAGTAGGAAAGTTTAGGAGTGCCATGCAAAAGCACCACATGCCTGCCCTTTTATGCGAGAGATCCGCTGCATCCTGCCTTTTTAAATCCCATTTGTCTTTAAAACAATCGCCCCATTGCTAAATGTCCCAGTCGTAAGCTTCTTGAGGAACACTGAAGCGAACTTTGTGGTTTGATTTCACAATCGGAACACCTAGCAGGGGCACGATCCAGTTCTGGTACAAATGACTGCTTGTCCTATGGGTCAATTAAACAATCGAAACTAGTGGGAGAAAAAAAATAAATGCACGCACAATTTTGTCGTTAGTACCTGCGCCTATTGCAGGCGTCGGTGGAACTGGCGGGACAGTAGCGCCGGGTCTTTTGTGGTGAAATATCTTCCGAGAAAACCAGCCGCACTTTCGGTCCTGTGCGGTATGGGCAATGAAGCTCGGTTCCATCGATAGCATCAGCTTACGCGGAATTTCGGCAACCCTGAAAAGGCCCGTGGCCACGATCGCTGGACTCGACTTGGAGCGTCCGAGCGTCCCACCAAACTGCCACGCACTGTTTGTGCCCAATGGGTCGGTGACACAGTCTTCCCAATGTCACCCTTTCCGGCCGCCAGCCGCGCCGACTAGGAGCCGACAGAAGTGTTCACTGCCTCGGGACTAGGCAAGATTCGAAACGTCTTGACCGAGTACCTTGAACTGCCTACGGCGTCCCTTTCGACGATGGCTGGCAGATGTTTTCCAGAAGCCCAAATTAATCGACGATGCTATGCCCAACTGACAGCGGTTGGGCGGCAGCAAAAAGCGCGTGGCAACCGCACAAGCGAACTCACGCGGTCTGCTGGTCTTGAGGATAAAGAGCTCTTCGCTCTGCGAGGGGTACTTGAACATGCTGTCGCGGAACACAATCTGGTCCCCCTCGAGCGTCGGGTCAAGCACCAGCATGCCTTTGCAGCCGCCGTAGCGAATCTGGATGGCGCTCGGCTTGCCTTCTGCAGGAAGCGCCGCGTGCACCTGCGAACAAAGCGGCACCCCCTTTACCGGCACAAGTAAAGGACGGTGACGGCACCAAACGCAGGCACGCGTCGTCCGCTCGCTGTCTCGTGACTGCATCTACACACCCAGCTTAAGTGTGTGGGGTCTGCTTCATCTAGTGCAAGCAACAGCTATAAAGTCATGGTCATAAAGACAGTATGCAGTAGTCCATACCAGATGCAAAAGTTTCAGCACTAATTGATTTCCTAGTCAAAAGTTAAGGGGTAATTTTCTGCAATTTTCAATGGGAAAATGGTGGCAGATGGACCTTTACAGCACCGGTTACCAAAAATGGGCAAAAATGGGCCCCGTTTTTCCGCTGAAAAATGAAGAAAATCCCCTCCAACTTTTGAATAAGGTAACGGTTGGCGCTGCAACTTGGGTATTTGGTTCTGACCTCTAGCATTACATTTGGGTGGAGCAAGAGCATTCAAAAATGCACACTAGTTTATTTTTATGGTTAAAGAGCACTGTAAACATCATTATGGGACACACTGTATGGGGTGCTTAGAGTCCCGGTCGACAACGGCCAGAATTCCTCCTAGGACAAAGGTTTCCGCCTGCGCGACGCCATTGCCGGTTCTCGGGCACGGCACGGAAAGAAACAAGACCCATGCGCACCACAGTACGGGAACAGAGGAATGGCGAAATGTCAAACAAAGAAGTTGTCGGGTTCGTTCATTTACTGCCATTCGTACGTGGCTTAAGAGACCCTAAGGGTAGCGTCCAGCCTCCAGTCGCATAGGGCCAGTTGAAATGGTGCCTTTAAGCATTTGCTGGAGTAGCCGAGAGTGACTCTTAGTCATGCGTCTATCGTAAAAACGCTTAAAAATCAAGAAGCAAACACATTGCTCGCCTGTACACGGTCGGTACACAGCACGCACAGCGTGAAGGCAAGAGAAAGTGCTCCCTGCCCGGAGAACGTATAAACCGATCAATGTTTGGCGAAATTTTGAACATACATCCCGGGAAATCGTATCATCCAGAAACGTATGTACCGGTCGTAACTCCGTGGGACATTTTTCAAGCCCTGGATCGTGAATGTACGAGATGGAAAATCGTACAAACCGAGATCTTATCAAAGAGGTTCTACCGTATATCCTAGAAGCGGAACAATCCTTACTTTGTTATTATTGGGAGCTCAGGAGGCACAAAAGACAAAGCTAACACAAAAGGATGTCGTTACACACTCCATTTTGTTTTCCCGCTGCCTTCCCTATGCTCCCAAATCACTAAATGGCAAACGCACGTCAACTTCGTCTTTAATTCCTGGATAATCTCGCGCAGAGGAGACTGTGGTGGTGCCCCACATTTCTGAAAGAGTCTATTGTTGCAGGCGGTGTCGCCTCTTTGCTCCCCGAACACTCACCCGTGCCAGCACGGACGGGGAGATGCGGCCGACGCCGTCCGAGAAATTGTACTTGATGCCCGGCTTCCTCCCCTTCAGCAGGATGTCCCGGTCGACGCGGGTGCACGCCTGGGGAACCGTGACGTAGCCCATCGACTGCGAAAAGGCCTGCCCCAGACGCGCCATGTACTTGGACGGGACGCGGATTGACGAGAGGTCGCCTATGGCGGCCCGCACGTCGTCTGCCGTGAAGCCGTTGGCGTCCCGGGAGTAGAACCAGACTCCGTGGCTCCGCAGCTGGCTCGTCGAAGACGCCAGGAACTCGTACTTGCGTCCGCCTGCGCAACCGGTCGTCTCTTTTATCGATTTGCCACTCGCCAGGGCCGTCACCTAGTCGCGTTAAACTTACATCCTGCTTATGATTCGTCAATTCAAACATGCTTTTAAATTATTTTTATTTTGCGCCAAAGGCCGAGACAATGAGAGTAAGAAGGCACTGTGGACTTTCAAACTGCTATATAGATGGCTATAGCAGTATGGCTCCCAATGTGGGGTACCTAAAGTAGAAAGAAAGAGAAAATAATTGGTGTTTTTGAAAAGACTGGCTATCTAAAGTATGTCAGGCGGTAGTGATAAAATGTCAACTCGCGCTAGTGCAAAGTCCCCTCATGCCGAAACCGAGAGGAGCAAGATTTAAACTTACAATCACGACGAAATCGTTTTGCAGAACAAGCTGCCGCACTGCGGTGCGCTAACAAAGAAATGTCTGTTTCACCGTAGCTTCGTAAACCGCGAAATCTAAAGCTCGAGCAGGCCAATCGGAGCATTAAAGCGGGGCACATGTGACGACATACTGTAGGAGTGCACTCCTCCTGTGGAGAGCCGACAGACGACGAAGCATAGTTGGAGGGACAGTACCCTGCAGAGGGAATGCCAGTACTTCGCAGGAGTGACATTCTTCCGCAGGAGTAACGTCGCTCCTCCTGCGGAGCGCTAGCAAGGGCTTTGCCTTGTCGCACCGATTGACTCGACTGGGATGTAGCGTCTGCTCTTTGCCAAGGGCTGGTGCACACACGTGCGACTGCTTATGACCATGTGCCTAAGGGGCACTGACACCCCAAAGGTCCTTTCTTTTTTTGTTGTCATAAATTATATGCAGGTTATAGTCAGAGACACGGAAAGAAACACAACGCAAAACAAATTTACCCGCGCATGCGATCGCCTTTTTATTTTTGGCGCTGTTCTCACAGCCTAGTTTCTTTTTATCTATGACGCAATCGATTATGAAATTTAGAAGCTTTGAAAGCAACATTTCTATGATATTCTCAAGAACTCGATGCAAAGCAAGCTGAAGTGCGTGAATGGGCCTTTGCGCCGAAACTAAGAGTAGTTTGCCACACCGCCTCACCTACGGTGAACCCGGCTAGGAGCCGTGGCTTGGTGTTCTTCCGGAGGAAGTCCTCCCGGTTGACGCCCAGCGAGAAGGAGAGCATGTTGCCGTCTTCGTCGCGGAGGATCACTCTCATTGCGTACTCTGGCTGGAAGCAGCTCATGATGCGGCTGGTGCACACCGGCTGCGGAGGCAGCAGCAGGAGGTGCGTCGGCGTCAGCACAGCCCGCCGCACCAGCACCACCTGGCGGGGAAGCGCCTGGCCAAGGACGCCGCCCGTGAGGGACCCCCGCTGGCGCAGCTTCCGGTACTTGGCAAAGAGGTGGCTCAGTCCGGCCTGCGGTCGAGTGATTCCGGCCATTCGTTTCCCGAGAATGTGCCTTCGTTCGCACCGTGGCGACGAGCTCCATCGTGTCGTCTCTGACTGAATTGATTTTTGCGATCAGTTCCCCGTGCTTACGGTGTGTTCAGGCATGTTGCGCGCATGATTTGTTCCCTCGATGGGACCTGTTCAAGCATACGCCTCAGCATTACAAACAATTAGCGTTGATTTTGTGCTATATAAGTACTCCAACGCATGTGAGCTCGTCCTTTTCTTGCTTACACACGCGATGCAGCGCCGAATACACTACTTTAGCGCTGAGATTAACGCCACTGGTCTGCCTTTTTGCCTGCCGGGCATTTCAATTTAAGCACCTATCATTTTGTTGTTTTGTCTGGACCTACCATACAAAGCTACAGCAATGTAGCAAAAGCAGAAGGTGGTCAGACTTTGACTTCAGAATCACAAAGTGCCCGAACTTTAGCCAAAGCTGTAGGCGTGCTTCCACGCTTCACCGAGGCACAGGCGTCGGGAGACGCCAAGTATACGGAGATGCACCTGGAGCTTTCGACAGCAGCTCCGCTGCTCCATTCGCGAGCGGGGTCCAGACAGTATCACTTTTAGACTCCGGAAACATCTATGAAAGGATGGGTAGACGCGTACGGCTGAACCCGCAAAATTGGGCAGTCACTTGCACCGCTTAGGACCACTATATAAATTACGCTCCAAAATAACGACCCTTCAGCCACCTCGGTGCTTCAAATTATTGTTGCCAGTTGTCCAAGGCTTTCTCCGAGATCGCAGGGAATGATGCTCCCTCCTCCACAAACATTCAAACGGTCCGCGACAAAGCGAAAGGATACTGCCCGAGCTGTTCTACGCCGTATTTAGAGCCTAGGAAGTCCCATTTTTGAGTCGTAACGATCCCCAATTGCACCCACTCTTTACAAGGTGGCAAGATGGCTGTGGCCACAAAAGAATCAAGGAACAAAGTGCCCACGGATACACTAAGCACAGTTTTTTTCTTTTTTAGTGGTTTTAGCATTACCTAGAGACTACAGAGTTGCATCTTACCTGGAAGTTGACGATCCTCGCCTGCCGGATCGACTGCTGCAGCGTGTAGAGCGTTTCTTCGAGTGACACTGGATCTTCCTCCGCCATCTTGCGGAGCGCCTTTTCAACCCGTCGCGTCGTCTTCTGGTGAGAAAGCTCGTCCGCCACTTGCGCCGAGCACGACCAGACGGCCTCCACCCCGTAGCGCACCCCGAACGGAAGACCCACCGTCCTCAGCTCCGCCGCCTGCGGCACCGCTTCCTTGCGCTGCACCGGTGCCCAGTGGAGCGTGACGGACGGGCAGAGAGTGACCAGCGAGGACAGCGCCGTCGGCGGGTGCTCCTTGTGGGCGGGGAACTTCAGCGCTAGCACGTGGCAGCGTCCGAGCGTGTCGCTGCGGCATGCCGTCTGCTCCGTGCCAAACTCGACGACCCGCACCCACTTGCTGTCGGAGGCGACTTCGCATTGAAGCACGTAACGGTTGTTCGTGTCTTCCTTCGTGATCGAGTTCTTTTTCACCTTGATGATCTGAAGAACGAGGTAAAAGTGAACGCAGTGTTACAGCCCTAGATGTAGAGTAATACAATTGCTCGATGTAGAAAAAATTTGAAGGATTGTGGAATTCTGCCTCGCCCCAGACACACAAAAAATATTTTTGGCATTTTTTTTATTGCAAAAACAAACTATGCATCGTCGAACGCTCATTCTTTGCTCAAATGTAACGCTAGAGGCCCGAATCAAATGCCAAAGTTTCAGCGCCAACCGTTCTCTTATTCTTAAGTGATAAGCAATTTTATGAAGTTTTCACGACGGGAAAATGGCGGCCGAAAGACCTCTTATAACACTGAGCTCTATGGCGCCAGTTACCAAAAACGGGCGAAAATGGGCTCCATTTCCTGATTGAAAAATTCACCGAATAGCTTATGTGACTTTCTTATAAGACAAACACCTCATGCTGAAACGTTGGCATTGGGTTCCAACCTCTAGCGCCACAGTTGAGCAGAGAATGAGCGTTCGGTGATGCACAATTTAATTTTTGCTCTCAAAAAAGAACCTGGAAATATTTTGGAGGGACATCCTGGAGCAGCCCCGAGTCAAGAAGACGGACAGCTGTTTCGGGAACAAACTGGGTATATATCCGAGTCTTTGCCTCGTTAATATCGAGACAATTTTTCTAAAAAACATTGCACAAAGTCAAAAAAGAAAGGTAGCGAAGCTCTCGAGTAGCGGAGCTCTCGGGTAGCAAAGTATGCCCAAAGCTTTCCAACTTTCTGTTGTTTGGTTGCCCTTCCTGGAAAAGAGGCCTCGGTAACAAACAAAAGTTCAATGTTCGGAGGCTTTTCGACCCAATGGGACGCTTGTACTTCTCTCCCCAATATGTGCCACTACCACAAATGGCAAACCCGAGGAACGTTCATAGGCCTGTATACAATCAAAGGACTCCTTTTTTTTTTTTTCAGAAATTAACATTGTCTTTTGTGGCCCCACTCGTTGTTTATTATTTGTGAACTTGACCCCGATTCGGTATTATGGACAACTCGCATCACGGACGATTTTTCTGGAGAACGGAGATGGTGCCTATAGCAACGAGTCACGAGTGGTGTACAAACGCATATTGCCCATTCCTTTGAGTAGAAAACATCCTCTCTGCAAGGGTACAGGGTTCTGTCACAAATGCCCCACTACTCGGTGACCCATCTTACACTCTAGGAAAGAGGGCCACTGGTGGTTTGCTTCCACAGCCCTAAGGAAAGTGGCCACCGAGAGCAAGAAGGGTGACCAGCAGGGGTAGAGAAGAGATCCAAGATGGACTGCCATCATCCGAGCAAAAGAATACAGTCCCTGGGTCATGGACGCATACTTGATGCTCCACATACTGCAGAAGAGAGCGGCTGCGAGTTAACGCGTGTTGCAGCCTAGCAAACATAGATGGCAGCACCAGCACGGAAGTTTCAGCTCCATCTAGGAGTGCTGCCTTTACACCTCGACATTCCACACTTGCTCTCTTTCTTTTTCTTGACAATGGAACGTATGGCAGAAAGATCCTCCTTTTCTATTACAAACCCAAAATATATAGACCAACACGCTGTTTACGAACAAGCCCTCGTTTGCCCACACCAGGTGTGGGCACTACGCGTGCGTAGAAACCGAACTCACGTGAAGTGAATCGTCTGCGCATGCGCAGTGCCGTCGACACCGCCACCGCAGTTGCGCGACGTCACGGCCGCGTGTTAGTCTATAGACCACGAGAAAGTGTTGCACACGAACTCCCATAACATTCTCCTTGTCGCCTTCACGGCGAGCTAACCCCGACCTAAGGTGCGCCAATGTCTCCGTTCTGTGAGACTGTGAGGCGCAGAGATGGGACTCCGAAGGAAAAGCGCCGTACCTTTCCGGGCTTCTCCCATGCCGTCCCTTTGTCGTCGCATCTTTGGTCATCCTGCTTCGGCGAGGCAAAGCGGGCCTTGTAGAGCAGCGGTGCACAGAGCAGGTGGAGGTACGCCATCGTCCCTCCGTCCGAGCAACGCGAGAGCACGATGCGACAGATCGACGTGTACCGCACCTCGAACCGGTGGCGAGCGTGCGTGTCGCCACTCCAGTCTTCCTTCCGCCTCGGTTCGTTCACGTCCACGAAATAAACGAGCAGCGTGCTCTTGTAGTGCGCAAAGTGCGCGCTACACTGCGTGATGCGCTGACGCCTCTTTTGATCGCCCCCCGCGTCCGACGTGTAGTGTTCCACGAACGTGTTCAGTCCGAGGAAAGAGCCGAGCGCAAACGACGTCAGCGGCACCTGCTTGTGTTCGACCGCGACGACGCACCCCCGGTCGCCGGCGGGTCCGGTCGGCCACGATAGCCACCAGTCCGGGAGTCCGTCGGCCGCGCATCCGGAGACAGACCGGACCAGCGCGATGTCGCAGAACTGGTCCAGCATCTTCGCTTGCGTCTGGGCGACGGAGCGTTCAGGGGTCACGCGGACCGCGAGTTCGTCCAGGTCGTCCTCGTAGTATGCCAGGTCCGATCGTCCAGCCATCTTGTTTTCGGTCTTCACGGAGCAGGAGAGGTTGAAGAGGCGCCGCAGGGAAGCACTGGTGGGAGCTGGCTTTTCCCGACGGCAGGTGATGATTGCATGACACACGTCGTCGCCCATTTCTGTAAAGACGGTGCGGGAACGATTACGGTCCTATGTTGAAGACACTAACTACACTGTCTAGAACGCGTCTCCGCCCGGTGAGTTTGGCGTCATATTTCGCCCGCACTCCAAAAGTGGTCCCAAAGTGGCAACAAAAAAGGTCGCAAAAGCCGGACTGTCGCGCTGACGTACGTCGCGACTTTAGTGTGGAAGTTCCGGAACAAAGCACGAGAACGTGAGTATCGCCGTCGGTCCAAAATCCCACCTCCTGGCTGCGGAAGCTGGAGAGTGAACTGTCGCAGAACACGCGTCTGCCACGTCTGCCACGGCTGCTGCGACGCCACCAGAAGCGTGGCACGCGACAGCGTGACACTTTTACGACGTCGTCGGGCAGAAATCGTTGGACCACATTTTTGGGCACAGTGAGCACACCAGTCGGAGACATGCTCCAGGCACCATGCCACAACCAAAGCACCAAACAACGGCTGTTAGGCATAGGTTGACCATATTCCTCGAGGTAAAAAACGGGACATCCCACCAGAGAAAAAGGGGGGGGACGGTGGCAGCGTATTAAAGTGCGAGATTGGGAGATAAAATTTAATGAAATTCTACATGCGTGCTATATCTATATGATTCTACAGGCTGTCACAAAAAAATATTTACACATTCTTTTTTACCACAAAAATAAACTAGGCACTGCCGAATGCTCATTCTTGGCCCAAAGGTAGCGCTGGAGGTCACAACTAGATGCCAAAGTTTCAGCCCGATCCGATACCTTATTCAAAATTTATCAGTGATTTCCCGAAAATTTCAATGGGAAAATGGAGCCCATTTTCGCCAGTTTTCGGTTTCTGGTGCCATAGAGCCCCATGTATTTGAAAACTCCGTTAGCCGCCATTTTCCCATTCAAATTTTCAGAAAATCACTTATAACTTTTAAATAAGGTATCGGATCGGGCTGAAACTTTGGCATGTAGAATTTCATTAAATTTTATCTCCAAATCTCACACTCACCTCTAGAGCTCACCTCTAGCGCTACCTTTGGGCGGAGAATGAGCATTCGGCGATGCCTACTTTATTTTTGCGGTAAAAAAGAATGTGTAAATATTTTTTTGTGACACCCTGTACATCCGTGCTATATCCAGTAACTCAAAAAATATTTCTACACACGTGTATTCGCAAAAAAAAAGTGTTTGTGGGCAAGAACAGTTCTAAATTTTACTCTTCTCTGGGTAAATGCTTTGTGCTTACAGTTTTTTTTTTTTTTTTTTTGTAAAATATACTTGTAACGAATAGGCATAGTTTCGGTTTGCTTCTACTCGCCTGGTGCCAGTTTCAAAACTATGTGCTCCTGAGAAAACGGGACGTGATTCTATATTGGGATAAAAAGACGGGACGGCAGAAGTGGACCTCAAAAACGGGAGTGTCCCGGTCAAAACGGGACGTCTGGTCACCCTAGTTAGGCATGCATAGTGTCAACCGTTCCGTGGCTGTGCGAGTGAATCAGGCTGCTGAGGCATGTACAGCATTTTCTCACACATATAGACCATACATACAAACAAGACCAAGTGACAACCACATGGCGCTACGTACAAGTGGAGGCTAATGACACAAGATGTTATGGGCCGATGGCTGGCACCTTCACTGGCTCCGTCCGCTTACCGCCGATGGGCAGCCAATACTTAGCAAACTGCGAGAGCACTAATCTAGGCCCCGCATAACGAACTTCTTTGAAGACAACCTGCTTGTATCATTTCAAGACAAGCTGTACATCCCATTTCTTTCGATATTTTTTTTCTTTTCCTTTGTTTTGGGGGGGGGGGGGGGGGGGTAAGGGGGTGGGGGGCAGGGAAGAGGATATGGGAAATTTTCCAGAAAAGTTCAAAAACCACTTTTCTAACTTGACTCGGTTGAAATGCATTATTTAATTCATACTAACAGGAATAACCTCCAAGTTCAAAATGGCCCCATAGTTTTCGAAAGCTTGCAAAACAAAGCTTGAAGATAGCAGGGAACAGTTGCACAGAGAGCGCTCTGGCACAAAACCGCCCTCCATAGCAGTACAGGTCCGGTTGCAATGGCAACGAACATGTCAAAATCTTTCGACGGCCGCGTCCCAATACTATTGTGGCTGTTTGCCGTTGAAAAATGGTGATTATTTTTTTATGGCGGCGAACCTCCACAAAAACAGTCACCTGTGTGCCAGGTTTCCGGGGTGGAGGAGATAATCCGGGCATAAGAACATTTGTCGACAGCGAAGTGCGTCTTGCAAGTACGAGACAGCGTCACCTATGACATCCGCCTCGAGATAAATGCCATTTTTCTTTATGGTTTCGCTCACTCTTGAAAATCTGAGCTATTCGGACAAAGATGAAAATGCTATATTGTTCAAATTGTTTTTTCCTGCACAGCTGAGTTGTCGCACACACTGCTTGAATGCGGGCAAGTGCTCTCAAAAAGTCGGAGTTACCCACTACTGGAAGTGTGCCGCGCTGTTTTAATGCCTGCTAATAAAGTCAATGACGAGGCAGGCACTGCCAGACCGGAGCACTAGCTCAAGCTGTAGAAAAAAGCCAAAGCGGGACGCGAATATGGCCGCAGTTCCTCCATTCTGTTCCCAGGCATTTTGAGCGGGTCGAACAACAAAATGAAGAACTTGCACTACACGCTGTGACACCTTGTTGTTTTTGTGCACCTGTACCGCTACCGTCAAAGTGGCAAAATCGTAATTCACACATTTGCGTCAGTAACCCACTCATAGTTTTAAGCAAAAAAAAAAATGATCACCGATAGACTCACATTTGAGCCAGTATTCTTGTTTTCTTTTTTTACTTTTCTTACGCGATGCCAGAACGATAATTTTGAACAAAGTTGAGGGTGACAAACGAAAATTGTTCGCATAAATTTTTTTTTTTTGTTGTTTAGCCGCAGTTATACTTTATATACCTAGAACACTGCACCAGAAAAAAATTGCGAATATTACTTTCTTCTCTCTGCAAGAAATGTAATTAATTTTGAATTTCAGTCATACATTTTCGGTTATTTAAATCCGTGAGGTGTCCTGTCCCGTTGCCTTCACGTCTGTTCTGCTCGCTGTTCTGTACTTCAAGATGAGTTGTTTTGTACATTAAAGTGTTGGCAATTAGTAGTGAGTGCCCGTGGTGAATTCCCGTGCTCGGCTCCGAAAAGAATACTCCCAAGATGTTGAGTGAAGAGCTGCCTCACATGTCCTGCATCTGCAAGTGGCATTGTGCGGCAGAGTGCACAAGTTTCGATCAATGGGTTGGGATCAATGGCAGGCTGCAATTCCTGTAGAACAGTTACGCGAAGCTCGGAAAGCGGACGCTACCCGATTCATATGCTCCTTGTATTTTGTGGAAAGTGACTACATTGAGTTCGCAGGTGTCAAAAATGGAATCCCATACCATTTAGTTCAGCGACGTATTGTCCACAACAATTTTTTAAATGTAAACATCGTGAAATGCTTGACAAAAAAAAAGGTACACCCACACCAGGGATTGAACCCGTGTCCTCTGCGTGTGAGGCGGACGTCTTTCCACTGAGCTACTGAAGGAACTTTTTCATGCGTAGTAAAGCAGCAGGACGACTGTATGTCGGAAGTTTGCTGCCGATTTCCCTTCAATACGTGCACTCCCAGCTTCAAGTCGGGCAGCACCACGCATAGGCCACATTCGCACCTCGTAAAGAAACCATCGCGTGCATATTCAAATCGAAGTACGCACTTCCTGCTCGACGTTTGAGCGAGCAATGTCTTCAGCTACGAGAAGAGACGACTCGGCGACGTCTTCGTGCAATCGGCTTGCTGGTCGGGCGTGTCGTACGGGATGAATATCAGTTCTTTTGATCGGTCCAAAATTTCTCTTTCGAAAGAAGACAGAATTCGCCGGTACCGTGAACAACAGTTCTGAAGTAGAGGTTCAACGCCCGTCGTCCGCAGCCATCAAGGAGGTTATAAAAACTAGGAGGGGGCACGTTGCAATATTAGCGAAGCCTAGTCATAAAAAGTTTTAACGATATTAAGCCCTATGTGACCGCAGATCTCTCTGGCGATCGGTGCACGTGACATGTCACGTGCGAGATGGATGGTTGATTGTAGAAGGATTCCTTGCAGGCTTGCGCGCGCTCCGTCCGGTAGGTTTTATCAGATCGAAGGCTAGACAAAGGCTAGCGATGGTCACGTGATGTGGTCATATTGGGCTGATAGTTGAGGAGAGTAAGGAGGAAAATTAAGATAGAGGCGAGGCGTCAAGGGAGCATGGCTTGTGGAGGCTACGCGGCTGACGTCATGCCCTCTCCTACGCTTCTATTCTCCTCGACTGCCATCCGCTAGTCCAACGATACGCGAAACAACGCCATGTTGAGAATTATGCAGTGAACGCACAAAATGCTTCTGGTTGTCTTTGCTACCTTTTATTTATTTTTTTTTTTTCAATGTATTTGCAGCTTTTTGGAAATGGGTTTCATGTCTTTTTTTTTTTTTTTCTATTTTTAATATTGACTGTGTGCCTTTGATTAAATTTGGTGGTCGCGTCCAAACCTTAGAAAACGGCCCGTGACCACGGAAAAGAGAGTGAGCGCGACTCAAACCGGCCAGTTCTCGATCGGCGGTTTTCGGGCGGAAAGAAACCGAATTTTGAGCCGCAAATTCTGTTCCGGGCAGTGGAGCTCTCATGTCACATACAAATAAAAATCTCGGCGAGCATAAATACCCTGTCAGTGTCACTTTAAATAGGCGTTCTGGTTGGCATCTCTCTCACTGCTGACGATGACTCCCGTATGGGAGACGATACGCCCGACAATATTGTTGCTCGTGTTATGTGAGGTCGGTGTAATTTGTATCCTCATGATAAGTGGAACATTCCTGAAAACAAGTCTTATTATTAAGACCGGAGTGTTCATTTACTTGAAAATCCCAAGAGTTGTTATGACGAGAGCTATTTAATCCCTCGCTCAAACACTAAAATTTTAGCTGTATCAGCAGCCAGATACTACAAGTAGCGGGAAAACGACCGGTATATTTGTTGATTACTGCCATGTCGCAATTCACCGTCCTGATGTTTAACCAAAACTTAGCATTTGGTATCCACGTACATAATACAAGTAAACAGAACGCAACCCCGACTACGCCAGGATGGTGACAAAGTGCAATCCGAAACTTTGCATTTGTGGCGCTTGACAGCGGGTCATGGAACCCAGGCACATCTGCAGAATGTTGTCACGCACACGTTTGGTATTCCCTCGAGTCCCAAATGGTTCACTTACTTTGACAAACGCTGCGACATCGGTGAATTATGCAACAAAAAAGTTCATCAGCACGCCGACCTAACTTCCAACCTTTTTTTCCGCCAACGTGCATACAAAAAATAATTGGCTTGAGTTGGATTGCAGCAGGCTGTTGACGAACAACAAAAATTAAAGCTAGCCAAAAGAAAGTAAAACAAAAACTTAATGTAAACAGCAACGAGGTTGGTAAACACTGCGACCTAAATGTCTTTAAAATTGTTTTTCTCTTTCAGTTTCCACTTAAATTTTAAACAAAACTTATATAACGCTTTTAAAACTGACCCGTCTTCATTTTTGTTTAACCTTTAGATAGCGCAAAATGCAACCTATTTCAGAAAAAAGTGCATGTTATATATATATATATATATATATATATATGTTCACGTATAATGTACCCATTTTTTTACTTTAATAGTAATTATTCTAAAACTTAGCAGCTTTTTCAAATTTACACAACATAGATGGCTCAAGATACAACCTTATTCAGAAAGTCAACGCGTATTATGTATCCACATAATGTGTGCTATTCTTTTTTTTTTTTTAATTTTTGTTTTTTGGGTTATGATTTTGTTGATTTCTTCAGTGCCTCGAGCGATCCATCCGCATCCAGGCTGTGTCCGCATCTTCCCGCATCTCACAGCAGCATCGCCGCATCTTCCGAAGGCGTCCAGTAGCCACGGTTTTAGCCACGGGGGCCGCGGCAAAATGGCTACGCAGCTCGGTATCGGCAAGAGCGTCGCAGTTCTCGCCGTCGTCGTGGGCTGCTTCAGCGTACTCTGGCCGAAGATTTTCTTCCCCATGTTGCAGGCAGTCTTCTACGGAACGTCCCCCGACACAGACACCTTTGCAGGTATACGTCCTGAATTCGTCGCGTGCTGCTTCTCCGCAGAGCACCTTAAAAATCCCCATGCCTTTTATATTTATTTATTTATTTATTTATTCATTTAGCGGAAGCACTGAGAGCTGCTTCGAGAGATCGGAACACGAATCCTCGCATCCGAGAAGACATGGGACAGGCTCGCCCGAGTGACACTGCCAGGGAAAACAGAAGAGGCCGGGTGAGTGTCTGAAAAAGAAAAAAAGAAAAGAAAAACAACTGTCTACAATAAAAAAAACGGGACGAAAAAAAAAAAAAAAAAAAGAAGAAAACAGCGACTGGATTAAGCTGCAATTTTTCACGAATGTGGATTTACCGTCTCTCAAACTGTTACGATACAACTTAATAAAAAAAAAGAAAAACATATATATATATTTTTTGCATATATGATTGATCTTGCAGCTAGTGTTGATTTCCGAAAGCAATCAACACTGCAATCATATGATTGTCTCAAATTTTCATAGAAATTTAAAGGCTACTTGTACCTGACGACCCCTGAAGGTAGGGCGAGGGTAAGACGGGCTGGGGAGGAGGAAGCAGACGAAACGCTAAAGAGAGGGGGAGACCTCCTTCTCTCTTCGGCGTTCCGTCTGCTTCCTCCTCCCAGGCCCGTCTTACCCACGCTTTACCTTCTCGAGTTGCAACGGACTATAGCAGGTCAATAAAAGTTGCACACAAAACAAAATATAATCAGTGAAATTCCAGTGGCCACGTTTTCCGCTAACGGCAAATTCAATCTAGCTCAAAGGGTTGGATAAACAATGTTAACAGCAGGCACTCTTTGCAGCCGTTTCCCCCAGTGGCCATGCGGACGCCACCGAGACCGATGGCCAAGACGGGGGGTGCCATGAACCTCGTGATGCCACTCTATACCATCGGCATCGTGGTTTTCTTCGTCTATACCATCCTCCAGGCAAGCCATGCATGTTCACAAGACGAGCAATTCCTCGCTTACGTATACATTATGTTTATGCAGTATGCAGACATTGGAAGAAGGCAGGAAAACTTGGCTCAGCAAACGACACAAAATAAATAGACCCTTTGCAAAGGTTTAAAAAGGCTGCACGTAGAGCCCTGTGAATTATGGGAACATCCTGTAGGGTCCTTCTTGCCCCCCATCGAACATCTGACACTGTAGAGAGTAAGTGAAAGGTAGCACAGTTGCTTCCTTACCTTTGCCTGCTCGCCAATGCTTCCTCCATCGCCTTCAAGGTCACCCCGGTCGTCTGCTACAGCCTGTTCTATACAGCCACTTCCCAGCATCCTTTTTTGTACCAGTACGATTTGAAAAAATATATCACCGACCTGCTCATAGATGACACGGTAATGTGAAACTGGGACGGTACTGTCCCCACAACATTGGACTAGTAGAAAAGTGCCACGTCTCATTTGCAGTTTTCACCATGCGGACTATTTTCGTGTTTCGCCTCCAATGTCTCTGTGCCCTTGTGTTGTATGCTTTCATCCGAGTCACTTCTGTTTTCAGTTGACGATTGGAGACTGTTTTTTTTTTCTCCCAGCTGGCTTGTAAAAAGTCTCCGGCAGAATCCAGGACACAGACCCGTGTGCTTCCGATGGACTGCCCGTGCGAAGAAACCATCCGACAGAAACTCGCAGCTCGGCAGTTGCTACGAGACTACGGGGGTCGTCAAGGTACAATTTGTTGGGCCGTACAGCTTGGAACCCTCGTAGCTTTTTAAAACACCTAACACTGTCAGATCTGTTCCTTTCCTGCCTTAGCTGTCTCCCTTTCAGAAAAATTATAAAGCACTTTTGCTCGCGTAGACAGGGCTTTGATTTGGATTGCACCAACAGACACTTTACAATACTATGTGCATGGTTCTAGAAGCTTGGCCGAGCAGAAACAAACTTCCCTTCGTGTATTACATTCACGTGGTGCCCTGGCTAACTAATCTTACATGGAACATAACCTAATTTATGGAGAAATTCCAGACTCGAAATTGCCATTACGACTGGGTGTAATGTGAACCTTATATGGAAGGCACCCATGGTGCGCTGCACTGTCTAGAAGCACGATGGCATTACTTTGCCGAAAGGTCAATAAACGGAGACATCCTCGTGGCTGAGTGTCAAACTTTGGCAATATATGAAGCAAATATTTAAAGCTGTGCTAGGGTAACCGTGATCAAAATAAATAGTGCCGGTCCCATATCTTCGCGTCCTTAACTGTCCTTGGTTCAATTTACGTTTAATGTGGAGCAAAAGCCTCTGCTCCAAACGCTCGAGCATGCAAGTGTAACGCCGGTACGCATTGGGGTCGTCGATCCCGTCGTGCGCATGTTGAAGGCCTCGTGTAATATTCAGCCTGCACAGATCAGATCGTGCCTGCCTGGCGGAGACACGTGCCGCAAGATTTTGAGGGATACAAACTTTTCATGTCACAAACGTGCATGCGACAAATCTGACGTGTCGACGCTTCCTTTTCGCACCCTACCCACGTCAGGCAAGGTCCCGGGCAGCCCAGCGGCGGATGCGTCGTCCTTCCTGCGGCGCGGACAACGGGACCAACGTAAGTGGGAATGAGAGGACGGCGCGCGATACGCTCGGCCGCCTGCGTTGCCGCGGGCTACCCCCGCCTCTCCCCAGGCGACCTCGAGATGGAGGAGCTGAGGCGGCGCCTGGCGAATGCCGAGGCCTTGGTCCAAGAGCTCCTGCTCGGCAGGGAGGACCCCGCAGAGGTACCTGTGGCGCGCTCTCTCTCTCCCGCAGTGGGGCGCTCCATCGGCATTTTGGTCAAGGAGCTCACCCTGCAGAGCCAGCGGCAGGCCGGGCTGGAACGGCGGCAGGAGCGGTGCTGCGGGGCGGGCTCTCCCGCGCGTCGTGCCACGGGCGTGAGTTCGCCGTTTCGTTCTATCTCTGGAAGCTTCTGGAGCGTCTGCTGTCGGTGTTTCGATACTTTAAAGAATGCGTTCCTAGAAGCCTAGAGTCCCTCCCTCCTTTGAGCACGGTGGAAGAAGCGACGGGTGCCCGAACAGCGCCGCCCCACCACGGATCGGGAGTGTCGGAGGTCTGCTCCCATTTCTGAAAAACGCCGCAAGATGGCGCAGCACGACGGGAGCTGGAGGAACTGTCCCTATTCACCCCCGTGTTCGAGGACATGAGGTGCGCGAGGCCAGAGCGAAATTTCGGCCCACTTTCTCGCCTTGTCACAACACCTCTCTGTTAATTCCACTGTGCCGCAGAGTTCCCTCAAGGGTTCCTGGAGTTCCCAAATTTGTTTGGTCATTCCTGTCCTTGAGGAAAGCGTCGATGGATAACTGGCATAAAATACCGAGCAAGCGCCCGGACGAAAGTCTGTGTTGGACTTCATTTTGTGACGGGCTCTTATAACAGGCTTAGACCCAAGATGAAAGGGAGTCTAACTCAGTGGGCATGCGACATGTCCTCCTTTTTTCCGCACTTTCCCCTCCCACTCGTAACTTGACGGCAGGAGCTCGTCTACTGGCTTTTCGCTAAGGTGTCTACGTTAGTCCCTTTCCAAAACCCAATCGAGCAACATTGATGCTCGTCATTCCTTGGGCATGCAGTGCGCGATTGGATCCGAGTCCTCGCCATACGCCGACTGGGCACTCGTTTTCGATACGAGCAGAGTTCACGCCAAACACGGACGCAGCCCTTGTGTCAAATGTATTTTTAAGGTATGTGCTCGGACAGCGATGTACTCGGATAATCGACGCAGCAGCTAATAGATGGCGCACACTTCTGAAACTGGTCTATCAGCGAATATGAGACTATCCCCTGGAACGTCTCCCGTCGTCGGGAATGAAAAACAGAAGGGGGGCGGGGGTGTGTTGGTCCCGGAGAAAGCGAAGTATTTGTACGACGATTTGAGTCTTCCTTCTAGGTTGCCGAACGCGCGGATCAGTGTTTGCGGCAGCGGAAGGTCCGCGGCGATCCGCGACCCACGTGTTCCTGCGGAGCGCCGCTCAAGGGAACAACCGTGGAGGATCTGGAGTCGGACTGCGACGACGGCGGCTGGGGCCGGGACTCTGAAGACTACGACACGGAACCTGCCCTTGGCTCGAACGAGGAGGAGACTTGTACGCGAGCCTCTTGTTGAGTCCGCTCGACGAAACCTTTTGAGAGTGGATTACGGCATCTAGTCAGCGGCCACTGTGGCAATCTTGCGGTTGATGGGTGGGTTACCGTATCCAATGTACGAGTCACTTTTTTTTTTTTTCATTATTAAGTACAACTCATATATTAACTTTATAAAAAGCGGCCGTTTATAGGTGGGAGCGACTTATACAATGGTACGACTTATAGACCAGATAATACGGTATCTGGCGTCAAAGCATTGGATGTACTGTTGGAATTGCTAACTCGTCACACAGTAGGTGTAACGAAGCGTGCAACGTTACGTTGCCGCATTCGCGGCCGAAAAAGCGCAATCCTTCAGCGAGAGCTCACGAGACTATTAGAAACACATTTTTCTTCGAGTATGTCTTGTACAATGTGATAGGGTGTGTCGAGATGAGACAGTTTGTAGCCGCACGTTTTGTTTACACCAATGAATTGTAATAATGTGTGCCCATGTATTTACCGAACGACAGTTTTGGAGTTCTTTTTGCTAGCTCAAAACAGGACTTTGATGAGGCTGTGGGGGCTGCCATAATCACCGACCGGATTCGGATAGTTTTGTGGTCGGTCTTAGGGCTCCGAGGCTCCAACCTTCTCAAACTAGGCTTCGAACCCGATGGGGCAGGTCACCAAGATTATGCAAGCGTCTACGGCGTGAAATCTTTCCCACGCCTGCTTTACGATCTCTAGTCGCGGATCTTTGTGCCGCTTTGTTGATCCGAAACAATGCGGCGGTCTTTATGTATTTTGCATGTGAAAGTACATTTTTTACCGGCTGTAGAATGGGACAGTCACTTTGGCTATCCAGTTGTCTACAGTCCCATTCCAAAGTCATTCCAAAAAACTGGTGGCGCAACTGAAGCCGGCATATTTCATCGACCAGAATTTTGTTTCGAGGGGGGGGGGGGGGGGGGGGGGGGGCAGCCCGCCCATGAAAAAATGCTGTATGAGGGGGAGGGGGGTCCCAGCAAAATGGAAGATTTCGGGGGGGGGGGCCTGGGCCCCATGAGCCCCCCCCCCCCCCCCCCCCCCCCCCTCCCCTGGCTACATGCCTGTCACAGACCCAGTTTCGAGTAGCTTCAGCGCGGCTCCGTCTTCATTTGTCGAAAAAATGGGCATGCTTTGGGGCATCACAACCACGGGAGTCACGTGAGCCAGCATTTAGGATACTTATGACCGACGTTTGGGTTTACGAACCTGTCGAGGGTCGTGGCGGAATGCACAATCCTTGAAGGCAACTCTCGTGTGGTTTAAGCTTCTCACTCTGAGAAAGATTGTTGGGACAGCACCCTGGTTATGCTACATTATGGAAACGTCTGGATCAGAACTACGTACACAAATACTGGAGGTACTAAAGACAGAGCTTCAAAAGAGGTACGGAGGTTCTCGATATGCTTAAAGAAACAACACATGTGTGACAAGCATTGCCTGCTGTTCCATGTAACCGTATTCACCCAGCGTAGAAATAAGAGCTGGACGATAAAGAGTTAACAGATCTGTATTGGTAAAATGTTTGGACGTCGGAAAAACCTGTTGCTAGAACGTTGCTTTGACATCGCCTGTACATTGTTGCTCAAACTAAATATGTAGCGTTTTGGATGGACGTTGCGAAAGTTGTTAGATTCACAAAAAATGCGGGAGCGTGGCGCTTTCTGGAGCAAAAAATGGCCACGTTGCCAAATGCCACAAATCCTGCCGTTCTTTTCAGTCTGAATATTCTGTGCAGTGTGGGATACGGTTGAGACATCATTTTGTCAGTTGTTTTGACTGGAATGATGACTGGCGGTGAACTCGCTTCTAGTCAACAAATAAAAGTTTCTTCCCTTTTGGAATGTCTGGTATCAGAACCAATTTTTCCAAAGCTCCAACACACTGCAGCTTCCCTTGGAAAGCGAATGCCTCACAAGAATATTAAAAACAAAATTATTGCATGTGTGTGTTGAACACAAGCTCAAATGAGATATAAAATGTGCTGCAACTCCCAACAGAGCATAACAAGAGCTTAGGCACAAGACATTTTTGGCCCCTTTCAATTGGCATAACCATAGTGGCACTCAAGAAGTTGGCTACTTTGAAAGGGGCTGCATTTGAAGACTTTCACTGCCATCAATTTATACACCAAAAGTGTGAAAAATGCATTTTATGCACCAAGTCAACAAGTGCTTGGCAATTTCAAGGCTCCCTTGTTCATCCATTAGAGGTTTTGTTCCCGTTTGCTCTCCAAAGAAAGCTACGCAAAATTATTGCATGTTCATTAAGTGCGCGCAAGATATGTTCACTACCTACTCTGTTTCAGCAAATAGAAAGCATAACAAAAGACAAAACTAATTGGAAATAGATTACTGTCTTAGAGCATCATAATGCAATGCCATGTCAATAGTGAGACTGTGGCAAGTCTAATGCAGTGCTGTAGTCCATTGCAACTCAAAAAGGTAGGGCCAGGGAGGAGGAAGCAGACGGAACGTTAGAGAAAGGAGGAGGTTTCCCCCTCGCCTCTTCAGCGTTCCATCTGCTTCTTCCTCCCCAGCCTTTCTTTCCCTTGCCCTCCCTTCTTGACAGGTAACTTACTTTAGTCAAAATATAAACATTTCACTTACAACCCGCGAATAGGCACGGAAAAAATGCCATGTAAAGACCTCCGTTTTGAACACTGAACTGTACAAGTCCATCCAAAGGTGATTTCTCCACCATACTTGGTACATAGGTATATAAAAATAACTAGGAGCTCTAGTGCTAACTGCCGACGCTCAAAAAAAGGCGGTAACATTGTAGAACACACCGATTTTCAAACGGTTGAAACTGACCTGCGGAAGAGCTTGTAGCAGCTGAGCTTGCACAGGCTGGGTAGAAGGTTGCAAAGAGTAGCTTTATTTGGGTCGCCCTCCGCGCCAAAAAACTGGAGGCTCGGAACACTATGTACATAGCAGATGTCAGTCCCACTGAGGCAGGCTTTGCTGAACGAACGGATTGAGGCCCTGCAGCCAACACGGCGGCTCCTGTGGTCAGCTGTGCTGCTGCACCACCTGTAGCAGACGACCGTCGCTCGTCAGGAGCAAAAGAGGCGTCTGCTGCGCAGTCCCCGCACCCGACAAGATCTGCACCGCCTGCTGTTCCTCGGTGACCATCGCCGCCGGCCCCGCGAGAAGCTGCTGCTGCTGCTGCTGCTGCTGATGGCCTGGAAGGACCTGATTCAGCAGCTCCTGATTCAGGATTTCCTGATTCAGGATCTCCTGATTCAACATTTCCTGGTTCAGAATCTCCTGATTCAGGATTTCCTGATTCAGAAGCTCTTGGCCCAGTACTTCCGAAGAGAGCAGCTCTTGAGGCAGCCCCATCGTCTGCATCGGCTCCGGCTGCTGCGGCTGCTGCTGCTGCTGCTGCTCTTGCGGGGCTTGCAAAACGAGCTGACTCATTGGCATCTTCTGCTGCGTCTCCTGCGGCATCAGGAACACGAGCTGAGAACCGTTGGAGCCAGACGCCGCGAGCATGGGCTGCCCCGACAGAGTCATGAAGTCAGCGGCCGTCAAGGGAGTCGCGCACTCGGCGGAAGCGGCCTCCGCCTGTTGCTCGGCGGACCGGCACTGCGGAGTCGCGGCGACGATGTTGCGGGATTTGAAGATCTTGCGGTGCGCGATGGGCGCAAGCGGAGGCGGGTCTTTTGCCCTCACGGGCGGCGCACAGGAGCCCCGCTTCCACCAGGGCGGGTTGCGAGACCATTTCGGCGTGTCGCGCCTGTGGTTCTGCATCGAAGCGACTGTCTGTGGAACGGAGGGTTGTGTGACGGGCGTGAACGACTGCGTGTTCGTCGGCATCTCGTCGACGGTCGAGTACTCGACGTGCAGGAGGATCTCCTGACCACTCCCGTCCACGGCGGGCACGAGGACGGCCTTGCTCGTCTGAGTTGTCCTCGATGTCTGCTGGAACCCCGACGATTTCGGTGGAAAGCTGTTTGTGAACGTCGCGGCAGGCTTGGTCCGTTGTTCCGACACATTTCCGTAGAAGAACGTCCGGGGGTTTGGGGGTTGTGGCTCGGGGATGGGGATGGGGCCTTCAGCTTGTGGAATGACGCTTGCAAGCTCCAACAGCGGAACTCGATTCTGAGCCACGGCTGGCGTCGGTTCGCAGTTCCGAACTGCAACTGCAGCTGGTGCGGAAGCGGACGATACGGAGTTGTAAACGGTCTCCTCCCGGGAAAACGGAGTATGCTTCTTAACCGCCGGCCTGACATGTTTGTTAGGGCTGTAAACGGTCGTCCCCCAGTTGCACAAGGTCTGCCTCGAAACCGGTGTCGTCGGTTCAATGGGCGGTCCGGGGCTCGAAGCTGTCGTCGCCGGCTCGGCTAGATGAGTATGCTTCTGGATTATGGCCGTCGAATCTGCCGACGCCACACGGTTCCGTCCCGGCACCACCGGTTTCGGGGGCACCGAGAAATTGACGATGCCCGCAGCCAACAACGTGCGTACGTTCTGATTGCGACAATTGGCTTTCTGGTCGGCGTTGGTCGTTACGACCGACATATGCTGGCTCAATGCCGCGTGCGCCGACTTGCTCGTCAAAGCTTCGCTCGTCACTGGCTTTGCAACCTTCTGCACGGCGACGCCGGTCGTGGCGGACTGCGAGTACGTCCTGAAGGCCGGCTTGGCGGCCTCGAGGCGCACCTTGACCTTGGACATGGCGGGTTCCGGGCTGAACTTCACAACTGGAGCACTCGGTCCGCGGATTACCGTGTAGCTCGCGATGGGACGTTTGGAGCCCGTCCTGAGGAGGTTCGGCACCGCGATCGGTTCGGGGTTTAGCTTGGCCCTCGGGGGCGGCCGTTCCAGGTTTGCGGGCAAGAAGCGCTTGAGGTTCGAAGAGCTGTTTCGTGCTGGAGCGGGCTCTTTCGTGGGCGGCACTTGGGGCACCGCTTCGGCATCCGCGACGCCGTTGGTTAGCGGCAGCGCAATCTTGCGCTTGCGGAGGACGCGCCAGCCGCTGTCTTCCATCGCGTCTTCCTCCAGGTAGTCTTCTTCATTGTCCTTTCCCTCTCCTAGGCCAACGCTCTCGTCCGAAGACGACTCCTCGAAGCCTTCTTCGTCCTTGTAGTGCATTGTCCAGGAATCCAGTGCTTCCTGCAGAAGAAGAGACAATTCACGGGCCAGTACAAACCTGCAGTGCACCTGTAACAGCCCCACATAAATCAATGTTGTAAAACCTCACTCGGTAGATGCAGTACACTGACACCGCCCTGCTCCACAAGATCATTCAGGATTCAAATACGATACGATTCGACGGCTGCGCACACTTGACTCGTTAATATACTATGCAACTTCCGTCTCTTTATTGAACGGTTGGCTCGAAACTGACAGGACATTGGGAGTACAACCTCTTCATAAAGTCAAAGCTCGCAAAAAACAAAAGACTTCACCGACCTACACGAGGGTGAAATTCACAGTGATGTAAAGGGTGGGGTGACGACACACCCACAAGAAGTTCCTCGAGCAAAAGTAAAAACTGGTAGGCTTAGATGTCTCACTCTGAACAAGTTGTTGGGCCTAACCCCCCTCTTTGTTCTCGGTACTCCTTTGCAGGCTCACACCCTGCTGGTCTGCACACACAAACACCCGTTTTGCCTCAGTACTTCCCCTTCCACCGTTTGGCTCTCAAAATAGCTGCCCTCCCCCACATTTTGGAAAGTAAACACCGAGAACGAGCACGAGAAAGCTTGTGCTGTTGTTGGACGCTTTAAATAAATGAATTAATGTCCCACGAGGGGTGTCTCTCCTAAGGGATCATCTTCCAGCAAGCCCCTTGTTCATGCTGTCGCAATTTTCAAAGAGCACCGTTAAGAGCGACCAGCATTGTCGGCATCTACCTTTGCACATATCACGTCTTTTTTGACAATCCTTTTTTGAGTACCGGTATTAAGGAACATAAAAAGCAATGAAAACCGACATGATGGCATGATGCCCATGTGTTCGAACTGTCGGAGACACGATGGGCTTCATTTGCAGCTTGCAAACAAACCGCCCCTATGGCGCTTCCTACCCGACAAAGTTCCACTGGATGGCGCAGATGAGCGTCCTGGTTTGAGAGAGCCGTCGGGGGGACTCACCTCGGCGTCTTCCTCGTTCTGTCCGTCCGGCACGTCGCTGTGCCACTCCTTGTGAAGCTTGATCCGCACCGCCGCCTCCGTCTGCTGGAACTTGTTCTCACTCGGCTCAAGCTCCGCGAGCAACTCCCGCAGACGCTCCACTAACTCCGCCTCATTCTTCTGGTCCGCCTGATCTTCCTGCGCAAGCCACGTCCCAAAACAATCAAACACTCCGCGACGACGGCGTGCAGACCGAGTGTGCAACGCCTCCATGGTGGGCTAGAAGGGCATGTGTGACAAACGCGCAAGCGAGAGCGGTCCCGTGGGTCACCCTCAGCCCCTTAATTGTTGTCTTTAAAATTACAGTTGTTGCCTTCAAGATAAAAATTTTAGCCACAAAAAATGTAGTAAAATTGATAAATATTCGGTGCTGCCATTTGTTGGTAGAGCCGCAAACTAAGCCATGAGAGAGCTTGGTTTGTCCAAAACGGTTGAGTGCGTGAACCAGAGAAAGCAGACGAGCTATACTTGTCCTCGACAGCTTGGGAATGGCTCCACGTTGACGAGCTAGGCTCGTCCAAAACGGTCAAGGGGTTTATAAAGACTGTACGAGTGTTCTGGAAGATCCCAAGAGTTCGCTTGCCTTGTGCTGACTCCTGGTGGTGACTGCGTCGGAGGCCGCCTCGACGTCGCCCTCGCCAAACTGCGCAATAAGGGCGCGCAGGCTGGCGACGCTGTTGACAACCGTTTCGAAAGACGGCATTTCCTTGACGCTTGCGCCGGCGCTTGGAGACGGTGCCGCTTTTGTTTCTGGTCCCTTCTCCGGTTCGGCGTCCGCAGAACCAGACGCCTCGTCTTTCTTCTCCGCTTCTTTTTTCTCGTCTGCGGTTGACGTCGCTTGGGCCTGTTTGGGCGTCGGGTTGTAAACGTGGGGCGGGGAAAAGAAAATTGTGATACTCATAATTGCTTTGTTTTGTAAAATTCAGCGTGCATATGGTGGAGAAGACGATTCCTGTTGCATGCCTTCAAATAGTGAGCAGTTTATGTTGCTTCACTTTTAGAAAATTTCTTTATTCTAGGGATAGAGCTACGTCGTTATGTTTTACGATTGTAGGCATGGCAATTTCCACACAAAGTTAGGTTCGTATCGTTAAATGAAATTGATTTACCTCGATTCTAAGGATAAAGTCGGTGTACACAGATTGAGTATGTTGGCATCACGCACTTCCCCACTTTCCCACGGCTCTTTTCAAGCTTTTTTGCGACGTCCAATTACGCGATATGGTCACATGGTTTACCCACACGCCTCCCGCCCTTGGCATAGCAAAGTACCTTTCCCTTCCCCTTAGCACACTGGTAGAGCATCGGGCTCAAGATTGCGGGTCACGGGTTCCATTCCCATAGGGGGAAGTTGCGAAGTTCGTACTTTCTTCTCAATTAGCTGCTCTCTTCTCTCGTCTCAAAAAAATTCTGGGCCACATATTTTGAGACGGGTTTTTCGAGTGTCGGGGAGCCGTGGCGATGAAATAGTCAGCAGAAAAGAACTCGCCTTGCGCTGCCGTGACGATTTCTTGGAAGAGCTGCGTCGCGTCCGTCCTTTCTTCTTGCCGTGCTGTAGGCATTTGCAAGACAAACAAAAAATGTAGCAATAAAAATATGAATTGTAAAAAAAGTTCCACGAGACTTCAAACTCGGATAAAATAAACAACGAAAATCTCGCCTCACATATAAATAATGTGCAGAAAGCGAAAAAAAAAAAAAAAAGGTGTCTAGAAGTTGCTACTGCTTTCTAAAAATATACTGTAAAGACTCAAGAGTTCCGACTCTTTACTGCTACAAATTGTGCGCCCGCAGGCTGTATGTTTCACAATTGCAACTAATACAAATAAAAGCGCTGCACAAACCAAATTGTTAGAGAGTATAATGGACCTTTTCCAGATACCGACGGCAGCAGGCGGTGGCTGCGCAAACTAAAAATCGAGGAAGTCACCTACCTGCACGACCAATCGATAATGGGAACTACGCTAGCAGTTCCTTCGCTCTCTGAGCTGCAGCACGTGCCCAACGCTACTTTAAAAAGGGGCATCCGTGGTGTCCACCCAAACGTTGTTTTTTTTCCGTCCACTTTATTTTTTTGTGTAACACAATTATATATATGCTGTAATTATGCATTCTTCTCGCTGATCCACAGCCTCCTTCCGAATTTCTCGGAAAAGGTCCATTTTTGTGTGTTTTCTGCAATTTCTCTTTGTGCATTCCATCAGTGGTACAGTGCTTGGGGCTACTCTAATCTGTCCATGGGGCAGCGAAGGTGACAAGCCTGAGCTAGCCCACACTCGTTTGCTTTGAGGCATGCCTATCTAGCGCCAGCGCTCCTTCTGTGAAAGTGCCTTTCTTGTGCCTGTAGGCTTTGCTGGCCAGCAAGCTGAAAGGTGCCGTAACTCCTCTTCACACAAAAATGTGGTGGAAACACCAGTACCGAGATGCCTTCTAGGCACCATAGTGCCTACACTCTGTGTGGGAAAATGTAAACTTGTATGTAAATAATGAGTTTGTCTAAGGACCCTTTTTATGTTTACAAGCAGGAGGCGTCTTTTGCTTCCCAAGAGACCTCCGGGCGCCTCCTTTCGGCAGGACTTCCAAGCCTGTAGATGACGAAATTCTCGGGACAATGAAATTCTACGGAAATCACAAAGTTGGGGATGTAGCGAGGTCCTCTTGGTGCGCTATGGAACATTGTAAGAGCAGATCGGACATCTTATGCAAGTATTAAAGGGGCACTAAAGTGCTTTTTGAGATCCTCGTCGAGATCCCACGTGGATAAGCGGACAGGCCGGCTGCTCATCTTTTGCGGGAACCCATCGCTCGCGAGTGGCTGACCAGCACTGTTTGTCCATATTCAACAAGGTTTGGTAGCGCCATCTGTCATTCTGCACCAACGGTAAGTGTCGGGATCTTCCGTCACTTTTAGGGGCGAAGCTCCTTAGGGTCTAGCCTTGTCCGTCCGGCGTTTGTGCTCACATAAAAAGAAAAAATGTTTTGCAGTTGACAGGATTCAAACCTGTGCGGGGAGACCCCAATGGATTTCTAGTCCATCGCCTTAACCACTCGGCCACGACTGCGGGACGAGTAGGGGGCTCTGAGATGTGGTAGTAACTCAAGAGCTGGGGTTTCTGTCATGGATGAAACGTTCCATGTAGCTGCCCAACGTCTATACACGTGAGGGCACTGCGGTCAAATGCGTATATAATCGCGTTAAACTTTGCATGCATCGACTCAACGTTTATAGATGAGAGGGCGCTACAGTCAAATGCGTATATAACCACGTTCCATACCACACATTCTCTTTCTGACATGGACCGTCGACTTAAGTGGTGGACATGCATTCCCACGGCTTCTAGCGGATCCAAGCTGATCCGCTAGAAGAACCACTGGCTGTGCATTTCACCGACCACAAAGCAGTAACAATGAAGTCAAAACGCAACCCGGAACTCGGCACTACCTATGAGAAATAAAAAAAAAAAAATCAGCACCACCAGCACTACCGATGAACAATAAAATCAGTACCATCAGCTCCACCAGAGCTTCACCCCAATCAATATCATTCACCACATGGAGATGCGGTCATTTTTTTTAATGCGCAAAGCGGCCGCGCATGAATGCTATTCAGGTTTTTTAGGATGCTTAGAGCTCGTAGATGGAGTTACGACCATAAAACGAGGCTCTCAGAAAGCACTTTATAGTGTTCTTTTAAAAACTCGCCAACAAAGCTATCGATAACAACCTGAACGACTGCTCACAAGACATTTCCCAAATGTTAAAGGAAGCAAGGGATTGGTTGTCCTCTCGTTTGACTGGAAGTTTGTGGGGACGCAAAACAGTGCCTCCTCCGGTTCCTTTTAAAAAAAAAAAAGGGTCTACAAACGAAGGAGTCTTCGACCGGGGGCGTCCTCTCACCTTGGCAGACTTCTTGGTCGCGGACGGCACCACCTCCGGCGTCTCCTGGTACTCGAGCCGCCCCTGGCGGTAGATGCGGAGGTCCTGCTCGCACAGGCAGGGGAAGTAGAGGTAGGTTCGCCCCTCCCGGTCCTGCCCCAGCAGCGTCTCGCGCAGGGAGTCCGCCTCCTGCTCCGCCATCCACTCCTGCACCCGCCGGTGCTGGCCCTGCACCACCCGCAGTGCCACCGTTCCCGGTTGGTTAACCCCGGTCGCCAGCTGCCCTTTGGGGCGCAGAGCACCTGACACCCCCCGAGAGACTGCGCGGGCCTATCTAAAAGAAGCCCAGTCTTTTGCCACAATATGTGAATTGATGACTGCGACAGCTGTTAACTAGGCTTTTTCTCCGAAGGTGTTCCCCACTGGTTAGGTGATGTTTCCAGAGAAAGAGTAGTGTAAAGAAAGGCGTAATGCGCAGGTTGTTTTTTGTTTCATTGGCAGAACATACAATGCTTGCAAGCTGTCCAGGTTTCCACAGATAAAATTGAAAGAATAAAACGCGGAGGACAAGCACAGGACAACCACGTGGTTGTCCTGTGCTTGTCCTCCGCATTTTATTCTTTCAATTTTATGTATTCATGTTCAGCCCGCTCGCCTTTACCAGTCCAGGTTTGAAAGCGTAAAATAGAAATATTGAAGGCGAAAAGTTGCCACCTTTCTTCAAGGTCTCGTCCTCCAAATTTAGTTCCAAGGGCCGTTACAAATCTGAATTGGAAGAGCCTGCACTCCAAGTGCCCACAAAGCCAGAGCTGCGGACGCGCAAAGCAACCATTTCGTGCTTATCGCGTACGCGAAGCGTATAATTTCAGAACTACAAATAACTTCAGTAAAGCGAGACACCGTCGGAATATAACAATTATAGTTCGTTGAAGATACAACAAATAGTGACATCTACCACGGAGTGCGCAGTTTTGCATCTAGGCGGCCGCTTTCAAATGCGTAAACGCCACCGCGTGTGTACGGCGACGACCGGCGAAGAGCCAATGTGCTTAGTGACACAAACTTGGCGCATATCGACTCTTTATTTACTCTACCTTGTACGACACAGCCCCATGGTGACCACCGACGTGCGTAGGACGGAAACGATGAAAGGGACTAGAAAAACTTTACTCACAACACAAGTGGTGCTTGTACCGTCCTCTCCCTTCCATGTTCCTGTCTCGTGCTAGAGTATACATGATGTTCAACCAACTACCCCATTAACTGATTTTAATTCAACCGCATGATTGTCACATTTGACGTCGTCGGCCAGAGAAACGGGACGGGCAATCTTTCGCTCGGAATTTTTAAGGAAGTTCCGGAATGTTGTCTAAGGACTCAATGGGCACCAACCAGCTTGTGGTCACAAAGGGCCTTGAAGAGCCAGACCCTGTGGTGAAGAGTCAGGTCGTGGTAGTCCTTGGAATCCAGAGGGTCGGCATCACCTGCAAATGAACCGTGCACTTCAATAAGAAAAAAAAACATTCTCCAAACAGCGTTTTCCTGACGCTTACCCAGCACGGTAAAGAACTGCTCCTCTATTCCGTGTGCCTCGAACACCTGCGAACAGAAACAATCCGCGTTACCACCTTGCGATTTTACTGGCCCGATTAACCTGTTGTCGCCTTGAAAAAAATAAAGGAATTAATTAAATTATTAAATTAAAACGGTAGCAAATGCCGACATAGCCAAACGTGCCTCGTGCGTTGGTAGGTTTAACCCAATAAAAAAGTATCGGCCAGATAATGCCGCTCTAGTCTAACACGCTTTGGATAGGGAAACACTGAACTCCAGCTTTTATATGAGGTTCAAAGCAGAACTCTACAAAAAAGAAGTTTAAAAAAATAACGAAAAACAATACGAATGTAACGTTTATGTGCAGAGAGGGACGTATGTAGACATATAAAAAGGAGGCACTGCGTGTTAAAGGGGGACACACTACCGAGAAAACAATTTCTGCAAAAAAAGTTGATTTTGAAAAATGCTTTATATCAGCCAACATTTAGATAGTATTCCCAGAAAGTTTCAATTGCTTCCACTGCATAATGTAAAGCACTTGAAGAAAGGCACAGGTTCAAGCACCTTGAACGCATTTTTCTCTGTTCCTTTTTTTAGCCCAAATTTCACTTAATAAATATATTGTATTAGTATGAAACTATCGAGACTTAAATTTTGCAGCTTATATACCAAACTTTTATGAAGCCAGTTACTATAAACTTAGATTTTGCATTTCCATGTTCCTTTATTATCAAAAATTGTAATTTGCAAAACTTGGTAAATGTAAAAGAAATATTTTTTCTTAATTTTTTTTTACCTGGAAAATTCTTTTTTTTTGTTTTTTAAATTTTTTTGCACAGCAATTGGCCACAAGTATTTCAGTATGCATTCCACCAGAAAAATATGTGGTTATCAACACCATTTCTCAAAGATAGAATCATTGAGCAGATTGCATGCTTTACTTTTTCAGTGGGGATACAGTCCCTTATTAAAGGGGCCCTGCAATCATATTTAAGCGTCTACCTTTTTTGTGGTTTCAAGGGAGGAAGTGGCCGAGTGGGCTAACGCGTCTCAGCTCAGAGCGTGTAGCGAAAGCTTGCGCTGGGAACCTCCTGGGTTCGATCCCCGTCGTTCCCGCCCGTTTCGATCTGGATGAGTTTCGTACCGGCACGCGTTCGTGTGATCACTACTGCGTGATGCACGTTAAAAATCCCAGGTTAGCGGTTGTACCGCACTGGCTAAATTTCTCATCTACAGCTAAGAGACCGATTACCCGTTGAGGCGCATCTCCATCAAGGATGTATAAACATAAAGAGCAAGCCAATTTTTTTTGTGGTTTCCACGTCTCTTGGGGTTCGGGCAAGCCAGCGGGCACGGAGAGAGTAACTAAATATCAGTGCGTCATATTTTAACCGGACGACGCGGAAACCTCCTCCACCGACGAGGGCGACCCGCGGTACCGAAAGCACGCAAAATGTGATGACTTTGGTCCTGGGCTTGCCACTGGTCAAAGCCGCTAAAAGCTTTTTTTTTTTTTTGTCGAGATACAAAATATAAGTGTCGCAAACCGTTTCAATTATTTACAAAAGTAGTTTTTGTTCACTATTTTAGATCAGAAAAGAAACAAATGCAGTTTAGAAAGTACGGAAACAAGAAATGACCCGTCGACATACCCGCCACCAAGCGGCGGAAAAAACAGCGCATACTAGAGAGAACTAGTGGGATGAGGCTACGACGAACGAAGAGCATAGAAAGGTCCCGGACGTACGCGGCGGCGCTGCGGTCATATATTGGCTTGAGAATTCGACCGGTTCCGAGCGTTTCGAAGGCCTTCGGCGCGGGCCCTGCTGGCGATTTGGCCACTTGTCGGTGCGTCGTCAGCGCAAAGTGGCTCCCGTTCTGAACTAATCTTTACCCTGTGTTTGCTGTCGTTTGTGGCCAATGAAGTGTTATGCCGAATTAGTGTTTAGTCGCACAGCAAATGCAATGCGAGCTGCCCTGGCCGTCTGCTTCATACAGCCTATCCAACACGTGCTTCAGTGGCGCCCTCTCGAGCCGTCGACACGGAGTGCGGCAGCCATTAGCGCCTGATGAGCTCACTACTCTTCCTCTAGTTCACGGCCACTCAAGCCAGGACCTACGACGTCAAAAGGTGGTTATTTTTTGCTTGTTTTTGTAATTCTAATTTGCCTATAACTTTTAATATAAAGCAAAATTTGAGAAAAGAAAAGTTTGATTAAGTTACTACGTTCAGTACGCTCAGGTTCAGTGCAAATTAAAAACCAGTCAAAAAGTCATTGCAGGGCCCCTTTAGACTGGTTCACACGGCTGAAACTTTGCATGCCCTCCTTCTATATGGCTACAAAAAACACCTGCACATATCACATCGATTGAGTGAGCGGTTCAAAGGTTCACATGCACAGGTAGTGTACCCCCTTACCCAAAAGAAAGGAACACCTAAACACAGAAATCGGCAACAGAGACACGAATAATGAAGATATCAGCAAGAGACATGAACAACACAGGCATGAGCAACAAAAACACGAGAAAGGAAAGGAAGGAATCTGCTTCAAGAAGGTTGCCCCAAACCTAAGACAAGAAAGAAGAGGCGGTGACTCACCTTGAGGCCGTTGCGCTGACTGCCATGGTAGGTACGGTACCAAACCTGCAACCGGTTGCGTAGCCGCTCCGCCCAGACCCGGTACGGCATCGGGGGTTGCACCAGCACCCTGAAAGGTGCAAAGAGGAGGAACACTCCACTGTCTTACGCACTCTTCTGACACTGGAGTAACTGTCCCTTTCTGACCGTTCACACCGTGGCACAGCACCCTAGCCCCAATACTCCGAAACGCCACGCAAACGTGGTGCGCTGTTTCTGTACTCCCCCTCATCGAAAGCACCTAGCGGGCCTCGCAGCGATAAAAAATACAAATGTCCAGTAACGGTATAAGCCACAAGCCAAACCAATATGAAAAAAAAAAAAAGGCTTATTTATTTATTATTTTTCAAATACTGTGACTTCGATGAGGTCATCGCAGAAGTGGAAAGAAACATACATACATATTCAAAAAGGCAAACAATTAAATATGTATAGAGTAGTTTGTGCCAGACAACAGAAGCTTCAAACGTGTCTGCAATCCTGGGCCAGTTGCAAACCCTACAACGTCTCGTCTGAACGGTGCAACGAACACACAGATTTTGGCCACGAACACTACAAACTCGGTTTTTTGCTGTCCCAAGAAACCTTCCATGGCAGTGAAAGATTTCGAGCACAATCCTTCGCGATTGGTTTGACGAGGCTCGACGGCAATAAAAGGTTGCCCGCAACGCACAATTGGCACTTGCACCGGCGGCTCTTGCTGCCTCTCACTCTGCACACGTCACCTCGGGAGAAGTTCTGTGCACAGTTCATACGCTGGACCAAGTAGTCCTAGCAGGATCCAAAAGAAAGGACAATGCCTTTTGCATTTCAAACATGCGTGTTTGGATAAAGCAACGAACAAGCGACCTTGAATGCACGCGCAATCAGCACCTTTGCTCACCACGTAAAGGGGGAATTCCACTAGGAGCCAAACGTTTCATACTCTGCTTCCAGGGGGGAAAGGTGCGATGTGACATTACACTTCAGGAACAAAGAGTCAACGAAGCCATGTTGATTTAACCTGAGACTGGGGTAGAGAAGATACATCAAAACATAGCAGGGACAGAAAATAGACAGGACGACGTCTCAAACTCAGCTGAGTTTGAGACGTCGTCCTGTCTATTTTCTGTCCCTTCTACGCTTTGATGTTTCTTCTCTACCCCAGTCTCAGGTTAATTCAACATGGTTAATATTCACCAGATCGCCTGTACCCTTACGATTTTTTCCATGGTCAACGAAGGTTTGTCTTCGCATTAAAAAATAAAGTGAAGAAGAGAGGGCTTACTTTGGTCGGTGTTGGGGCGCCACCAGGAGGCAGGTCATGAAGACTGCGAGCAGGCTGCTCTTCTGGGGCATGAGAAACATGCGCTCCAGCTCGCACATGGGGGCCTGGGGCAGCTGCAGGGGCTCCTGGGTCACCCGCAGGAACTGACACACCTGCGGCACCTGGAACGCGACGGCGCAGCACGCCGATTGGCGATCCACCGAGCCGTCCCTTTAGGCACTTGTACGGATTAGCCGTCCCTTTGGGTGGCTAAACGGACACCCGTGTCGACTGGCCGTCCAGCCAGTTACACCTTTAGGAAGCTTTAAAGATGGTTCACACAATGGGCAAACTGAACCCAAAAGCTTACATTTCAATACCTACAGACTGGCGATGGGGCTGAGCAGACTACTCCAGTGGAAAAGGGGGTGAAAGAGGCAGAAAGGAAAATGTGGGCGGGAAGAATGCAGGAAAAATCAGTGCTAACAATGCACAGGCTATAAAAGTAGGACATAAGAAAAGAAAAAGTGTTTGACATTTCACTAGGAAGTTCTTTACCGTTTGAGGCGAGAACGGGACTTTTGAGGACGAGGACGTATAGGGCTAAATTTCAGGAAACGAGACACATTATCTGCATTCGATTTACCTACACCATTGCACCGGTGCAAAAAAATGTAGGACAATGAACTTCCGGTATGCGTATTGAGATATGACCACAAGTAGACTGCCCTACGCTTTTCTGCACCGGTGCAGGAGGTGTCGGTAAATCAAATGCAGCTATTATCTGCCACCTGCCATAATGAGAGGGAGACACTAGAGCATTTGGTTTTAAAGTGCACGGGGCTTCACCCTGCCCTGCCTGAAAGGGTAACGGATTTGGCCAGGGCCCTGGGTTTTACTGGCGACGATGGAAGGACGGCAGAGAAAAGGATTGCAGTCACTAAGAGGCAATTAGAAGATTGGTGGAAATTATCCTGGGAAAATAGAACGATGCACAACTAACTAGAACAGAAGGAAAATTGGGACTCCCTCCATACGTGGCCCTGGCCCAAAGTCTCAACTCTGTCTCCCAGAGGGCCCAGCACTAAGTTGACACTGCATAGGCTTGACGAGAGGAAAACTGGTGACTCCCTTGCTGGGGAAAGGAGGCAGGGACTGATGCTTTTAGTCATTTTGCTCGACTTCCAAAGGGCCATCTTGGCACCCGGTGATAGTTAGAAAAATGCAGAGGGAAAGCTAATTGGTCTAGAAGGGCAAGGGGATGAATCCTACTTTTGGTTTCTGGGCCAGGAAGCGCGAGCTACCACCCGTAACAAAGGGTACAGCCATTAGCATTCAATCATCCATCCATTCATGTTGTAATACGGAGGCAATACAACTTGTTCTCGGCAAGTCGCAAGTTTGATGATGTGCAGTGAATGTTGGAAAAGTTTATGACAGCAAAACATAAAAAATTGTTGAATAGTTCATTATTTAGACTGCCTGCTCGTCTCGCAAGTTATATGACATGCAACGTCACCCCGCTGGGGAGCATGAGAAAATGTTTATGTCGGTTTCGGCCTCACCTTCATCTGCTGTTTTCTTAATGGCGATTTTGAATTTACATATCATGAACAATGAGTGTGGGGAGAGTAAAGCCTGGGAATTCTAACCATGCATATATTCGGTAGCTCAAAAACCACCAAAGCTCCTCTTTAAGCTTACGGGGCGGGCCAAGCCACGGGCACGAGATGGTGGGTTTGAAAAAAACCATCGCTGAACAAAAGCTCGTGCTAGCAAGCGCGTGTCGCACTCGCCGCCCCGCCACCTTAAGGGTTTCTCGGAGCCCAATAATTTTGCGAATGCTCCGTGGGACGCTCCAAAGTTGGTTGCGAGAGTAAACGGAGGGCGCCACCGACCTCCCAGAAGGAGGAGAGCTGGGCGAGTCCCTCGGCGAAGGTGGCGTTGTCCCAGTCGGCGGCCGCCTGCTGCGCCACCTCCTTCTCCACCTTGCGCTCCTCGCGCTGCTTCAGGCGCTCCTCCCGGGCACGGGCCGCCTTCTCCGCCTTCACCAGCTGCAGCAGGGCCGAGCTCTCCCCCGACGGGAGCAGGTTCGACAGGCGGGCACGGCGCCCCGCTGAAACACGTCGCAACATCTGTCTCGCTACGCCCTTTCCATGTCTCTTTGACGCCTCGGAGGGCTGCATAAAAGCAGCTTTTCTTCTTTGGTACTCCTACTGCTCACGATCGAAACTAAGCAATCTTTCCATGTAATTTAAAACCAAAAGGTCGAGCAGACCCGTGTGGATCCGCAGCGCAATCGTAGCGACACCTTATCGAACACCAACCCCAACCGCCTATGTTTGCTTGGAGAGTGGCACACTCATTTATTTAGTTGACACAGTGGCGTTTTCTTACGCTACGAAGCTTACGTCGAGGTCCAACCGCGAGTCACCGGCTCGTATCCACGCCCCAAGCTACTCGTTCAACCGGCTGCAACCCTTCGTACAAGCACAAATGTGCCGGTAAGCTACGGTCGTATCTCACATGGGCATACGTAATCTTTGTAATGTAAGCAAACGGAGCTGTGAGAACCACTCTTATTGGACACGACATTATGCGACTCACGTGACACCCCGACATGTCATTAGACGTTCCATCAAACATAATAAAGGTGAAAAACCACTAATATGCCCTACTTTGCAGGTGAGAGTGAAGGTGGGGGAAGGCAAATACAAAAATACAAGAGCACCACTTACCCCTCCCCCTCCTCACTCGGCATAGCTCTGGGCAAGAATGGAGATTATGAAAATTCCTTTTGTGGCGTCACGCTCCGGGAAGGAGGGCCTTTGGCGGTACGTTGAAAATGGTTTTCTGCAGCCTCCACGCACCAAATTGAAAAATAATTTCGATATTCGAAATCCTGGAGGTCAAATGAAGACAATTTAAGTGTGTTTCCTTAACTACAACACTGTTTTTGCTTCCCTTTTAATGGCATTTTAGCGGCATGCATGCTATCGGCGCACATGCACGTTCGAGACACTATGATGGCCGGGAGGCTCACATTGTTCAATAACTGAGAACCCATCTCTGTCATCCCTTCTCAGTGAATAACTGTGCTCCGAACATTTATTTAGATCGCAATTTTTCATTCGGTTCAACAGTTCATACTATGCGAGTATGTGATTGGTCGAGAGGAAGGGAGGCGGCGCCTTACCACGCTGGGCACACACGTCCCGGTTGTCGAGAGTCGTTGCCTCCAGGGTTGTCTTCTCCCTCAGCTCTCTGCGTGCAGATCAAAGCAACGTAGCATAAAGCCAATGCCAGGTGAACTCGGGCCAAACAACCCAATCGCAGCTACCCTTCAGCCATGGCCCACTGTCTTTCTGCTCCATTCTATGGGGCAACTAGCTACGCTGCTACACCCGATTCGTGTGGAGCATAAAGCGGTTACCTTGCAGAACGTGTTAGCAGTGACTGACAAAGATGATAGAGGTGAAAGACGCGCATTTTTAGTTATTAGAAGAAAGTATTTAAAATCACGCCTGCAAAGATAAGCGACATCGAAGAAAGTTGAACTTTTAAAGCACTAAAGACCCGAGCGATGAGAACAGGCATCATACAACTGTTACCATAGCAACCATAGAGGATATTGCGACAGCGTAGCATGACGGGAAGCCACGCCACAGTGTTCGCGATGGTTGCCATGGTCACCGTCGCGCGATGGCCGTTTACATTGCTCGTGCCTTCGAAGGTGACATTGCGGTGGAAGCTACGAGCTCGCCGAAGCAGTCAACCGCCAATCTTGCGTCAAACGATCACGCCAAATACACACACTCACATCCAAAGAGTGGTGGGGGTTAGGCGATAAAAGACGACTGACAGATTGGTCCGGTCAGCACGTGGCTTTCCCCACCCTGTCAGTTCATCAATGAGCGGAGTTTAGTGCCACACTGCACGCAACGGCGACATGGCTGCCAGAGGGAGGGAAGGAGGAATGGGTAGATGTGTTTGGACCTACAAGAATACCACCTGGGAACTTACTCCAGCTAAACGCAAAAGAGGGAAAAATTCTCTCGACAGCTACAGTTTCCAGCAGACCGGACCAACGGGGACAACACGGAAAATTAAAAAAAAAAAGTGCTGGAACCTAAATTAGCGACGTAAGAAGCGATGCAGCAAAACCACCGTCGTCGTGCTTTTGAAACCCTCCCAGTTCTTTTTCTCCAAACCCAGGAGAGAAACTGCTTGTATGACACGCCACTACGTTGTCGTCCCGTTACTTTCTGTGAAGGCAGCCTGCAAGGGTTTGGTGTCCCTTCGCTCTAGCCTAACTTAACCCCCAGACCAAGTGTTCGGCCAGACACACTGCAAGGGGTCAGAACAAAGCCAGCAAACTCGGACAACGTCCACCAGAGCGGACGTGAAGCAGCACTCACCGCGGCAAGAGCGCCAGTTTCTGTTCCAGCACCGTCTCCAACTTCTGCGCCTTCTTGGAGAAGCAGTGAGACGGCCCGAAGAACCGGTAACAGTTCTCCAGGATGAGTCTGAGGTCCCTCACCACCTCGGTGATACTAGCGTACTCGTCGGCGTCCAGGGATGCTCTGACCCGCGACAGGCACATGGGTCGACGCACCACCTTGGCGTAGGCCGGTCTCTGTTCGGCTTCCATCGGCTCGAGGAACGGAGCACTGTACTTTCGACACACTGGCGAACCCATCCACTCAACGAGGCGATGCGCGGCCGACAGTTCCGGTGACAGCGACGGCAGCTCGGGCTGCGGAGCGGGCCGACGCGCCGCTCGACGTTCCTGCGCCTCGAGGATCATGCTGGGCGGCATGGGCATCGTATAGCTGTGTTCGCCCGCGCAGTGATCCGCTGACAGCACGTCGATCACGTCGTCTTCGCCGTCGGAATCGCTCCCGTACGGGGTATCCCCGCTGGCGGGCAGCAGCGGCGGATAGACCGCCTCAAACGCGTTCATTCTTGTCAGCGCGGCCGCGTCCGCGGTGCAACTAGGCTCCGACGACTCGCTCACGAGAAAGAGACGGGGACGGCGGGTCTTGCGTCGTCGGTGGCCGGCGAAAGCCGGCTGAGTAGGGACTCTGGCGCGCTGGGCACCGAACCCGCATGCTCGCTTCGCTCGTGGCTTGCGGGGCTCCGTCGACGCATCGGGGGGCTGCCTGTCGTCGGCAAGTCGAGCGACGATGACGCGACACGGCTCCAAGAGGCGAAGGGTGGCTCGTTCGCTCGAACGGCGGACTCGTTGTCAAGAGCGCGAACCACCGACGGGAATCAATGGTTCGGGCACTTACGGCTGGGCTAGTCCTGCCTCGGCAAGGCTTCGCGTTTTTCTCGACTAGGGATCTAGCAGCGGCACACAAAAGGAGCCACTCAGCGTGGCCAGTGGCTCCCGTCGACTCCTATGGACGTTTCTTTGGACCCCAAGACGAGCCCCCGTGAAACGTTTTCTTGCATCCGAGATTGCTTACTACACATAGTGGTTGAGTACAAAATAATATAATATCGATTGTTTTTTCTTGTTTTTTTGTGCCGCTGCGCTAACTTATGCCTCAAGATTCCGGAACCGGAACAACCACCATTCCTTGGGCGGCAAACACGGCAAACTGAAAAAAACGCACATCGAGAGAAAGGAACCTCAGATTCGGTACTCCCCAACGATTATATAGTTTTTATTCTCAGAAATAAAGCCAACGACACTAAAGCTCTAGAATCAAACTTGCGTTTTTTCATTAATAGTATCTTTAGAAAAAAAGAAATAGCAATACAAAAAGGATAATCGCAACCTGCATCCTCCTCTCCCGTGGTGTGGTGCGGTGATCGAGGTCGAGGAGGATTATGGCAGGAGTTCGTTAAAAAGTACAAATTTCCAATGAGTTGATATGTGTGTTTTAGTTCGACACGGGGATTCTCACTTTTTTTAGTCGAACGGGCCGTGTGAGTACGTTTATTCCTTCCCCCGCGCGCGGTACCGCGATGCTACACCCCTTGACGTGTAGTCCACGATGACCAACACAGTTCTCGGACGTTAGGCCTAGCGCCGATGTAACGGTGAGGCGCCGGCTCGGCGGTTTCCCCTGCATACCGACGCTGCCGTACCCCTCACTTGAATCGTCTTGCGCCGCGGAAACTTTCGAAATCACTCGACATGTCCGTTTCTAGCCAGCAGACAGTTCTAACTGACGTAGTTGCAGCGTGGGTGACTGCATCGCTCGTCTCTAAACACCAACCGACCATACAAACCCGCGTGTGTATGTGTCCCGCCCATCGAAGTAGCGTACGCCCAGAAGATACACATCCGATTCCTTGTAGCAGACCCGTAGCGAGTGTCTTCAAATGTCTCCGCTGGGTTCCTGTCGTGTTTTAAAGCGTTTCGGGGCATTTACTCGTATAGATCTTTCCCAAAACAGCGAAGGGAGTGTCGCCGATTTCCTTTCCTGGGGCTCTGCAGGGTTTCCATCTAAGTGGTTTCATCGGATGTTTTAACTCTCTTCCCTTTTTTTTTCCCGGATCCCAAAGCGACTGGCTCTTGTACGCCCCAGCCAGCATGGGGAAGCTCCTGTCCAAAATTTTCGGCAACAAGGAGATGCGAATTTTGATGCTGGGTCTTGACGCAGCCGGCAAAACAAGTATCCTTTGGTTGTTTTGTTGTTACTATGTAGCGTTCTGGTGTCTCAAGCTTGAGCGCGGTGTGTTTGCACGGACCTTAACTCCCTGACACGCAGCCATTCTGTACAAGCTCAAGTTGGGCCAGTCCGTCACCACCATTCCTACTGTGGGTTTCAATGTCGAAACAGTCACCTACAAAAACGTCAAATTTAACGTCTGGGTGAGTGTTCCAACAGGATTAGACCACTGGAGAGTCTTCCTAGCCGAGTTGCTTACTGGGGACTCCTGGATGAAGAAAGCAGGACCCGCAACATGGGTGCAATGCACGTGCTCCTGTTTGCACGATGTAATGGAGCATTGCACCCACTGGAGGGTTTACTGGTGCTTGATTCTTCTTACCATTGTTCTGCATGTGCTGAGTTTCCAACATGGCTTTCTCACACTCTTCACCTTTCTGCCGGTCTGGTTTAACAGACGAGCTGGCAGCTCTGCTGCTAGGTTTTAGCAGATGAGCTGGGCGCTCGGCTGCTAGGTTATAGCAGACGAGCTGGCAGTTTGTCTGCCATCTTCTAGCAGACGTGTGACTTTCCACACGCTGTAGCCGAGCAGTAACCATCAGTTTGATCGAGTATTTGCTGCAACATGTCTACAGCAATTCGGAATATAGAGAATCTGAAATCAGCAACTGATCTCGATGCTTGCTTGCAGGACGTGGGTGGACAGGACAAGATACGGCCCCTGTGGAGGCACTACTACACGGGCACGCAGGGGCTCATATTCGTGGTGGACTGTGCTGATCGCGACCGCATAGACGAGGCGCGCCAGGAGCTGCATAAGATCATCAACGACCGGGAGATGAGGGATGCAATTATCCTTGTGTTTGCAAACAAGCAAGACCTGCCAGACGGTGAGTGGAAGTCATTGCCTGTACGGCTGAAATCAAACGCTTCGTAGGTGGCGGAAGCCGACGCCCGATCGAAATGGTTCAGCCGTATTCATCCCTCCATGCGTGCTCCGGGGTAAGATGTAGTCTGTTTAGACACTCGTATTGAATTGCCAGCATGGCAGTGAAAAGAACGTTGTGTGAATCTGTGATTGGAAGGGTCGTCACATCCGAGCCGAGCTCAGTTGTTCACTTTCTATGGATGGATGCTAACAGCTGTACCCTTTTATAACAGGTGGTAGCTTGTGCCACCTAGCTTAGAAACTAAACACCCTAAGCATAATTTCTCCCTTCGCTCTTCTAAGCCAGTTTGCTTCCTCTGCAATATTGAAGCTGTCACCAGTCAGTGTAGGTATACACAAACTCATCTCTGTTACATCACGCCGAAGTGGTGGCGCGTCAGACGCACTTCCGGTCCGGGGCTGTGGGCGGAAGTGCCCATGTGAGACGTGTATTCCTGCGTTGTTTTGAAAGGAACCAGGCAAAAACCTGCCTTCTTGTCAAAATTCTGTGACTGGGGTTGTACCAGAAGTGTCGAGAAAGATTTGAAGGTCAGTTTTCATGCGCTCGGTTTCTCCGAGAACGCGGACATGTGCCGTGAAAAGGGAAAACCAGACGCCATCGGACCACAATGGCTTGGGCGGGAAGCATTTTGGGTTAAGTTCACGGATACTTCTGGTCATCAAATTTATTTGTTTTGTTCCAAAATGAGCGCCCGAAAAACGTCAAGTTGTACGGACCACCTGCGGACTACGTTCAGTGCGTATTCAAGTTCAAACGGCCGCCTGATCGTTCGAACTGTCGTCTGCTCTTTCAAACGTTTCTGCTTGTCTGTCGTCTGCTCTCTTAGAAGACACCGGCCTGTAGACCAAACGTGGGCCTGGTACTTGCAATAAGAAGTAAGTGCAGGCCTCAAATTACTTAAGTTTGAAGGTAGCAGGCCGGGACGTAAACGGTAGATACAAGGGGATGTTGATCATTGTTACCAGTGGCCATCACCGATTTGTTATGCCTGATTCACTCGGTTAGATTCTGCTTGCGATTTTCAGTATCAACGTCGACATCTCAGCTACAGTTCACGCTTTTGCAGTCCGGGCGACTTCGCTACTGAAAATTGCGAGCGAAATCTCATCATGTGAATCAGGCTTTAGCGTACATTCTGCGGCGTCCACGCGGAATGAATCGCCACATGTCAGATGATTCACGCAAGTTTTGCGGTGTAACGAGCCTCGGTAATTTCGCTGACGCCGCTCAAGTAGTCAGACATCGTTAGGAGGACGTAGAATCAACAATTTCAACGCCAAAAAGAGCGCGGGGACTCGCACCGACGCTGACAACATCGCATTTCAATGGTTTGTTCATGGGCGACGGCGAGCTTCTTGCCCACACCCCCATCGCGCATGCGCGGTGCCGGTGGGGTCCGCTAGGGGCGCTCCGGGCGGTTAGGTTTGTTTGTGAACATGAGTTGGTGTATAACCAGGATGACTTTTAGGGGATTGTGAAAAACAACTAAAAATATCTTTTTCTTCTCTTGGCAAGGGGGTTGCCAATTTTCCTCTGGTCAAGCCTAGAGCCACTAAATAAGCTTCGCTTAACAGTAATGACACTTCACACGTTTTGGTGTTTGAAATCATGGTTTCCAGTTAGCTGAAGCTTTATCTGAAATCGCAGGAAACCTTTTCCATCCTCCAGAAATGTTAACAGTTTGCGACAGAGTCAAAGGATGTCGCCCGAGCTTCCCATCACCGCGTGTTAAGCTGAGGAAGTCGCATTTTTTTAATTGTGACGATCGACAGTTCCGTCTGCTCTGCTCCAAGATGGTGGCGCCCACTAGCAGATGGGGGAACGGAGTTCCGATACTCTCAGCGTCGCTCATCTAGTGGCTCTTGTCAAACCTGGTGGGCGTTACCCCAACACTGGGCCTCTGGGAGACAGGGTCGAGACTTTGGGCCCATGCGGGAGGGATTCCCAACTGTCCCCAGCCGTGCTTTGTTGGTGCTAAGGGTTGCCAGTCTTATCAAGCGAAAAATCCCAGCAAAGGAATTTGTCTCTGGATACCTGTCTTAGCACTTATAGTAACGAGCTACAAATGGTAAGCCTGTGCAAAACAGACTGTGTACAAAAGCACGGATCTTAGAAAAGCATTTTGCACTATGGTACCTTTATTTTTCTTTCTCTGCACTTCTGTACATCTTGTCGACAAATTTAAAACCATCTATCACAGTTCTATGAACAGCGTCAACTCTCTTCAGACGCTGGAACAACAATGGTTGTATTGACAGTGTCCGACAATCGTCGCGAGAGTCGCTCTGCAAAGTGCCGACGTCTGGTTTCCTCGCAGCCATGAAGCCGCACGAAATCCAGGAAAAGCTGGGGCTCACGCGCATCCGGGACCGCAACTGGTACGTGCAGCCGGCGTGTGCGACAACGGGGGACGGCTTGTTCGAGGGCCTCACCTGGCTCACCTCCAACCACAAGTCCTGAAGCCGAGCCGAGCCGCCCGGCCACAAGACTCTCCCGGCTCCAGCCGCCCGTGCGCTGCCGCCGTCGCCAGACCAGCTTGGCTCTTGGGACACTCGAGTTTTGCGTCACACAGTCTCTTAGCATTGGGCTGACACCTTTGTTTTTGTACATTGTTGGGTTGTACATATCAGTTTCACCAGAGGGCCAATAAAGCTTTGTTCCCGAAGCGGTCACCAGGTCGGGGCGTCAAATACGACGCGTCCCAAGAGGCCCTGTCGGAAGCCCCGGATGAACTGCTGGGCCGCTGCGTCCAGGTTGGGTCGGACGCTCCAGCCTGTGGAGGAGAAATCCCGTTTGGTCACGTAGGGATGTTGGGTAGAAGAGGGTTTGTTTTCTCCGCACCCGCCTCATCCAATTTCTTTCGCGGCGCCTTCGAAAATTGGTATAGCTTCTGCCTAAGACAGCTCTAACTTGTCTGCCATTTTCACCCTGTCCCGTCGGACAGGGTGAAAATGCATCGCCATGTGTAATACTACATACAATGAGAAGCAAAGTCTTATTAGATGACGCTTTTGGTGCCGAAACAAAAACCTAAAAACCGGGTGATGTTGGCCGCTTTACTACAACCGGGCTGCAAAAAAAAAAAAAGGTGGGTCGCGACGTGAAACGGCTCGTTCGAAACAAGGGGCCACGGAAAATGTAGAGCCGACAACGTAAAAACGCTAAAATAAATTGACCCTTCGAAATGCACTCTCTTTGGAACCTTATTTGCGAGCAACATTGCATCTTGCCTTTGGCCTTCTTGAAAACGAGACTGGTGTTGCCTCGTACACCTACTTCATTTTGTGCTTTCGATTCCGACGGTGGCATAGGTAGGAGTGCGCATCTGCGTTGTGTGCAGTCCCTCACCCTCGTGCGTGCGCCGCTTCAACGTAGACTTTGCTGCCACGGCCGCCTGGTACAGCACAAGCCGGATGTCGTCGCAGGGGCCGTCCAGACCCAGGTAGTCCACGTAGCTGCACAGAAAAACCAGGTGTTCACTTTGGACGCGGGAATGCTGTTCCGAAAATCGGGTGACGCCAGACTTTCTGAATCCGCTTCAATGCAACACCATACTTGTAGACTTTCTGCGACAAGGAAGCAAAAGCTATGGGCAAGTTGTCCCCGAGACGGGCGGGAGGCTCGTACTATTTAACGGCACCGGCCGATGCGGGCGCGGAAAAGTGCGGGGCAGCGTACACAGCCAGGTACGTGTCGTAAGATGGGCTGCACTTTACATTGAATGCGCCGAGAGGTGCGATAAATCTAACAAGCCCAATATCGCGCTCATCATGGGCCTTGCCTGTAGTTGTTGTTTTGGTTCAGCCAGTACAGGAGGTAGTCTGCTATCAGGGTCACGCCCACCAGGTGGTCTGGCATGCAGCCTGCACAATAAGAAAATGCGCGTAAGCAAGGAAGAATGCGTTGCATAGAGGTGCACACAATGTCCACGCTCTACGTTGGGGAACGTCCACTACGCCGAACCTGCCCGTTCAAATGGCTTTTGTACGAAACACTTCCGTTGAGGCACCCAAAGTTGCACTCGAGGAGGTTCGGTGTAGGACACGTAAAGAGGGGCGTTTTTGGTGGGGGGAGACACGTTCGGAATGCAAAAAGCTTCGGTAAAGGGCGGAGTTTTCCATCGCCGCATCTCCTAGTCTCTGGCGTATCTCGGCGCGATCGATCGCCAAACACGCTTAGATTCCGACTCTTATTTGAAGTTCCTGGTCGGTTCGTCCGCCGCCTCTTTGTATTCGCATCGAGCTTGCCTCGACATACTAAAGGAAGGGCTGGACTCCCATATGGCAGAAATGTTGGGGTTTGCCAGCTACACTTCGTATCTCGACTGCTCTTCTAATGGCAAAAGAATAAAACAAACATCCCGAAAGGTAGCCTGCCCCCTATTTTTAGCTCGATTCGCAATTTATTTCAAACACAGAGAGAGCCCACTTCTAGTAAGTAGGTTTGAGAGAAGCGCGACGTTGCACTAAATTGCTGGGTTGGACGATTTGAGGGGACGGAATTTAGGCCGAAGTTTAAAGGGAAAGGTCGCAAATGGTTTCAACCTAGGTGGCACACACTACTGCCCAATACGCTAAGCCGTGGTCACTCCGCTAGTATGTTGTACAAAAGAATCTGCATACGCTGTCTTAGGCACGTCTCTTCCTCGTAGGACGGTCGCACAGAAACCCTCTGCAGACACGTTTGAGGCGTACACGAAGAAAACGTGCTCGAACCGCATCCGCAGCGAACGCCGCGTCTCTTTTACGATGTAGGAGCAGCGTGGCCGCGATTCGGGGGTTCGGCCGCTACCGGCCGCCCATCTATGCATCCATGGGACCAAAAATGGTGGCCCGACTATGCCGGCACTCACTGCAAAGCGCCAGCTGCAGTGCCACCACGGGGTCCTTCACGGTGGGGCAGAGTACGCCGGGTGTGTCCAGCAGGTACATGGACGGCTCCTGGGAGATCTGCAGTAAGACACGGAAAGCTCGAAACGACGCGTCTAGACGTCCACAATCAAAGAAAAGCTCGATGCGCTTTGCATCGAAGCCACAAAGCTGCCATCTTAGCAGTACCAAAGTGCTCCACTAGATACTCGTCGTCAAGAGAGTAGCTTGCCTTGATCCGCTCCAACACCGACATGGTGACTCCAGCCTTGGCACCTACTCTGGTTGCCTGGCCTGTGTGAGCAATAGAGTGCAGAATGAGACGCTCCTCCGAAGGAAGAGACGGGGCCTACTGCCGATCTACGCGCAAGTTGGCATCGAGTGCCAGAAAGCTATCGTACAAGCCGGCTACACGCACAAACGAATACTCTAATATCCTAAGACTCTTTTCCAATCGCGTGGTTCAGTTCCACACGGCACATTTGGTGTAGGAGCCAGCACGGTCAGCCGCGACGTCTGAACGAGACATCTAAATTCGGACTACACACTTGACACTATCTCTGCATTTGCACACTACCTTGAATTGCACCTTTTTTTTTCCAAAAAATGCACATTGAGAACTTCAGAATTTTGGCATGTATGGATAACAAGGAACACTCTCAACAAGTCTTGTTAATGTGCACTGACAAACAATATCAAAAATAATTATTCTTTTTATGTTGGTGAGGTGTGCTGCACTGCGTAGCACTTCTCATCCACAAGTGAAAATAGCTGAAAGCAATGTGAGTATATCAGAAGAAGTTTGAGGAAGACATCACCTACATTGCTGGAAAGAATTTCTGACATTTAAGACGCAAAAAGAAAATTTTACAACGTCATCTTGAAACTTCAAGTGGATTTATCTCAGCTTCACTTTTCGGCAGCAAATCCCACCTTAATAAAACTATTGTTTCAGTATGAAACTACCGAAAGTCTTAATACTTGTGGATTATATGCCGAAATTTTATCCAGCCGGTCAATATGAGCTTAGATTTTGCATTTTCATGTTCCTTTATTATGAAAAATTGTAATTTGCAAAACTTGGCAAATGTAAAAAAAAAACAAAAAAAAACTCATAAATTTATTTTTATTTGGGAAATGCTTATTTTATTCAATTTCTTTTCATAGTAACCGGCAACAAGTATTGCAGTATGCATTCCACAAAGAAAATATGTGATTATCAACACCACTTCTCAACGACTGACTCATTGAGCAGATTCCATTCTTTACTTCGTTCTGGGGGTATAGTACCTCATAAAACTGGTTCACAGGGCTGAAACTTTGCATGCCCTCCTTCTATACGACTGCAAACACCACCTGCTACAATCATGCCAAAGCAGTGAGCAGTTCAAAAGTAGACATGCCCAGGTTTTGTCCTCCAATAGGAGGTATTCACCGGACGCCATATTTGAGGTAACTGCTCACAGCGCATGCCCGGAAAGAGTTTCCCGTCAGCTCTCGGGCAACTGCTCGAGAAGAGGGGAAGGAGAAATCCTCTTATCACTGGGACTCTCCTTTGTAGGTTCCCCAAACGTCGCTATTCTCCCTCTAGAAGTTATAGAAGATTAATTTGCCACTCAAAAGTCGTGCAAAAGCATCTTTCCCCTCTCTCTCTTCCCCGGTGGTAAGAAAGCAGTAGTGAGCACAGCTATGACCGCCAGTGAATACTTTATATTTGGTACAACCTGGAAAGCACGCATGCTGGGCATAGTCGACCGAGTCACCGGTCCTCGACAAACAACGCGAGTGTCAGTTGAGGAGGCTAACTCTGCTCTACGAGAGTGTGTTCCAAACGGAGAGGATTAATTCCGTATCTAGCGAAAGTCTGCAGTGCACTTGCAGTTTATTTAGATATTTATCATTGGAGAAGGAAGGTTGGCCCATGCGCCAGTCGTACCTTTCCGTCCGAGGTGGTTCCGCCTCAGAGAGTTGATCAGCGAAGACTTGCCCACGTTGGGGATCCCAATCACCATTATGTTGTAGTCATACTCCTGCGAAAAACGCCTCGTCAGATTACGACCAGGCTTCCCATCAGCAATCGTTCCACCGCACCGTGACTAAAACGGGTCCTTACCTCCCTCCGATTGAAGCGCTCCGAGTTACGGACCATGTTTGCGACTGTCGGCACGATCTGCAGAATGGTAGAGACAACATCGACAACATCCAACCCGCACGCGGAGTGATACGCACGACATTGAACTAAGGTGCCCCAGAACGCATTCTAAAAAAGTAGTCCCCCGATTTGTGCCCGATGACGTCGTAGAAGCGTCGCGTCGTCGTTGTAACTGCACACGTACGACAAAGCGAACCAACGCCGAAGGTGTAAGAAAAAAAATATTGGGGGACGCTTCAGCTTTGCCTTTAGGAGTGGGACGCGATAGCATTATCGGGCCCCGTTCTCAACACCTTCTCATATAAGCCCGCGCTCGTTCCCAACCGTGCAAGCTCGTGTGCATGGTCTAGCCAATAACGTCGCATGTGACGTCGTGTCACGTGATGCGTGACGTCACGTGTGACATAACACGTTGCTGCGCACTTTGCATTATGGAAAGTTTCGGTCCCACCGACGCCAGATTTTCTCTAACACAACCTCGTAAATGCTCTCACGTTATAAGTGCTTACTTTGTTGATGTTTTCGCTGGGATCGGAGCTCCGAATGTGCAAAACGTTTCGGACTCCCTGCGCTTGCAGCTGTTGCACTACATGATGCTCCATGTCCGGATCTGCGAGGTCTCTCTTATTGAGTAACAACAGGTGCGGCTTGATTGCCGTCAGCATCGTTGCGAAGTTTGGGTTTCTTCCACTAAAAGGCACTTGGTATCGAGTCAAGGATAACACAAAGTAATATTTAAGGGGAGGGTGTGCGGGGGAGCTACAAAACTAGCAACTGTACGCTTATGCAAAGCGTTAATATCTCCACTCGGAACATGAGCCCGTCTGGTTTGAGGAACCCCATCTTAACTCTGGAAAGCTGCAAGATTGAAGAACTGTTTGTTACATGAGGCACTGAATACAGACCTAACGATTAACAGCCTGTCAACAGCATAGCTTATAAAACGAGCCGAAAAGTTGGACGAGACATTATAGGGGTGTCTGTTTCTTCACACAAATTTGCTAATTCAAAGGATTACATCGCAACCGGTTGAGAGAATGTTTGGATGGTAAGACATAAGCTTCCGTGCTCTACGCATTTGAGGGTCATGTATATCTCTGGAATGCTCGTCTCTGGCATACTCCAGAGAGCACTCCGTTTCCCATGAGCTGACACTAGAGTGGGAGCTACGCGTTTGTTGTACCAGTCATCTTTTGCATCCGGTGATGAAAAGGAGGCAGTTCATTGCAGGGGCGTAGCCAAGGGGAGGGGGGGTCTTATGAATCTTCAGCCCGCCCGCCCGCCCGCCCGCCCGCCCCCCCCCCCCCCCCTTCCCCCCCCCCCCCCCCCCCCCCCCCCGGCGCGGTAGCCAATGAGCGAGGAGTCTTTAGAAGTTAGGAGGACACCATTTGGTCACAGCATCGGGAGATCGTTTCGTGACCCGCAAAGCAAACGCGGTACAAGTTACCGTGATGAATCGCGACTTGAAAAAAGGATATTCGAGCGTCGTGAAGTTCCAGGATGCAGTCGACGCTCTTGAGTTTGCGCTGCATATCCTTCATGCCTGGAAGCAAAAAACGGGCGCGTGTCCATGGGCAGTTCACGGGCCGCCAGCTTGACGTAAACTTACCGGTGTACATGTGCGTCGGAAACCACTTTGCCATGTCCTTCGGCGCAAGCTGGAAGGATTTGCGGAAGGTGGAACTCATTCCTTGAATCTTTGTTGCCATTTTGCTTCGCGGTTGACTGCTTCTGTACACGGGCAAAGCGAAGCAGACCAAAATGTTTTGCTGGATTGGATTGATACGGCTTTATGCCTTTATTCTTTTTAAAGCCATACATTAAAAAAAAGTACTACTCGTTCAAAAAAACTTGAAATTAAGCTATAATACGATTATTAATACAGTTAGTTGTAATATATATAGAAAGAATAAAAAGTGAAAAACTTAATAAACGCGGAATATAGTGCATTTATGTTGGCTACGTGGTAATGTGCACAATTGAATCTAAAAATATCTTAAATACTTTATTTTAATTTTTTATAAAATTACTTTTATGTGTTAAAATCGTTAAGATTTAGTACAAGGAGGTTATAATAAGACTCCTGGAGTGGAGGTGGCGCCGTGGCGCCCCGTTGCTGACGCTGAATTGACTGCCGCCCTCTTACTCGGGGCGGGAAAGTAATAGACGCGGTCTGTGGGGTCTGTGGGGTACGACTGATGTGATCTGTGGTGTGCGGCGGCGTTTCATTGAAGGCAAGCCTGTGAAGAAACTGCAGCCTTTCCCGAAGGCGATGGTGGCCTCGTGCGTCGCTCCCGGCTGCGTAAATCGCGTGAAAACGCCAGGAATTAGTTTTCATCTGTAAGTATGCAGCAACGTTGGCAACGTTCCGTACGCACGTTGCAACGAATCTTGCTTTGAGCTGCCTAGGTGGCGCTACATGCCGCCCGGTTAAAAAAACAAAAAGAAACCACGACCACCACGGCTTCTTTGGTACACCACGCGAAACCCAAGCACCTCAAGGGCGGCCATCCATCGCGACGCGGAACGCGCAGTTTTCAGGCCGTTCAAAAAGAGGGCTTCCCCCTGCCCCGCGTTCACGAAATCCTGGCTTTGTCCACGGATTCTGTCCCACGATAAGTGTGCGTCCTTCGGGAAGACATCGCACCTCGCGCCATTCCTCACCATGCCTTGCTGCGTAGCGTGGAACTGCCAGAACAGATCTGACGGACCACAGGGGACTTCGTTTCACAAGTAAGGCCACACGCTTTAGCGCCATCCGCCCCTCGGGCGCCAGTTTAGGTACGGTTACGGGAGACAAACAAGCGAGCAAAAAAAGAAAAGAAAAAAAAAAAAAGCACGCGCTAAATACGGATATGAATAGTGGGGGCAAGTAGAGTGCGGGTGAAGGCTTCGCTGGGAGATGGGCTAATAGCGAAGGTGTGACACATAATCTGTGAGCGGGCAGTAGCGCCACCTCGCACATGAAGCTAGAAGAGAAGGTGCTAATAAAAATGAGCATTTTCTTACAATGAGTATATGCCAACACGCTGTGTACAAACGGGCTCGACACTCCAACATCCGCATAACTAACTGGTTTTCGCTAGTGCCACAAAATAGGCTATGCTTCAGACTAACGACACTTACCAATCTCGCAGTGACACTTACCCATCATGGTTGCCAGTTATCTGAAGCGTTATCTTTGGAGGAAACTCTTTTCCCTCCTCCACAAATGTTTGAACAGTCCGCAACAGAGCAAAGCAATATTATGTGAGCTTCCTAACACTGAATCTAACACTGAAGAAGTCACACCTTTGAATTATGACGAACGGCAGTTGCATCTGCTCTGCACTAACACCAAGATGGCGACGCCCACTACAATATCAAGGAACGGAGTGCCGATAGTAGTTTCCTTTGGTTTACCTGCATCGGGGCATAAAAGTTCAGGGCAGTGTACTATCGCGGACAATATGAGCTGAAACAGCGCTCCGGCCTGTGCACGGTACTACCTGCACTGCCTGTCACATTGCTCCGCAAATACGGCGCACCCTGAGGCCGAGATAAATTCTCACTGGCGCTCACTGCGCCGCTGACTTGCGCTCACTGCGCCCTCACTGCACACCATGAAGATGACTTCCACCCCGAAATTGGACGGGCGAGAGTGGCACAGAAGAGATGCGGTAACAACCAGCGAGTGCAAACCTAGACGACAGCATGCAATCAAAAATAATTATTAAAAAAAATATATATATAACACATTTATTTTGTTGTTTTCGTTGTATCTTCACTTTTCGTGTTATATTGGTAGAAAAAAAAAATAATGATGTGCTAACAGTTTGTGCAAAAAAAGAGTGCATCGCTTCCGGCTCAAAAACGTTTGCTATTGCCGAGGTCGTTGAAAGCACCTGTCGTGGCCGCCTGCAATCTTATCTGTTGGCTGTTGCGCCAATCAGGCACCTTACTGTAGCAGACGGCCGCCGTAGGTAGAGGTTTAAAGTTTTTGATTTCTTTTTACTCGGGCAAGTTTGTTAGTGAAATATTTATACCCTTAAAGGGGTAGGGAAACAAAATTTCAGCGCTTATTTTCTAGCTTTAATGTGTTGCCTGTTGCATCCTAACCTCAAAAACACCAGTCTTTCGTTGAAAAGCTCAAGAAAACTAATTTTAAAGCTAAATAAACAATCTTCAATGTGCACTTGGTGGATGCATGCAGAGCCTATTTGGGAGGTAGTCTAGCAACATTGTGGAATTTGCTACGTAGTCGTGACGTAGCAGATTCCTTCGGGGCAGCGCCGCTCTTTGGCATTTCAACGTTTTCCTTCTTAGCTTTCCTCCTGAACTCACAAATCGCGCATTGTACCAGGCGGTCCAAGAAGACGGAACAGAAGGATTCCCCTCTGTCTCGCACCCTCGTTCGTGCAACCGGAAACAGTCATTCTCCCCCTAGAAGATTTGCCCGTCGTTTAAAACTCGGACAAAAGTTGCTTTCCCCACCCCGTTTAGCCCTAAGCTGACAGTGTTGTGGAAGCTAAGTGCTCCTTGGGCCTGTCACCCGCTCGTCACCCCACGGGTACTGCGAACGGCTCGGTTGTAACGCGCTGACGCTATTGACACCACCGCAACGCTGACAACGCCACCAAGGGCAAAGCTCATAATCACGCCAGCCTTGCTACGTCACGAACGCGGGGTATCTTTTCTTTTTGTTTTTGTTTGCGCCGGATATCCCATGACGCATGGCGCTCTCCGTTCGCTTCTCTTCGAGCGCTTGTTCGAGTGCACCGTTTGGAACGAAAAATATAGCCAATCGTTCAAAATACAAACGTGCAATTATTATTTACGGTTATTATTGGTCATGCTTGACTCATTTACGAATGAAATTTGAATATTGAAATTTTTGTTTCCGTACCCCTTTTAAGGGGTACTTCAACAAAATTTGAAATATACCCATCATGTTCAAAAATAGGTTGAATATGATTCATTATATCCGTAAATGCCAATCGCACATTTGTATTTTGAGCCTGGTGTCTGTATTTTTCGTTATAAACGACCCACTCTGGCAAGCGCTCTGAGAACCAGCGGAGCACGCGACATCCAACGCAATTGTGACGTAGTTCGTCTCGGGACGAGCAAAGCTACGGCGAGGCTGATGTCGAGAGGATGGCCTAGTCGTTGCAGCCATCGAAGCGGCTGCTTTTGTACGAATTTTGAGTGACGGGTTAATCTATAATCTTGTAAAGGGACAATAGCGACTTCTGGGACACACAAAAGGGATTCTCGGGAAGAGGGAAGTTCCTCTGATCTGTCGTGGTTGCCGGAGGCGAGACAAACGCCGTCACTACCTGCCAAAGTTCCTAGATGGTCATTACAAACGAGACGTTAGCGACACCCACCAGGCGCTCTTTGTTAAAACAGTTAGGGTGCAGGCGAGCTGGTGTAAGTTTACCATTTTTTTAGACCACCTGAGACTGGGTGGAAGAAACACGACGAACGTCTCAAACACAGCTAACCACTTTATTCAGTTTTCCCTCCTTTTATAGGTGGGAAAAAATTTGTCCAGAAAGATGCAGTGTGCATAGGCTCATCGGTAGCACCAGCTTTGGCGGAGATATATTTGAACTCACTTGATTCTGCAGTTGTAGAAGGACTAGGAAAAATGCCGTCGGGTAGCTGTATAGTCAGGAGATATGTCGACGACATTGTGGTATGCACCTTTCAGAGTGGAATTGCGGAGAAGCTAGAGTCACTAATAGTGTCATCAGCTCCTGAACTGAAGTTCACAGTGGAAAAACCAACGAACGATAGTTTACAGTTTTTTTATCTAAAACTTCATGTGGGTGAAACCCTATGCTGGGAGTATGGAAAAGATGCCCCGAAACCAGTACTCCCGAAGAAGAGCTGCCACTCGAAGACGGTAAAGGCGAGTGTCGTTAGATCGCGGTTCACCAATGCTTTGAACAGGTCATGTGTTCATTTCGTGGCTAGGGCAGTGAGGGGGCAGTGGCAACGATTGATGAACGCAGGCTACGAGGAAGATTTCATCGGGAGGCAAATGACATTAATGAACCGGGAAAAGGAAAAGGCGGAGGAAAAATCGAGAAACAGGATCGCAGTGATGCCGTATTTTCACACCGTGTCACACAATATAAAAGCGTGTGCAAAAAAATTTGGCGTTAATGTAGTTTTCAGCTCTGACTTTAAGTTGGGCAACCTCACTCCGTTCCAAAGAGAGCAAAAAGGGTGCCAAAAGGGCCACAGGGAAAAGTCTGTGCCTTGTGAGACTGGCGTTGTTTACGACATACCGATGACGTGCGGTTTTAAGTATATAGGGCAGACCTCAAGATGCTTGAACGATCGTCTGACAGAGCACAAGAGAAACGTAAAGATAAAATCGACTAATTCCGAAATTGCGACACATGTACAAGAATGCAGAAACTGCTCAGCCGAGTGGTCCGGTACGACGGTAGTATGCAAAGATATAAATGACGTTAAAAGGGTTGTAAGAGAGACAGTAAAAATTAGGTCGATCGGCAATTGCATAAGCCAGGCGTCTATGCTTCTTAGTGATAGGGCGAAAGCTTTTCTGCGAGTATGAAGTGAACAGGTTTTGTGTGCTTTCGCCAGAGGTGCCTCCTTTGTCATGTTCTTGGTCCGTTTGTATACTGCACTGTACAAAAAGGTGTATTAGGTTGATGGGTTCGAACTGCAGTCGGTTCCGTGTGGGTCGTTTTCTTTGTCTTTTGTAAGAGTGGCTGCGAGGTCAAAGAATGTTACCTTCGGCCGACGTTTTGATGTGTGTGTAGCTTTTGTTAATTCAAAATAAATCGTTAAATTTTTTTTTTTTTTTTTTTTTTTTTTTTTTAGCATTGTTGTGGTTGCGAAGTCAAGATGTGTCCCCTTGGTGCCTTTGTTTGGAGTGTTTTTTTATGGTGACGATTTTTGGATCAGGATGTATAAAAGGAGGGAAAACTGAATAAAGTGGTTAGCTGTGTTTGAGACGTTCGTCGTGTTTCTTCCACCCAGTCTCAGGTGGTCTAAAAAAATGGCTCTTTGTTAATCGTTTCATTTTTTCTTTTAAATTCCTTTTCGTGTCTTTGGTAACAGGATATTGGTGTGTCCGATGTTATGATACTGCTCCTTTGAACAGATAGACCAAAAAATAAGCGCTGAAATTTCGTTGTAGTATCCCTTTGAAAGGTTACTCCGGCGATTTTTTTCATGGTCGCCGATTTGCCTCAAAATTGGCTCGATGGACCAATAGACACGGCTGCACCAGTTCCTTAAGTATTGTGTGAAAAGAAAAACATTTTTCGAATTAAGTTTTCATTTTGTTTCCCAACCCCTGCTGGCAACATTGATGTGTGACGACAGAGATGGTACAAAGTCGGCAGTAAGCCATGTTCCCTACTGAAATGCTTGGTAGCCGATTCACTGAGAGGGGTGGGCAAGGCGGAGCACGCAAAAACTACTTGATATACTCTGTTTAAGACTACCTGCACGACCTGACAGTCTGTACCGTTTGTGACATCACAATACTGGAAAGCGCTAGAAAGTTTCAATGTTCTGTTCGGCATCATCTTCATTTAGTTTTCTCAATTGCTGTTTTGAATTTCTAGAAAAAAAATAGCATACCGTGAAGACTAAACTCCGGGTAGTCAGAAAATACAATTTGTTATGGGCAGCTCAAAAAACGGCCGGAGTACCCCTTTAATGTACGCTCTTCGGCCACCTTTGCGTAAAATCTTAGCTCGATACGTTCAGAAACTGATTTAGGTGGTCTTTTCAAGCCGCCATCAATCCCTTTGACTTGTCCTGTAGATATGGTGGCATGGTGGCACTAAGCATAGGACTTTTCTAGGCTGCTGGGAGAAGCGGGCGATTGATACCCTTTCCAGCCCACCGTAGCTTCGCAAAATGGTTTGTGGCGAACGCATGCCCACAGCATGCTTTGCTTATCGTCTCACGAAAAGTGACAATCTTGATGCTGCTGGATGCATCTGGCTGAAGCACCGCGGAACCTGGGTTTCAGTGTGCTTTTTGCTACGAGAGACCCAGCAATGCCTGGCAGTTCCTACCGTTTATACTCGTAAATGTATGAGCACCCGTCGCAGCAAGGGACGCAGCGATGGCGGCCAGTTTATACCATTTATATTCAAAGACGTGGCAGCGGTGGCCAGTTCGTACCATTTCTATTTATAGATGTAAGAGTAACCATCGCGTTGAGGGACATAAGAATGGCGGCCAATTCATGCTTTTCATAGACGTACGCATATTCACGTCGGCTCGGACGAATGGATGGTCGCTTCTGCTCAGGTTCCCCTTGACCAGACCGGAGCTGCTCGAGCTATGGTTGCACAATCTGAACCGCGAGCCGGGGTGGGAGCCCAATGTACGTTCCGTGCTCTGCTCGGACCATTTCCTGGAGAAGTGCTTCGACAGGACTGGGCAGACGGTGCGGCTTCGTGCTGACGCCCTGCCCACCATCTTCGCCTACCCGGAAGACCGTGTGCAGGTGAGCCATGCCCACAGCCAGGGGGCGGGAACTGGGCGGACGCCAGAGGAGGGGTAGAGGCGGGGGCAGAGCGCGGCAAATTGTAAGCGCCGAAGGGGTCCTCAGAAAGGGAACAAGAAAGAGAGCAACGGAGAAGCGAAGAAAGGAAGCAGACGATAGGGGTAAGGCGCATTCGTTTTGCCGCGACGAGTTAAAGTTGTTGGAGTACTCGTCGGATATTTCTTCTTATACAGCGCGCGAGGCCAGTGTTTTCGTGCAAAATACAGCTAGATAAGCACTAGGCCTTGCAAGCAATGTTTTTCTCTTTTTGCGTGCATATCAAAGTGTCGCCAGCAACATGGTTCCATCGACACCGTTGATGTCCACGTCAGTGCGCTGCTGCTTCGAAGTGGCCAGAATGCGTGGGACTTTTATCTTTAGATAATTATATTGGCTCCATGCTTCTCGGCTATCCACCGTTTTTTGTGCCTCGTTGTATTGCCGTTCCTTTGATTATGTACACCCTCGCTTTACTCGAACGAGTCGGCGATATTAATAAATAAATAAACAGAATTCAGCAATAAATGCCGACTTCACTTTCGCAGGACATCATAGAGACCGTGCCGGCAAGCGTCAAAAGTGCATCAACAGGCAAGAGCGGAGGCGCCGCGACACCGGCGGAGGACATGGAGTGCATGGCCGTGTCCCCGCCGTCGTCCCCCGGGGGGAGCCCCGATTCGGCCAGAGCACGGGAGGTGGCGGCGCTGGAGCACAGCTACCACGGCACGGCCACCGCGGCCAAGCGACAGGGCCCCGACGATCGCGAAGTACTCAAGAAGAAGCTCAAGATGTCACGGCAGAGGGTGCGGCGTCTCGAGGAGAAGGTCTCCATGCTCAACGACATGGTCTACTCTCTGCTCAACCAGACCATCATGGAGATGTGACGGACTAGTCGGTGCCTTGGTCGACTCTCTCGGAACGTGCGGAAGGGCCGGCGCAGTTTGTTTTCGGCACTCGGCAGTAGACGAAAGGAATGTCCGCTCGTTTGTTTCGTCGAACCACGAAACTATGTGCAGTCTGCGAAACGCTCCGTGCCTATTTACTCGTGCCCGGATATCGCGTGCAGGTGGTCTCGCGATCCACGGATACTCCGTTTCACCTTACGATAAACTGACCGCAGTGGGTGCAACGAGCCATCCCAGCGCCGTGCCCCTCTTCGAGATTGCGTGGCACGACATTGGACTGGCCTAGGCGACGTGTGGCATCCGCTGTCGTAAGGTGAAACCAGGTGTGGCCACTGAGGAGTTGTAGAGAGTCTGTCTCGCTGATTCACCGCAAGCCCAAGCTTCTCGTCTCAAGGAGCACTTTTGTTTCAGTAGCGCACGTGTGCAGCAGGCCTGCTCGGCGTTGCTCGCAGTTGTGCCGAAACCAACTAGCGATGAATTGTGCTCTATGCCGGCCGTGCCCGGCGTTGCATCGAGAACATCAACGTAGAACGAATAAAACGTTCAAAGAGTTTAATATCGAAAAAGTTGAAGAAAAGAAAAATTTCACTGGTTCCTCCAGAAGTTTGGGTTCTGCTGGAGCCGTCGCTGGAAGTTGCTGTGCCACTGTTCCAACGCCCGCATGGGGAAGAAGGTGTCGCCGGCCGGCGTCATGGGGGCGCCACCGTACGACGCCAGGTGGTTGAAGAGACTCTCCAGCATCTTGGTGCAGAACTCCGTGCTGGAGTCGAGCGGGGAAGCGGTCGCGGCCGGTGCCGCCTGGAACTGGATTTGCGCCAGGGGCTCCACAGAGATCCCGAGTTGGGCGACGCTGCAAAAGCCGTGCGACGAAAAAGCGTGCTCCGGCTGCGCGTCTGCGAGGGTAAAGACGAGTGATGCTGTCAGTCCAGACAGAAATCCAGTTGCCGCGGCATCCGCAAGCTCGCCTCGTCGTTGCTTGGGGAATCGGAGGGGCTTACCTTCTTTGTGCTTGGACACTTTGAAGATGGCACTGGGCTTTTCGTTCGAAATAAAGCCGAGGTACTGCCAGTTCCCGACGGCATCCGGGCTCGGCCAGCTGAAGTACACTGCAACACATTTCATGCACAGACGCACGTGAGTCTTGAGCAAACTTGCAGCGTCTAGAATTGGACGGTTTGTAAACAGACCCCCTTCACATGCGAAACTCTCCTAGTGAACCCTCTGGATAGCATAAAACTTTGCTACCTGGGTAACATTGAAGATAGAGTGAGTAGGCAGGTGAACTGGTTGATACACATTTAAAAAAAAACGGAGACAACGGACGAAAAAGGGGACAACGTACAAAATATCTCAATTGAGACGTTTTGTGTGTTGTCCCCTTTTCCGACCGCCTCCGGTTCTTCAAAAATGGATAACACGTTGGAGCACAAATTTGAAGGAATAGACATTAATTTCTTTAATAGTGAACCTCATTTGTTTTAGCTGCACGACAGATATATCGAATGACAATGGCCTAAACAGGCAGTCTGCTGGCTTTACATGATTGCAACCACCATGCATTGAATCGGGCTTCAACCAATTGTATGTACCCAGTCCTCTGTTCCCATTCTACCCAATCAGGGTGGTCTCTTGATTCGACACACTACAGTAGCATTCTTGTAAACATGGCCATTGCCAATTTTTTTTCTGGCTCATCTTTCCGCTGCAGTGCTCTCGTCAAAACTTCATATGGAATTGAACCTGGTTATCTGGGAGTGCTAAGCTATATCTAGGTAATCAAAATTGGTACTCTTCGATAATCTGCGCAAACAAAATACTTGTTAGGGGAGATGTGTAATATAAAGGGAAGAACATAAAAGATTGACTGACAAGACTATTCCCAACTGGCAGCAAAAATGAAGATCTTATGCTGTGCACTCAGATTGGCACCAAGGCAGGTGTTTTATTTGCTCATGGCAGAGCGAACTCTCGAAACAAATTTAAGAACTGACTTCTCGAAGCTGGCCATGTTGGGACATCTTCAAGTGCGGAGAGAGGGCGCCACCCATATTCCATAAAACGTGCTATATGTAAACATACCTGATCCTCCCAAACCCTCGGGGAATGGCTGTGCTCCGGTTAAAAAGACGACGATGTGGTGAATGCTCGCCGGATCTGGGATATTCACCAGAAACTTGGTCTGGTCGACGGCTTGGAAGTCCGTCTGGACCTGACAGAGGCAAGTGATGTCGAGTTTGCTGATATTACTCGGGAAGTCGCGTGCGAAGTGGCAACACTTACCAGCCGACCGGTGACAATAGCGCCGAACAAACTCATCGTGGGTACTGAATGCAGCGTCCTCCGGGTTTGGTGCTCAGGTACTGTAAAGCTCGCGACTGCTTCTATCCGCCCACAGAGTTAGCTTAGAGTGGCGGTGATTATCATATTGCTAGCAGGAGCGGCACGCGCAATTCTTCGATTTCTCTTCTCAAAGTTTCTAATATATCAGATGTATAGATGAATGATCATATTAATAGCTATACCGTTTGTAACGGGCGGCAGCTTGCGCCACCTAGCCTAACATTTTGTCATCGTCCTCTTTTAACTTGTATAAATTTTATTCTAACCCCCCCCCCCCCCCCCCCGACCCCCCCTCCCCCTTTTTCCCCTTTGGAGTGTTTCCATTGCTTATTTTGATGTGTATTTTTTTTACCCCTCCCCGGATCTTTTTCACCAAATCCGTAGTCATCCAACACCTCCTAAAAACTAAGGCCGTAGCGCTCTCCTCGTGACGTCGCAAAGGAAGGCCATCGGGGGCGCGCGTCGAAACGCGCTTTTAGTCACATACTAAAATGAAAGCTGCGCGTAGCAAGGGGTCTCGAAAACCTTTTATTACACGGGCAAAATATTACACCGCTAAATAATCGGTACGAAATGGCACGAGGTAGGCGTATGAGAGAAAAAATTGAGTCACGCAATTATTGCTGTAGGAATGCATATTTTACACAGAAATACTTCGACAAAATGGCGAGACACGCAGTGATTGGACACAGCAAAACAGATCACAGTTAAAAATCGGGTAGACGTCACGTAGTCAACGCGGACACGGCTCGACAATGGTCACATACGATAATGTAAGCGATGTTATCGCGTGCAGTCACTGAATTCTTGCATCATACCCCGGCCACATGGCAAAAGTAATGTAATTTCGATCGGATGACATTATGGGGTCGACAAATCAACTTGCGACCCACTCAAGAAAGAGCTAAAAAGCAGACACTCTTGACATCAGATTCCTCATCTGCTCTCCTGCAATCAAAAATTTGTTTCCATTTCCTCCTCGTACTGAGGAACTATTCGCGCCCGGAAGAAGTAATGAACTCTGCCGGCGATATATTGAATCCAAGCATCAACTTGAGCTGGTCGAAGTTTACCATGGTGATTTTAACCCTACACTGTAGCAACATTATGTTTCTAGCGAGTGAACATTTCCAGGATCCTAAACGCCAACATTTAGGATCCTGGATATAGACGCTTTGCAGCAGCTGTGCGTGCGTGGACGCCGCCATAACTGACCTTCAGTTTTTGTTTCCTCTTATTCCTTCTATTTCACTTCATCATTACCATAGCAGGCCAGGTTATGGCCATATTAGATTCAACTGTGTCCTTTTCTAAAACACCGGCCCTTGTAGAGGATCGTCAACTACCGTTTCAGTTGCTCGGGATCTCGGTAAGACAAGAGAAGGTCAGCAACGGCGGCTGTAATTTGGCGCGTGTGTAAAGCGTCTATTGGTGTGCTTGAAGTTTAGCGCGGGCAACGAAGTTTGGTTTAACACGTGGCGACATCTTATGGGGAATTTTCGCAACTCTGAGACGACTCGCGGCCTCAGTCATTAGACTCGAGCTTGAATGCCCGAGCGCCTTTACGAGCTGTGACGCGGTGCTCGTGTACAATCGCTCGGTGAATAGGCCTTCCGCCGAGATTTCTTCCTTCTGCCTCGGGTTAAAATCATCCTGGTATATTTGCTGCCTCGAAGGCAAAACGAAGACGATTGGAGTGATATTTTGTATTTGTCTCGCCATAAGTTACATCGCAGATGACGAGCCGATCAGACCAATCAAGTAGCGCGAAAAATGCCAAGTCACAACTCACGGTGTTTTTCCGGGAAAATAGGGATTATTTTCTCGGCTAAACAGCAAGCCCGGGCAGCCCAGTGAAAGATGTGGTTGTGCTGTCTTCCATTCTTTCTTCGTTACATAAGATAGCGAACGTCGGATCGCGGCCAACGCTAATTAAACAGCGTCGAAAGTGCAACGTCACTGGCTCACTGCGCGCCTTTTTCTACCTGGAATGCAGAGCGTGCTGGTAAGGATAATAATAAAAATGATGGGAAGAACATAAAACAGAAGGACGGACGCATGCAACTCGTCTTGTCCGTCCTTGTGGTTTGCTTTCTTCCATCATTTATAGTACCTTTTCCTGTGGGTTGTTTTGCCTTCTAAACCAACTGTGATGATGTGACTTAAATGTGGAAAAGAAGAAGTGCAAGTCAACCCATGGATCGGCCCAGAGGGAGAAAGGAAGACGACGAAGAAGGGAAGATTTTGGAGCGCGTGCTCGGAGGGCGTGAAAGAAGACTGGCCGAAGGGAACGTGCAGAGTGTGGAACGACACCATCGGCCAGGGCAATCGGCGGCCTCCTACTGCCTGACCAGCAGCCTGTTCCAGCGCGAGGGCAGCGCATAGAAACCTACGCTGCCCGGCTTCCTACTGCGCGAGCACTGGTTGCGGTGACTCTTGGGGCCGCCGACGGAAGCCAACCGCTCCCGCTCCTGACTTCCAGCCACAACCGTGGGCCGACAACAACAGCACAAGACACACTGCTGCACAGGAATTCAAAGACATGGTGACTGATGCGTTTTCCTTTCTTTCATTTCTTTAACTAAGTTTTCCTTTTTTTTATAAGCATATGAACTTTTTGATTTTTCTGTAAATACAAGCTTTTATGTAAAACGAAGGACATTGTATCTTGTCGATTATTAACCACAAAGAACCCTGTGACACCAACTAAACGCATAATGTGTGCCGTGACGTTGCGGTTTTAGTCCGCCCTTGTGCAAGGAGTCCACAGCCGCCAACAAAGGGCAGTTTTTATTGCTCCGAAATTGACCTTTCGGAGGTGCAATGGGGGACAGCGGGGCTTGGGCCGTCGGCAGTGCGCCGCGAAGCAGCGTGTAAGGGTCGGCTAGGTGGGTTCATATCTTTTAATGGGCCATCCGCAGACTCGCTGCGTAAACGGGGGGCCCGGGTGGGTTAACGCGCGACCCACTGCGCCTCCAAAAAGCCCGATATATTGTTCCAGCGTACTCCAGTATTGGAGGCGCCTCGTTCGACTGCTAATCCACTCTGCTGTTGGCAAAAAAAAAAACAAAAAAAATGAAAGCCGTTTACAATTTTTTATAACGCCGAATTGGAGCGCAACTCTTGAGGAGGAGGGAGAAGGGTACTAGGGGTCACGTGACCTGGTGGGGGTCACGTGACCTAACGGTTACGCCGACGCCGGAAACGGGCGCCTACATGGCCAGGAATCCGAGACATTCGCTTTAGTTTCATTGCGCGACGACACGTGGTGTCCAAGCCCTTCTATCCTGGGAAAAGTGGCGCCATTCATTGTTGTAGAAATGCTCAAAGCACGTGCCGCGCGCCACTGCTGGGAAGAACACGGCGTCTGAAATCTAACTCAGTGGTGCGTTGTGCCGCCATGATCCTCAAAGGGCTGCGCGTTGTACGTGTCTCCTTCATCGACGCACTTTGCGCTACTTTCAAAACTTGATAGGGCTTTAAAGGGGGGGGGGGGGGGGGGGGGGGGGGGGCAGCGATTTTAAGATTAAAAGAATTTGCATCTCGTCATTTTTACGTTGTTCATCGTGTTCCAGAGGATACAGAAAACATCTCCTCCATTAAAAAATGTCGCGATTCCGCTGCATAATCGCAAAGCCAAAGTCGAGCTTTTTCTCCACCTGCAGCCGCGAGTGGCAGCCGAAGGAACTACAGCGAAAGGCTTACGTAACCTCGCTCGGCTCTAAGCTGCAGCATAACGCCCGCTAATGTCAGCAGAGAAAGGGAGAGTAAGCGTTCTCCGCGAGAGAGCATACGGGAACTACGGCACCCCAAATTATGTCACTAGGAGGAGGACCAAGTGTGACCCTGAAGGCTGATAGTGAGTGGAGGGGTGCCAGAAATGCCAATGTTCATATCTTTTTTTACACAACAACTAGGACACGCAGGCGAAATCGGTTTTCTGTTCTTTGCTTTAGAAGTGTCAGAGGCTAACTTCCACAAATGTTTGACCGAAGTCCTGAAATCGTTGCACCCCCCCCCCCCCCCTCCTTTTTAAGCGGAGCACGTTTCCAATTTCCTATCTGCCTTTTCTTTCCGCCTTCTCCACGACTCCGCCAATCTTCGAATCCGAAGAGGAGGCATCATGTAATGCCGCAAGGGCGTATATCCTAAAGACGGCTCGGGACCTCGGAACCTTCCAAGGTTAGAGCTGAGCGCGCACAGCGCAGAAGCGCTAAATGTTCACTTGCTTCGCGCGGTTGAAATGCAAACTCGCTCCTACGGCCAGTGCGCATTTTAAAGCAAAAATATACACCATAGAGAATTTCGTTTTATGTACGAGCGAAGTTGAAGTTAGAAGCGCGAGCCGAACGCGCTGGGTGTTCCAACCTCGCACGCCCGCTCGTGCAGGAATATTGTTTCACGAAGCATGCTTGCGCGCGTTGCTTCTTCGGCTTCGCTCGCACATAAGGTAAAAACTTCAGTGTACTAAAATTCGAGGTAGTCTTGGGACCGGAGCGGCTCGTGTGAGGCGTGTGGTGTAGATCGCGACAGGTGTTGACACCGGCGCATCGACAGTAATGGCATATGCAAGATTGTGCCAGAGACGTCATTCTCGGCATGGACTTTCTGTGTGAATACGGCACCGTCATCGACCTTGGAGAGAACACATTGACTCTGTGGGCACCGGTTCCGCCTTCAGAAAATCCCCAAACAGTGTCAGCCGCTGTCCGAGTCGCTGCCGACCACGTGAACCTGCCGCCGCGATCAAGTATTGTCGTAACCGCCGTGACCGATGCAGCTACCTGCCGCCGCGATCAAGTATTGTCGTAACCGCCGTGACCGATGCAGCTACCTGCGGCGAAGTTGTTCTGGAAGGCAGCGTTCAACTGCTCCTGGGTATAGAGGATCAGGCGTCGCAAGGGGGGTGACTGAACTTTAGAATGGACACACTGTGGTCCGTGACGAACTTCCGACAAGAAACCCAACACCTCACGAAAGGTGCCTTTGTAAGCCACTAGGGGGAACGCCTGAACTCCGTCGATATCGCCGCGATTGCTGAAGAATCCTCGCCACCTCAGCAAAACGTTACGCCGACAGCGCAGCTCAACATTGACCCCAAACTTTCAAGTCCGAAACGGCAGCGGCTGAGTGTCATTCTTGCCGAATGCAGTGACTGCTTCGCGACGTCGTCGAAGGTGTGCCAAGCCACGGTTGCGAAGCATCGCATCGTTACCGAGGACGACGCGCTCCCTGTGCATCGATCGCCATACAGAGCCTCCGTAAAAAAAAAGGGAGGTCATCCAGGAGCAAGTGCACGAAGGGCTGAAAGACGACATAATCCAGCCCTCAAGCAGTCAGTGGGCCTCTCCAGTCGTGCCGGTTAAGACGGACTGAACGCTTAAGTTCCGCGTGGGGCTACCGGCAGCTGAACGCGGTGACGAAGAAGGACGTCTACCCACACCCCCGCAAAGACAACACGCTAGACCGGCTGCGCCACTCTCGATATTTTTCATCGATGGACCTGAAGAGCGGCTACTGACAGATCGAAGTCGGCGAACGGGACCGAGAGAACACAGTCTTTGCCACGCCAGATGGACTGTACGAGTTCAAGGTGATGCGCTTTGGACTATGCATGGCACCAGCAACTTTCCAGCGCGTCATGAACACTGTACTGGCAGGGCTGAAATGGCAGAGCTGTCTCGTCTGTCGCGAACCGGCACTTTGACGACTCCAAGCTGTTTAGGCCATAAAGACCGCCGAACTCACCCTCAAGCCGTCAAAGTGCTGGTTCGCCTATGCTGAACTGTAGTTCCTAGGCCACGTGGTTAGTAAAGAAGGCGTCCGCCCATTTCCCGAGAAGAATCGCGCCGTCGCGGCATTTCCAGCGCCGACAAACAAGAAGGCCGTGCGAATATTCGTTGGACTTTGTGCCTACTATCGACGCTTCTTTCGGGATCCTGCAAGGATTTCCGCGCCTCTCACAAACCTCACGAAGGACGCCGAGGAGCTCGAATGCGCCGAGAAGCCGCAGTAGTCGTTTGACAAGCTGAAGCGAAGATTCCATACTCCTCCTGTTCTTGGACACGTTTGATCAGGATGCCGAAACCGAGATTCACACGGACGCTAATAATGCAGGAGCAGGACTTGGAGCAGTACTGGTTCAAGTGTAAGAAGGCACAGTGCGAGTCATCGCCTACGCGTCGGACACTGTCAAAGAGTCCACGACTGAAAAATAATGTCTTGCGGTCGTGTAGGCAATCACGAAGTTTCGCCCGTATTCGTACGGGAGCCCGTTTCGCGTAGTCACAGACCATCACTCGTTCTGCTGGCTTGTGAACCTCAAGGACCCTTCAGGACGGCTCGCTCGATGGAGCCTCCGACTAAAAGAGTTCGACATGACTGTAGTCTACAAGTCAGGTTGCTAGCACAGCGACGCCGACTGCCTGTCCAGAGCCCCTGTCTAAACACCTTCCGGCGGCAGCGACGACGGTGACGACGAGTGCTTTCTAGGAGCAGTGAACACCGACGACATGGCACGACGCCAGCGAGACGATCCTGAGCTGCGCGCATTAATCGAGCACCTGGAAGGGTGCGGCAGTACCGTGCCACGTGCTTTCTCACGAGTCCTGCCGACCTTCGCCATTCGACAAAATGTTCTCTACATACAGAACTTCGTGGGCAACAACTCGCCGTGGCTGCTGGTTATCCAGACCGACCTACGAGAGATCTCTCAAGCATGTCACGACGACCCGACGTCCGAACAACTTGATTACAGCCGGACGCTGGCCCGTATTCGGGAAAAGTATTAGTGGCCCAAGCTCCCCAAAACCGTCCACCTCTACACCCGATCATGCCACGAATGCCAGCGACGCAAGAAACCGCCGACGAAGACGGCAGGTCTCCTGCAGCCAATTCCTCCGCCAACTGCACCGTTACAGCAGATAGTCATTTTCCGTCGTCAGCCCTGGGAAACCGTTGGATAATCGTCGCCACAGATTATCTCACCCGGTACGCAGAAACGAAAGCCCTTCCTTAAAAAACTGCTGTTGAAATCGCCATTTTTTTTTTTTTTAGTTTATCATTTTTTGGCACGGCGCTCTCAAAGTCCTGATTACAGATCGCGGATCATTGCTCATGGCGCAAGAAATCCTCCGTCTCAGCCACACCAGCCATTGTCGGACCACGGCGTACCACCCGCAGGCCAACGGGCTCACGGAGAGACTCAACAAGACCATCGCCGACATGATCTCCATGTATGTCGACGACTCGGCGTGGAGCACAAGGCATGCGACGAGGTGTTGCCGTACGTCACATTTGCCTACAACACGGCCGTGCAAGAGACCACTGGGGTGAAGCCCTTTCAACTGGTTTATGGTCGCAAAGTAACGACAATGCTGGAGGCGATGCTACCCCACGAACCGGTTGTCGACCGAAGCGACGACGCCCAGGTGGTTGCCCCAACAACGTGTGGACACTGGCCGCTACAACCGTCGTCGTCGGGACGTCCACTTCCAGCCCGGAGACAGGGTGTGGGTTTGCCATTTCGCCGCCGTAGTTTAGCGAAAAACTCCTGAAGCGCTACACAAGCGCTCACAACAGCGCCGCCGTCTGCTAGCGCTGTTGTGAGACGCCGCAAGATGTGGGCTACGCTGCATGGAGCCACTGGTAATGACGGTTTGGGGGGGAGGGGGGGGGGGGGGGTGCAGGCTTTATTTATTAGGAGGTGTTGTTCGATACCGTGGTTGGTACCACCTGGCGGCGCTTATTTGGCACCTTCTTAATTGCGACAGACGACATCAAAAGAGGCACGAGACTTGAGTCTACGCAATTCTCGTTTATTGCCCCCAAGATCCAGAGAGTGGCGAGACCTAGGGAAAAGGAAACAAAGCGAACGACTTTTTGGGCCGGGGCTTCCGCAAGCCAGCGGCCCAACAACCAACAGACCAGTAACAAGCAACAACCGTCTGCAAACCTTGCTAGAGCTCCCGAACAACGACGCCCCCCTTTTGGTAAAAAATATATTTAAATATGTAAACACGTGGTATGTACAGCGCAGGCGTCTCCCCCCTCCTGCGGGGACCACCGCCTTCTTCATCTCTCCCTCAGAACGAAACAAAAGAACGCCTCAGGCGACGAAAAACCAAAGGAGCGCCCGAAGGCGGACGAAATCCGGGACAACCCCGGTCTCCTCGGGCAGCGCTCCTCTTCCTCCTCCGCGGACTTGAGCAAAAACAGCGGCCGGGACGCGGTTTCTGTGTTATTTTGTCTATTGCTCTAGTGGGGTCACTACGACTCCTTCCGCTCTCGGTAAAGACTCCTCTTGTATAGATGCTACGGACACGAGTGCTTAGTGATGCTTTTGCCTAACACACGAACTAACGTTGACACCCCGAGAACTGGAAAGCCAAGCTCGCGGACGACCGTCCACGCTCTGCTGCCCGGAGTGGCGCCGAGGGAACCCTTCCAGAGGACCCGCGGCGCGGTGAGGGGAGGCTCTGTAAATGCAGTAGATCCTAGGCCACTAGCGCGCGGGCACGCGGCCGCCATCGCCGCCATCTTCCTGCGCATCGGTCACGTGCCGCCACGCGAGATCCAGACTAGGGGGGGGGGGGGGGGGGCGGCCGGACTGTTAACGTACGCGTGGGACCGCCCTGCAGAAGTACGGGCGGGCGCACGAGGCCCGGGGTGCGGGCCCGGGTGGGGGCCCCGGGCGGCACTTTGACACGGTTGCGAGGGGACAGAGGGCCGCCCTAGCTCCTTTCTCCCCCCGCGGGAGCGCTTGCATAAGTTTCAGGTACGTGAACCCGGGCAGCTGCTGCATAGAGAGGGACGCTACTGATGCTCGCCGTCCAGGGCTTCCAGGTACTTCTGGTCGATGAAGAGCGTGACCACCTTGTGCCTGAGGGAGAGGAAGAAAGAGAAAGGTGGGACGCGTCTGAGGTCCTCCCTGCCCTACCCCATACCACCGTCCCCCGGTCTAGAAGACTCAAGAGGGCTCGGTGTGTAACTTTCTGTATTCATTCATCTGAGATTATCTTCTGTCGAACGCCTTCGGCGGCACCGTATATCTTATATCGCGTTAGGCGCTTGGTCACCTGCCATTTTCTAGGTCTAGACCCGCTGGCCATCTGGCACAGCAAATTTGAAATATGGTGGTCTGTCTGTGGCGTGGTGTTATGGTCTGATTCCGCAATCTACAAAACTACTGTTGCCAGCTTAAATATAAACGGGTGATGTACCCCGCGACGGGCATTCGTGCAAGCGTGCGCTCCCGCCTGATGCTCGTTAAAGACTCCAGGATAACAGAGGTACTACGCTGGCCGATTGCTCTTCTGCAGCGAAGGCATCAAACGTCATTTCAAGGCGGCCAACTAAATTCTTGCTTATAAACGTCCGTTCAAAAAGGAATCGACGTCAAGTTCCAGAATCATAAAAATTAGGAAGTCAGAGCGATACCATCTTGTGGCAAACATGTTGAGGAAGACCCTCAAGAGAGCTCGCAATGATTTCCCGTTCGCTACAGGAACCAATCGATAAGCAACGGTGCAACTGGATGACTCTTCTGCTAAACATTTCCCATGTCTGCAGCAAGTTTTACCTGAGTGGCAGCAGCAAGAGGATGATGACTGGGAAGACCATCTTGACGTAGGGCCACGGAGCGAATCCAAAGAAGCACATCACCAGCAGCTGAACTACCTGGCAGACGGTGAAGACGTGGATCTTGCGCTGCGGGCAGCGACGGATGTAGTGGTTGGGCGGGTACGCCGCCTGCTCCATGAAGAGGAGCGTGATGCGCTCGAACATCTGGTTGCCGTTGAGCGACGTGATGGCCATGTAGAGGAACAGTCCGTCCAGGACAGCCGTCGGGATGTAGGCCAACGGGTACGGCAGCAGGAACACAGAGAAGCCGATGAGCAAGTGCGACACAGCTCCCGTGAGTCGGGTCTCGCGGACCCTCACGATGATCTCGTAGACGTGACCCTGGTCGACGCGTTCCTCGACGTCTGCCAGGCTGCGGACGTGCAGTGGCGAGTGGGGCAGCACGCCGTGCATCCAGGGCAGGCCGAAAATGGACAGGACGCCGTTGAGGAGTCCCACAACCAGGAGGTCCAGGTGGTAGGCTGCACCTTTCTTGAGCTTGTTGCAGGGGTTGTTCACCATGGCCGCCGAGATGTTCTGGTCCATGAAGAAGAGGAGAGAAAGGGCCAGGCCCAGGCCCATGGCGCCCAGGGCGGCGGGCCAGCGGAGCACCTCCACCCGCGCCCGCTCGAACTGGTCGCTCTGCCCGAAGTGGAACTGCTCCGCTGCGTGGAGAGAAAGCAATAATTGTGATGTGTGTATGTTTAGACAGCTGGCAGCCCCAACGGACGTCTGATGTCTCGGCTGTAGATGAGAAATTTAGCCAGCGCAGTACTACTGCTAGTCGTGGGTCTTTAACGCGCGTCACGCAGAGACCGCACGCTGGTACAATGCTCATCCAGATCGAAACGGGCAGAGGGTTCGCGTTGCAGAACCCACGATACCTGGGTTCTACAACGCGAGCATTCAAGGGCAACCTACAAAACTCCATGTTTATATCGGTTTCAGCGAGTTAACTTCGTTTGAGAAGTAGTTTCAATTTGTTAAAAGTCATTTTTATTTATTTTTTTATTTTTTTCACTGCTTTGCGAGTGAGACTACGCTACTGGTAAGCACGATTAACTAAACTAAAAAATGAACTTCTTGCATTTCCGATTTTGGTAAAATAAAGTTTCGGGAGCAGGAATAACTCCAGAACGCAAACCCGAAGGGGCGTTCGACGCTCACTCACTTTCTACTTCGCGGAAGACAAAGGCCCCCAGGAAGCTGAGTGCAATGACAGCCACAGGCAGGGCATAATCGGCCAGCATTTCCCGCTTGCTGGCCTGGAGGTAGGGCGTCTTGTTGAAGTTGTACAGGGACACGGCGAGCCAGACGGTGCCCAGCATGAGCAGCAGGAAGAGCAGACTGTTCTCGCGCCGGCACTGGGGCAGCGCCCCGAGCAGGGCTTCCGTCGTGTTGTTGGCCGACTTCAGTAGCGACCCCAGGGCTTCCGCGGATGGTGGCAGACATTCCGAGGCGTAGTAGTACCTCTGGAAGTTCTTGTAGACGTCCCGTCCCGCGTCCACGCAGAACGCGATGCTTATGAACAACGCAAAGATCTCCTCCGTCGACCTGCGCCCGCAAGCGTCCAGAAGGTCAAAGGTCATCGTGTACGAGGAGGAACAGCAGAGAGGAACAGCTCCAACGGCAGAGCCAGAGTGTCATATCTGTTTTACTTTGCTGTTAAAGCTTATCCGCTGCCAACTTCTTATTGGTAGAAAGGCGGTCACATGGTCGAAAACAGTCCAAATGTACTGCGGGAAAGCGGCCCTGCAGAGCCGGTACACTTTAGGCGGAAAACATTTTCTGCTTAGAATTCGCAGAGTGACGTCTGACGAGTTGAAAGCCTCTTCAACCTTTAAATGTGGTGTGCACCAGTGTATAATTCCACTTGTTTAATAACTTGAGAGATGCTCTAAACTTTTTGTTGCTCGCGTGTGTGCCGCGAGAACCACCACGGCTCCTGCAAAAACGACTGTGGCTTCCCGCAATACTTGTATACAAAACGGCGCACCGTTGCAATACTCCGCTCCCCAGACGGAGATATACATTTACTCTTGGCGATCTATAATCTTTATATATTTATTCAGAGAACTCCTGCAGTGCCTAGAAGGCATTATTGCAGGGGGCGAATAATTACAAAAAGAACGTCTCGGCATTTGCAGCACAAACTACACATTCCTGTAAAGCGTTCCAGTCCTTGACCTTCTTCACAAAAAACGAATTTTTGCAGAGCTCCGTCCTAGTACAGTATTCGCGTATCTTGTGCACATGATCATTACGTTTGGAAAAATAATTTGGTTTTAAGAGGTCTGCTGAACTATTAATACCGGTAGCTTCATGGAAAATGTTAAACAAAAATTTCAACCGTAAATTTTTTCGCCGAAGATTCAATGACGACCATCCTAGTGATTGTTTCATGTTAGTTCCACTAGAAAAACGGTCGTACTGGCTCAGGACAAAGCGATCGGCACGATTTTGTATGTTTTCCAAGCCATCATGCGATCTTTTTTTTTTTTTGGAAGGGTCCCACACAGTGCATGCGTAATCTAAAAGGGGCCTTACATAGGCAAAATATGCTTGTTCTTTTATGTTTTTTGTGTAGCATTTTTTTTAGGTTTCTTTGGACAAAGCCGAGTGCGCGACCCGCCCTCATAAGGACATTATCAATCTGCGAATCCCACATGCAGTCGGATGACAAAATGACTCCGTGGTATTTTTTTTTAATTCTCATTCGTTACTAGCTCATTGCTTAAATAATACTGTGCCTCAATTTTTTTTTACGTGTGAAGCTAACATGAATATATTTGTTTACGTTAAGTTGCATCCCCCATTCACCGCACCAATGTCCTATTCGATCTAGATCAGCCTGCAGTTTCCGGAACCCTCCCCGTTCTTTATACGCTTATACACAGCGTAATCACCAGCAAATAATCTCAGCTGGGAAGTTACATTGACATGAATATCGTTGATAAATATCAAGAATAACAATGGCCCCAGAACCGACCCCTGTGGTACACCAGACGTTACTTCAACAAAATGAGACGCCTCGCCGTTTAAAATTACACATTGCTGACGCGAACTCAAGTATGGCTGAATCTATTTTAGTGTAATATCTATTTTCAACCAATTCAATTTGTGAAGTAAGAACGAGTGCGACACTGAGTCAAACGCTTTCCTGTAATCAAGAAAAAACACAATCAGGCTGTTCACCCTTATCTGCGAACATAACAAGATCATGATAGACCTCGGTTAGTTGCGTGACACAAGAATAACCTCTCCTGAACCCATGTTGAGAATCCATGAAAAAATTATCTGGCTATACAAAATGTGCTGAAGTAGTTTGCCACAAATTGATGTTAAAAAATTGACCTTTAATTTGGAAGTAACATCTTTTTGGGGTCCCTTTTTGTGTATTGGTATTACGTGAGCTACTTTCCAATCATTCGGTATAATGACCCCTCAAGCAAAGACTGGTTGAAGATTTTAAAAAAGATATGGGGCGATGGCGTCAGCGCAGCGCTTCAGAACCCTAGGCGAAGTTTGATCAGAGCCAATCGCTTTAGTTTCGTCTAAATTTTTTAGTAGCTTTACGTTTCACGAAGCCTGATGCGTGCGTATAGAAGATCAGTTAGAGAGAATAGCCACTCCTCGGCCTGCTCGAGCTTGGCTTGCGTCCTGAGCTCTTCGCCTGGAATCTCCCAGACTGGACGATATTCCGTTTCACTATAACTTGGCGAACGGCGAATTAAGGCTACGGTCCCGGTGAGCCAATCAGCGTGTTCGAGCGTTGTCACGTCAAGAAGAAAAGAAAGTTTCGCGCATCATTCATTCGCAGCAAAACGTAGTTCTTACAAGATTTCGTTGTCGGAGAGAGAAACGGTGCTTTTGGCGTTTGAAACGCCTTGATAAAATACTGGAAGCTCGTCAAAAATTCCCTAAATACATATTTTAACTCGCCACATAAAGGAGTGAATCAGTAATTGTCCGCGAGAAGCCGGACTTTTTTTTTTTTACTGCGGTTCTCGAAGTGAATACGTGTATAGTTGCGCGCAATGCCGTCAAAGCCACGGGCGGGAAAAAGGAAAGCCGCTTTTGTGCAACTTCTGAGTGACGGGTTAATGGCAGGGGTCTCCAAGCTTTTTACTAGGGTTGGAAAGTATCGAAGACCGGAAAATAAAAGAGTAAATATAAATGAGAATAAATAATTCTACATAAGCATTTAAATACAAAAGTAAAAGAGTGAAAACAAATCTAAGGTGGATGAAGTATATACATTATTTTGAAATTCAATATGAAGCTAATTGTGACAGTGCACAATAATTGGGATCCACAAAACTCACCAAGTGTAAAACAAAGCGCAATGAAACTTTGGCAAACACACGCTAAGCAGAAGACTCATGAGAATAGTAGGACACTAAACAAATATACTAATTAAGAACGCAAAGGAACTTTCACGTACGTATAGTTACATATAAAACGGGACTAAGGATGGTGATGAAAATATCCAATTATGAATATGGCGAGAGGGCTCGCGTTAAAGTCGGCAGTTTTCTCTCGTTCTTTCTGATATCCTGGTTGGCGTGGTTGGCGCGCGGCGCGGCGCTGTTCCGCGGCAAGCCACGGACCGGCCAGAAGGCCTCCGCGGGCCGGATTCGGCCGGGGTTCGGAGACCTGTGTTCATTCATAGGGGGACAGAAGCGACGTGTCCTTCCCCTCTCTTCCAACTGCTTGGGTCACGCTCTCACCCACCTTTGGTTAAGCGCTGTCACGTAGTTCACCTCCGTCGTTCTGACTCGCTTATTGTGGCCCTAGCGTTCGCTCGTTGCTAAGTTATACGAATTGACGCTCTCTGCTGCTCCATCTTCTCACTGACCACAAAAATGCGTCCCAAAAATGCCCATCTCTCAACGTACCTGGTGCACCACTTCATAAGTTTGCTGGCGTCGAATATGGCGAAGAGGAGCAGGAAGAATGTGTTCCATAGCCCCACGCAGGCATACATGGCATAGAAGTCCAGCTCGAAGTCTTCGCAGATGTTGTAGATCACTACGGACGGTACGATACAGGTGAGACGCTGCAGTTGAGCGGAGGGAACAGCGGCTCACCCTTGATGTACAAGCTGAGTGGGGCAGTGGTCATGAGGATGACCAGCGGCTGACCTCCGAAGAGGGCAAAGGACAAGCCACCTATGGTCTGGCTGATGATACACTTCCGCACGTCTGCAAGACGAAGAGAAAACCGTCAGCACGGCGTCCGAACCACAAAAGCGCCGAGGGGTCTCACCTCCTGCGGTGGCATCCACAGAAAGCAGGGGTAAAACGCGAGCACGCGGGAATCAGAGCAAAGAAGGGCCGCGATAAACTCCCGAACGTATCGACTCGCCTATTTTTCCCTTGGTGTTGGTGTCGTTGAGGGCTCCAAAGGCAATGGTTGGCAGGATGCAGGCAAAGTAGAGGAAAAAGATGGTGGAGATGGTCTTGTAGATTGTCCGGTGGCCCACCACGCCTGCAGGAAGAGGGCTTATTCACACCTCTCACCAAGAGCCAATGGGCAGTCGACAAATTGAGTAGCGTTGTTACCAGAGAGTTTTAGTGAACCGTTCCTACCCGATAACGATACCAGATAACGACACGATGCATGCATAAAGCTGTCGGCGGAGGTCGGCATTTTAGGTCGCCTTCATTCACCTCACAGCCACACTCAACTTCAGCCCCTCACTCACCCTCAGTCACACTCACCTTCAGCCCTTCACACACCCTCACCGAACCTCACGTTCCTCACACACTCGTGCCTCTCACGCCCTCACCGTCCTCACAGCCCTCACGCACTCATACCCCTCACGCGCTCATGGCCCTCACGTTCCTCAGGCACTCACCGCCCTCAGGGCCCCCACGCACTCATACCCTTCACACCCCTCACGCACTCATGGTCCTCACGCCCCCTACGCACTCACGCCCCTCACGCACTCATACCCCTCACAAACTCACACCCCTCAAAACCCTCACGCACTCATAACCCTCACGTCCCTCACGCACTCATGGTCCTCACGCCCCCTACGCACTCATGGCCCTCACGCCCCTCAGGCACTCATACTCCTCACGCCCCTCACCGCCCTCACGCACTCATGGGCCTGACGCCCTCACACTCCTCACGCACTCGTACCCCTCATCGCCCTCACGCACTCATACCCATCAAGCCCCTCACGCACTCATGGCCCTCGCGCCCCTGAGTTGGCAAAGTTGGCGCAACTCTGCCCTAGAATTGCGGATAAAGCTGGGGGCAGGAGCCAATGCGCCGTAAGGCACAGGAACAAGTATGTTGATTGTGTGGTGGGGGTGGTTTACAAGATACCACTAAGCTGCGGAAGAGTACATCGGCCAAACCGGCGGATGCATTAATGACAGGGCACGTAAACATGACTGGACACTCCGGTCGACCGCTGGGGGTCACTTGCCTCTGCATTGTGCTGCCTGTAAATGCCAGCCCCGATTCAATAACATCACCATCATCGGGAGGGGCACAGATAAAACTACCAGGGAATTATTGGAAGCGTATGCAATAACAAAAGAGGGGCAAGATGCATGCGTCAGCTAAACATCGGTTTTTCTTCACAAAAAAGAAATTGCCTACCTTGACACGTGCTGAAGCGATGGTGCGGTTTACTTCGTTGGTGTTTTTTCAATAAATGTTTAGTTGTGAGTTCAGCGCTTGTGTCGTTTGCACCTTCCTTTCGTCCTTGTGTATTTTTTGCGCGCTGTTTATTTCCGTTACCATGAACCAACTCGCCTACATCACGACACTAACCGCCGAATCCAGAAACCTCACTCAAACTACACTCAAACTGAAGGGCAGTAAAGTGGTTAGTTGGGCGAGTTGGTAATGATTGAACATGGTTAAAATTGCGCACAAATAGAAAGGTACTCTGTACCTTTCCATTTGTGCGCAATTTTAACCATGTGCAAACTGAAGGGCCCCTCCACTTCCTCGAGGAAGGCACGAGGGCCGACGCTGGCCAATCGCGAGGACAGATCCGTCCTCGCGATTGGCCAGCGCCGGCCCTCGTACCTTCCTCCAGGAAGTGGAGGGGCCCTTCAGTTTGAGTGTAGTTTGAGTGAGGTTTCTGAATTCGGCGGTAACCATGTCTACCCTCACGCACTCACCGCCATCACTGCCTTCACGCAGGTCATAACCGTCACGCACTCATGGCCCTGACACCCCTTTCGCATTTACCGCCCTCACCGCTCTCACGGCCCTCATGCAGTCATACCCCTCACGCGCTCATGGCCCTCACGCACTCATGGCCCTCGCACCCTTGACTCCCCTCACGCACTCACCGCCCTCACGCACTCATGGCCCTCACGCACTCATACCCCTCACGCACTCACGCCCCTCACGCACTCATGGCCCTCGCGCCCCTGACTTCCCTCACGCACTCACCGCCCTCACACAGCCATACCCCCCACGCACTCACGCTCTCATGGCCCTCACATACTCATGGCCCTCACGCACTCACCGCCCTCACGCACTCATGGCCCTTGCGCCCCTGACTCCCCTCATGCAGTTATACCCCTCATACACTCATGGCCCTGACGCCCCTCACGGCCCTCACGCACTCATGGCCCTCGCGCCCCTGACTCCCCTTACGCACTCACCTCCCTCGTAGTCATACCCCTCACGCACTCATGGCCCTCACGCAGTCATACCCCTCACGCAGTGACAGTCCTGACGCCCCTCACGCACTCGTACCCCTCATGGCCCTCGCGCCCCTGACTCCCCTCACGCACTCACCGCCCTCACGCAGTCATACCCCTCACGCACTCATAGCCCTCACGCAGTCATACTCCTCACGCACTCACCGCCCTCACGTACCTCGCGCAGTCATACCCCTCACGCACTCAAGCCCCTCACGCACTTATGGCCCTCACGTGCTCATACCCATCACGCATTCATGTCCCTCACGTCCCTCACCACCCTCACGCTGTCATAACCCTCACGCACTCATGGTACTCACGCAGTCATATTCCTCACGCACTCATGGCCCTGACGCCCCTCACGCAGTCATACCCCTCACGCACTCATGGCCCTGACGCCCCTCAAGCACTTACCGACCTCACCGCGCTTACGGCCCTCACGCAGTCATACCCCTCACGCACTCGTGGCCCTCGCACCCCTGCAATCATGCGGAACTAAAATCTGGAACACTTTACCATCTTCAGTCACCCAGTCAGGCAACTTTAACAGCGCTTTGAAATACTATATTTTTTTAAATAGAACATGTCTCCCACCATTCTGAAACTCAATCGCATATTCTGTTATTGAATTCATAAAAATTCATTTCACTTTGAATACACTCGTGCTCCTCGTGTTTTTATTATATAATGTATAAATTACCGGATATAGTTGAACAAGTCACTTTCTACGTTTATTTTCTGTTGTCTTTCTTTCTTTCTTTTCTTTTTTTTTCTTTTCCTTTTATTGTATTTCCAGTAATATTTCTTAAGAGTGCTGCCTTCCTAATATGTTATTATTAAAATGGGCCCCAACTAGCCAAAAGGCTATGGGCCCAGATGGTTCTCAATAAATTGTACGATGCAACTCATGACAATAAACTCGATTGATTGATTGATTGATTGATTGACTCCCCTCACTCACTCACCGCCCTCACGCAGTCCTACCCCTCACGCACTCGCGGCCCTCACCGCCCTCACGCGCTCATACCCCTCACGCACTCATGGCCCTCGCGCCCCTTACTCCCCTCACGCACTCACGCAGTCATACCCCTCATGAACTCATGGCCCTCACGCACTCATACCCCTCACGCACTCACGCCCTCATGACCCTCACATACCTCACGCACTCACCGCCGTCACGCACTCATACCCGTCATGGTCGTCACGCACTCTTACCCCTTACACGCTCATGGCCCTTGCGCCCCTGACTACCCCACACACTCACCGCCCTCACGCAGTCATAGCCCTCACGCACTCCTCACGCAGTCATACCCCTCACGCACTCATGGCCCTTATTCCCCTCACGCACCACTTTCACAGCCCTCACGCAGTCATACATCTCACGTACTCATGGCCCTACGCCCCTCGCGGCCCTGACTCCACTTACGCACTCAAGGTCATACCCCTCACGCACTCATAACCTTCACGCAGTCATACCCCTCACGCACTCAAGGCCCTCAAGCAGTCATACTCCTCACGAACTGACGTCCCTGACGCCCCTCACGCACTCATACTCCTCATGGCCCTCACACACTCATGGTCCCCGCGCCCCTGACTCCCCTCAGGGACTCACCGCCCTCACGCAGTCAAACCCCTCAAACACTCATGGCCCTCACGCAGTCATTGTCTTCACGCACTCACGGCCCTGACGCCCCTCACGCACTCACCACCCTCACGCACTCATGGCCCTCACGCCCCTCACCGGCCTCACGCACTCCAGCCCCTCACGCCAGCAATCACGCACCTACGGCCGTCACGCCCCTCACGCACTCAAGCCTCTCACGCACTCATACCCATCACGCACTCACGGTCCTCACGGCCCTCACTCACCCTCACACCCATGAATTTTCCTGGCTCAGAAACTCACTCACCCTCACCTCACCTGTGAAGATGAGGGTGAGTGAGGGTGGGTGAGGGCCCTCATGAGTCAGGTTTACCGAGGTATGGCTCTAACAGAACCTATACTACAATATAATAATTCTGACTTAGACGAATCCTCGAGCGAGGGAAAGGACAAAAGTCGGTGAGGAATAAAAGAAAGGGAAGCTCCTCGCACACTTTTCCACTTGAGCAGACTGGAGAGGAGGCGACCTCCCCTTCCTCCTCTCCAGCGCTCGCTCTGCTAAAGGAGGAAGGAGCTTCCCTGAACTATTATGGCTTCCAATTGGAGCTTCGTGTTTTTACTGCTCGATGAAACAATCTGTCGGTGAAATGATCTGTGGATGAAACGTCGTTCGGTGAACTGATTGCCAGCGGTCTCGAGCACACGATCGTCGCCTTCCGCCGTGCTTTGTCTGCGCGTGCACGCTCGCGGCTCACTGGACGCCAATGTGCTACTGAAGGGCTCGCGCTGTAGGCGGGACAACTGACACTCCTCCTTGGCCTTCTCATTTTGTCAGTAACTAAAGTGCAGAATTTCCACGAGCGCGCGTAGAAATCAAGCCCTAAATCAAGATACAGACCCAAGCAGAAGCCTCGACCGCAGTAAGTACGGGGCGTAGTACAATTGACCACAAACATATTCGCTCACCCATTGATTGTTACCGAGCGCCAGCGGTTTGGTGATGCTGCTCAAGGCATACAAAGGCGAGCGCCCTGAACGACGCGTTCTCTGCTCGATCGCTCTGTCACGTTATGCACAATCAAAGCGTATACGTGGTGCTTGCTCTTTCAGCTTCTGCTTCACTCGCCCTTATGGTGGATCGGAGTAATCACATTCGGCCGCAACGCTCAGCACCGTTTGACTGAAGCGTCACGATGCTCGCAGGTAGGGTCTCTGAGAGAGATTCAAAAATCCGTTCACTCTTTCGTGCTTCAGAGCAAAACTTTCGTTTCTCGTTTGCGCTTACTCGTAAAGCCGATATCTGGTTAGCAAAAATTCGAATTCAATGTCGTGTAGGAGATACTTTGAAACCCCGTGTCTACTTCAAACCAACCCTGCGTCACAGTGACACGCGCGCAAAGTTCTGTAGGGCAGGGAGCCTATTTTCTACCATAAGGTCCGCAGACGCTCCGCCTCCAGCCCGTGCTCGTTGCGTCTAGTGGTGCTTTGGCTTCACGTGCAGGGAGCGTTATTGAAGGTAGAAAGTTCCCGCTGCAGAAGTCCACGAACACGATAGCAGTGTCTTCAAGGAACGGACTCCTGACAGAAAAACTGCGGAAAGTGACCAACATCTCGAAGGGGGGAGCGAATTACGAGGTGAAACCCTACATGGCAACGACGAGTAATCAATGAAGAGGGGTCATTTACCTCCGTGGAGGAGACAGCCTGGAGGAAACAACCGAGTCGCTGATGGAGGCCAGGAGGAGCTCGAATGCAGAACGCACAAGATCGTTTCGGCCCGACCGCTGGCGAAAGGTGGAAGAGTGACGCTCATCACGTTCGAGAAACACAGAATAACGAAATAAGGCGGGTTCCTGTGCGGAGCCATCAAAGTAGCACCGTACAAACTGAGGCCGATTCTATGCCACAATTACCATGACATGGGCCACAAGGCGGGCGTCTGCTCGAACCAGGAATGCAGGTGCGGTAAATGCGGACATTCACACGAGGAGATGACAGACTGCGAGCTGCCACCGCGATGCCCGAAAAGGGAAATGCCAGACAAGAAAAAGCAGCGTGCACTACCGCACAACGAGCAACGCAAGGCATGGTCCCAACTAACTCCGTTGCCATAGAGAGGCCATGGAAACGAAAGCCTCGATCCAACCCCTGCGCAAGCAGCCGAAGCGGCCCCGCGGTCTTTCAATTCCCCACACAGAAAACGCCCTGCGCCAATGAGGGTAGCTCACAAGCAGCCCGGACTCCAAGCCCGAAAGAAATCCAGAATCCCTTCACGTGGCTGCGAGGAAACGAGAGGAACGCCGGCGAGCCGGGCGGGGAATACGGGGATGGGGAATACGGGGCCAGGCTGAAACGCCTGGAAGATATAAAAAAACAAGATGAGAGTTGAGGTGGGCATGGCCTTGGATGACCTGTTCAAGAAGATAACAGACATGAGCACCCACCTCCAACATAGATAGCAACGGAACCAGACGGAAGAAAACGTATACGACGTACCAGGATCGTTCAGCGGACCTTCTGCTTGCTCGCAGCGCGCATTGCCGAATTAAAATTTCGCTTCGAAAGAGAGAGACAAGGCAAGCTGACCTTAAACTCCCGGGCTTCAACTTCTACACGTGCCCGACAATAGAGACGAAACCACACCCGGCAGAGAAGAATCCCGTGGTGATCAAAGGATGGACAGCGGTCGGAGTGGAAGATAAGATACGGCAGGCTCAACTAAGCACCGAGGACCTGTGCAGCGAAAACAGGGGGGTCGTGTCGGTTCGAATCATGACTCAAAATCTTAAGACGGTTATAGAATCTTGTATACATGAACAGCATGCAACGCGACGAGTCCAACTGGCGAAGAATGGATTCGGAAACTCAAGGACCTAGCAGGACGTGACGACCTGGGCATAGGAGGTGATTTTAATGCACATCACAGGGCATGGGGATATGACTGCAGCGCAGCGCAGGGTGCCAGTGCCGTACCAACTTCTTTTTGAGTGGGGGGGGGGGGAGGGCAAACCAGCCCCCCTCCCGCCCCCCCCCCCCCCCCCCCCAAGGCCGGGAGGCGGTGCCCTTGGTATCCCTTGGGCGCCGCCGGCCAGTGTTTGTCCTGCCCAGTGGCGGCTGTTTCAGGGGGGGGGGGGGGGGGGGGGAGGGCAAAACACACGCCTTGCCCCTCCACTCTGGGAACTGGGGGGCGGGGGGCAAGCCCCTTGCCTCCCCCCCCCCCCCCCCCCCCCCCCGTTGATACGCCCTTGGAGGGTACGGGACTTGAGCTCGCCAACGAACCCGGCATTATTACGAGAGTGGCCAAACACAGGGGCCAGAAGGGCTCCAACCGGTACCTGACGTACGTGGGTCAACCAGGGCACGAAGTGTACTTGGAAACCTTGGGTCGACACCCTTGGAAGCGACCACCACAAGGAAACCCGGAACATTGTCAGATGGGACACCTTCCGAGCAATCCCAGAGCGCACCGAATCCGAAGATATCAACGTCGGAGAGCAGATACCAGAACAGCCATGAGGAGTCAAGAATAGCCGTCAATACACGACCCGAAGCCCCGACACCGGACACGCACTTCCACAACCTGTGGGCGAGTCGTCTCCGAGCCCTACAGCGATATATGAGAGAAACAACGCTGAAGAGCAAGATCAAGCTAAACAGAGCGGTTAATTGCCAAGGCGGCAAAACACGCTGAAGGGCTAAGCATACTTCGATGGCGACGTCACTGAGATAGGGCTAGGCAAGGTATGGAGAACCCACCGAGGCATGTCTAAAACTCTGCGAAAGACGAAAACGGCGGCACAAAACCTGGCGTTGCGACTCGGCATTGCCGAGGAAGCCTTGGCCCGTAGAGCGGGTGGGGCGTTCTTCCCGCAACCGGATTCAATCGCTCAAGCTACGAGGACCGAACAGGCGAAGCGCACCCCAAGAAGAACCTGAAGCGCCCCACTGATTGCCGAAGGCATGAATGACCCCTTCAACATGGGCGAATTCTTGTTTGCACTCCACTCGGCAAAGCAAAAAAGCGCCCCCGGACCGGACGGAGTAATCTATGCAGCACTAAGGACTATGCAGCACCCGAGACCGACAAGGAGAAGCTCCTTGACTGGCACAACACGCTCTGGACCACATCGAGGCTGCCGGACCACTGGAAGGTAATCCTAGGTGACCCCGATTCCGAAACCGGTCAAGCCACAAGATAGGATTGAAAACTACCGACCGGGGTCACTAATCTCGAGTCTATGAAAGGTTATGGAAAAAAATGATGCTACAACGAATGGACTTGTATCTGGAGACGCCTAGACCAGAGACAAACAGCTTTCAGGGACCACTTGAGCACCCAAAACAGCTTGTTATTGCTTTAGAGGAACGTAATGGAAGACCGCAACCAACTAGACCCAGGACTAGTTGTAGCGCTAGACATTAAGGAAGAATTTGACGCAGTATTACACGAATCGGTGCTGAGAGGGGCGCGAGACTGCGGCATCAGGGGCAGAACTCTGCGATTCATCAAGGACTTCCTGGCAAGAAGAAAATTTCGAGTCAAAGTGGGACCAACCCTCGAACCCGAGACACCCACTGAAGTGGGTGTCCCACAGGGGGCGGCCGTCTCGCCGACCTTTTTTGACATGGTAATTGCGGAACTATCAAAAATATTGACGAACGTAGAAGGCCTCGGTGTCACCATCTACGCCGGCGTCGTGACTCTTTGGAAAAAAGGAGGACCGGCCTGCCGGCTAGAACAGGTGATGCATACTTGTCTCGATGTAGTCTCTAAATACCTGGCCCAAGTTGGCATGGCACCCTCGCCCGAGAAGACACATGGTCGTGGCTAGTGCCAAAAAAAGGCACACAGAGATGGCTTATCGGAACTGTTCGAATTGAAACTCAATGGACACAGGCTTCAACGGCAGGCATCAGTCAAGATCCTTGGCGTAGAATTCGAGCACACGGGCAGGGTGGCCAATGGCTGAACAAGCTGACCAAAACTAAAACGCACGACTTCCAAACCGTGGGAGGCAGACGAAGAAGCCATTCGGACCCTGACGAGCGGACTCCTGATTTTAAAGGCGCTGTATTGCTCTAACCTCCTCAACCTGGACAAACGGCAATGGAAAAAGCTCGAAGCACTTAACCACGCAGCAATGAGGGTAGCAACCGGGCTGTCGAAGATGACTCCGATCGAGGACCTTCGCAAGGCTGCGGTCATGAACACAATAGCAGAAAGAGCCGAGACACACAGGATGGCTCAGTTTCAACGCCTTGCGAGCATGAAACAAGGCCGAGGACTTTTTGAAATTATGGGTCACGACAACAGCCAGAGGACATCCATCGATATCGAGGAACCGCCATGGAGGGACGGAGCAATTGAGGATCACAGGCCAACAGTTAGGATACAAGGAGCCGAACAACGGTGCAGAAGGGCCTAGCCGCCAGAAGGCCAGAAGGCACGAAGAGCGGACTCGTAGCGATGAAGCGAAAAGACCAGCAACGTATTACTTACATAATGTGCACGGATGCGGCCGGTACGGACGTACCGGCCGAATCCGTGCATGTGGTCAATTTTTCGTTTGGCCATAGCTGGAAGTTTTCATATATGACCAGATATAAAATATTCGTACGGGATGTTTAAAATACATTTATTCATAAAGAATTACTTTTTTTTTTCTAGCTACAGCAATTTAAGTCAAAATAATCTGATTAATTTTATTATTTTTTTTAAATAATGATTCTTACTGCCTTATAGTTGTGTTGCATCGAGTGCAAGCCAAGAAGAAACGTGCCTTCTTTTTTTTTCGGCCAACATTTTTTTTTGCGAAATGAAGTCTGGAAACTATGGTGCTATTCGCTAGGAGGCAGGGCCTTACCGTCAATGTAGTCGCTGACGTAAAAGGACAGCCGCCGGTGCACGTCGTCGCACAGGCCCTGGGCGATGGGGCACCTGCGGGGCTGAAACCAGAAGCCCGCAGTGAGCAAGCAATACGCGACGCGAGGACCCGGCGGACACGAGGACTAGCGCAGGCCTAGCACAAAGGGCTAGCCCCTGCGGCTACGGCCTCACCTCGCGCTTTCTTCGGGAGGCTTGCTGTAAGAGGGGAGAGAGGGGGAAGCTCAAGATGGCCGCCGACAAGCGTGCGCTTTGCTCACCGGAAACTCCAGCTGGGCCTGGGAACTCTGGTGGGCCGGATTGCTCTGTTCGGCGGCCAGGTCCTGGGCGTGCTTGAGGAGGACGTTCTTGAACTCGGCTTCCGAGTGGACTTCGAGAAGCCTCTGCCGAAAGTCCATATCGGCGAAGATGGTGGCGAACGTGCGCCCGGTCTCCAGGGCGTTCTTGGTTCCTTTCTCCTTGCTCGGCGTCAGGACCAGGATGAAGAAGCGCACCTCGTGGCAGGTGCGCCCCATGTTGGCCGGGTGCTTGAGGCGGGCCACGGCCACGTGCCTCTTTTGCAGAGAGGGCAGGGCGCACCTGCAGGGCGCGTGTCGGTCAGGATCGACGCCAAGTGTGCACGTTCTCAAGCAGTCACGCTTCAGAAGCTAACCCCCGGGGGTGGAAAACACTTTAAGGGACGCCAGTCTGGCGGCCCCAGCAAACAACGTTCAGAAAACGGCTGTGTGTGCACTAGCTATGCCGAGGCAGACAAGAAATATACGTCGATCCAATGCACTTAAATTGTGCGTTCGTCGCTACTTGCGTTTATTTCATTTTATCTCGTTCATCACAACGGGAGGGGTCGTTCAAGGGCAAACGTTGCATGTTCTCACGGGGCACCTCATTTTAATGAAAAGTCTACATATCTTCAGTTGCCAAAAGACAGGAGTCTCAAACACGCGGCCCGCAAACATCCCATAGCTGTGAGCCCCCGTTCCCATGTCTCGAGCGCTACATGCGCCCTAAATAGTAGTTTTATATCGTCGATTCATTTCGGCTTGAAAGGGAGCTCTGCTCATATAACTTGTTCATGCGATTGCACTATTCTGATTTCTTTTGGGCTGAGTATTGCTTCGTATAAATATTTGCTTTTCAGCCCTTTCTCATGTACATCAACCGGAACAGCAATACCACTGCTAGGCTACAAGTGCGAGCTCTTTGCTCAAAAAGGCACCTCGGCTGCATGGACTCTCGCTCAGCAGGAACAACTGCCAAAGCTTCTGGCCGTCAGAAAATGCCTTTAAAATACAGTTAATTTCTTTGAATGCTGCTGGAAAAATCGTCAGGAAAGCGAAAACTGCCGTACGAAGAGTTATTGTTTCTGCCTGTTGAGCCATTGTGCGACAGGGCAGTGTGCTTGCTCTCGTTCTATTGAAAACTGCCAGTGCGTTGGTGTTTTAAATCTTATAACATCAGGGTGGGTGCAAAGTAGTCGTGTATGCAAATAAAAGCTAGAAAGAGCAAAACAATGAGCTCGCAGAAAGCACGACGATGGTGTCACTGGGACAGTCAGCTGTTTTGCGGCACGAAACACCACTGCTGCTTGTTTGTTTATTTTGTTTCCTAAAAAAAAAAAAAAAGAATTTTGCCGCCCCCCCTTCGCCCCTTCTGGCCCTTCCACTCGAATCAGTTTGAGACCGCTGCCATAGGAGATTCACTGACGATCAAAAGCTGCCACTTTTGACATTCAAGCTAACCTCTATATCTTTCGTCTAGGAAGGGCTTATTTTGCTATGGAGGGGTTGTTTGTGAGACATCGAAGATTTGTGGGAAGTTATGATTTGAAGCTGCTAACGAATACAAAAAGACATCTAAGCTTCTTTGTTTAGAAGTCAAGAAATTAGCAACGTAAGTCTTATGATTCAGGTGAGAACTCGGTTTCATGGGTCCCCAATCGGTCTACGAGATCAGTGCAAAGTGACTGCGTGAACATCCAGGCGTTCAAAGCGCGGGGAGCCGACAGGTCATTTTATAATTTTGCCGTCTTCTTTTTCATCATCATCACCATCTGTTTATTTCGTTACGCACAGAAAAATCATAATACATTTTGAGATGCCGATGCCCACGCAATGAAAGCGTTATATAATATTTTATGCGGATCATGAAACTGTAGCTAAGATTATGCAATTAACAAATAAAGTAGCAATGGAACTGAATAACAAGTAATGGATGTAAATACAACTCGTGTGCCATGATATGTGCTCCCAATAATGACGCCGATTTTTTTTTATTTGTTCTGGGTGCATTTAGATACATTACCCGGTACCTAGGCCCCGAACATAGCATATTAAATTCGAGTTAAACCCAATGTCTGATTGAAAAAAAAAAAAAAAAAAAAAATTGCAATCCCCCGAGCCGATTTTATAACATTTTTAATGCACTATATACAGAAGATGCAACAGCACAACCAACTTATGTGCGAATATTGGGCAGAAGATCGAACTATAGGGGGGGCGCTTTATCGAGCTTGTTGTCCCCACAGCGCGGTGTTTACTAACACAGCAAAACAAAGAAATTGAACTTCGCGTAGCACGGTCTGGGCACGAGCGCTTCGCTTTGACCAGTGCTTTGGACGCACGAGGAGCGGCCTTTGAATCGTCATCTTCGATTTCTCTGATCAACAACAAATAATAAAATTGGTTTTGTTGTCCACACAGCTGCAGCATGCCGCTAGGGGTGTGGCTGTTCGATCTCCTCCTCAATAGGGACGGCCTTCGGTCGGAATAATACATCAAAATAAATTTCGCGCGGAAATACCGATTTCGGGTTGCGTGAATAATTTCTACCTTGAATTAAATGCTTTTGTTTCTTCGAACATAAAATTCAGCCAGGAAAATTTCAGAATATTTAAGTTATTAATAAAAAAAAATCTATTATTATTATTTTTTTTAATTTAGATGCAAAGCCGAAACCAGATTTTTTCATCACATATTAGAAAGTTTAGAGCTCGGAAACGAGAAGCCTATTTCATTTTTGACGCTGCATACTACAACTGCATTACGCATACATATTATATATATATATATATATATATATGCTAAAGCTGAAAACTAAATTGGTGTACACCAATTTAGTTTATTAAGCAATTAATAAAAACTTCGGTTATAATAAAATAAAAAAAAAATAAGAAAGAATCGTCATATCTTCCACCAAACGCTTATCCTCACAGTTTTGTTTTTCGCGAAGTTCTTGACACCTTCCATCACAAGTCCTTCTGTAACTTTAGCCCCGTACATATTTTCAGACCTCGATTGCTTTGCAAACAATGGAAAGCTACCAGGATTGCTTTTTATGTTTTTAACCCTACTAAGGGAAAAAACAACAACAGGAGTGATGAAACAAGGGAATACATGCAGAAATCTTATAGAGCCCTTTCTCAAGACCGCCCTCTGTTGGCAGCTTTTAGAATCCCTGCACGATGGCGGACTAAAGCGCAACGTCACGGCAAAAACACACCCGCAGAAAAAGGTGATGAGCTTAGTGACGTTGCACTTTCGACGCTGTTTGACTGGCTCGTCGGCTCCTAGTGTTGGCCGCGCTCCGACGTTGTCTATGTTACGGAATGAACTGCACGTTCCACGATGACAATTGGTCCGCCATTGTGCAGTGGTCTGGACCTTGGTAATAATCGGCACGTGACTTTCGAAAGGGGTCTATTAAACATTTCCCTTCCCGGCAAAACAAACCTTCCCGGCAAAAAAAAAAAAAAAAAAAAAAAAAAGCTCATGTACGAACGCAAAACCGATCTACAGCAGAGGCACCGCTCTCCCTCTCCCCGTCGTTGCTCACACCAAAGTGAGGTGTTGCTCACACCACGGTCAAGGCTCTCTCTCGTCCCTTCCCTCCCCTCTGTAGGCCGCCAGTGTTCCGAGAAACCCACGTGACCACGGGGAGAACAATCTCCCCTCTCCTGCAGCCTCAGTCGCGAAATACTTACGAGGCTGCGCTGTGGCACTGTGCCGACTTTAGTGCCGACACGCTCCCTCGCTTCCCCACTGCCGCCTCCCGAAGTATGTACGCGAGCTCTTCTGGCGATCGCCTCCCTACACGACAGCTCGTGTGCACGCTTCTTTCACCGCAAAATCGGTTACAGGCGGCCCCGTAAAAAAAAAAATAACAGCGTTTCAGTCAAAAAAAAAAAGTTCGTCTCTGTTTGTTTTTTTTGTTTTTTTTTAACACACGCAACATCCCTCACAATCGCTCCACCAAAGCACACATCTCCTCACACACGTCTCTTACATCACTTCCACTGAAAAAAAAAAAAAAAGGAAGCCATTGCAACGACTGTATAGCACACTGGCTGAAGGCAAATCTCCTTCAGCATGCATTTCCGAAAAGCAGCGGGTACCGCTGTCAATCGCGGAACACTTTTTGGGGTCGTCTCTTTAGAGCGCAGCGGCGTCGCCGTCAACGTCGCTGTCTGCGTAACGGCGCGTTGCATTATGGAACGTTTCCCATAATGACGTCACACGTGACGTCAGGTGTGACGTAATTAGTGGGGAATTTTCTCCGCGAAATGTAGCGGGGAATTTTTTCAGATGAATTTAGCGGGAAATGTAGAGAAAATTTCCCGCTAAATGGGAGGGGAGCTGGAGACGAGGAGGGGCATACCCTCCCCTCTGTACCCTCCCCTCCTCCTCAAGGACTGCGCTCTAATTCGGCTTTACGTCTTTCATTTTTTTATTTTTTTTTTCTTACCCATTTGATCGGAAATCGAAGAAACGCACCCCCTTAACAGAAAATTGAACCAGACGAAACATGCCAGCTCTGCCTGGGCGTGAAGTCGGGGGCAGGCGTGGGTGTCACTCACATGGCGCAGATCCACGACTGGTCGTAGTCAAAGCCGCCGCCCTCGCGCATGCATGTGCCCTGGATTGTCCTCGACAGCAGGTGCACTGGGAGCAGAAGGCGAGCACGTCAGACAAGGCCCAGCCCTTCGACGGGACTTCGTTTCCCACGTCACTTACCGGAGGCCAGCAAGCGCCGGCACAGAATGGACGCGAGTGCTGAGTCAGCGTTCGGCCGGGGCTCGTGTCCAATCACCGGGGACCCGAGCTTCAGCCGAACGCCGACGAGGCGCTCGCGTCCAATAGCCGCTGGCCTTCGTTAAGTGACGTAGGAGATGAAGCATTTCAGCCTTGTTGCCCAAGAGGGTGTTGCACAGCCGGCGCAGGTGCACCCGCCCCGCGTGGATCTTTACCTTGTTCATGCGTGAAGAGCGTCTCCTTGGCCTCAGCCATTGTGGCAAGGTGCTCGCGCCCGTCTAGCACCTGCGACAAAACCCCGGGCACCGAATGAGTCCACAATTGTTTTTCGTGCGATTTCCAAGAAGAAATTCCTCCATTCGAGCAATACACCAACTGCCTAAACCTTCCGGCGACTTCGTGATTAGCTACAGTATGCGTCTGCATTGCGTGTGCATTGTGAGACATGGTGTAATAAAACAGCGCAAGAAGGTACAAAAGGAAGCGACAAATCGGACAGGACAGAGCGCTCACTCGCAACTATGTAAGGGGGATTGGTGGCCGAGGGAATAAAGAAAAAAGAAAAAGAAAAAAAAGGGATCGGTGGCTGAGTAGGCTAGCGCACACCAGATCGGAGTACATGGATCAAAAACTCGCGCTGTAGAACCCAGGGATCCTGGATTCAATCCCCACCCCTGCCCGTTTCGATCTGGATGAGCATCGCAACCGGCGTGCGGTCGTGTATCACTACTGCGTGGTGCACGTTAAAAACCCCAGGCTATCGGTTGTACTGCAATGGCTAAATTGCTCATCTACAGTGGGTAACCATGTCGCCATGTTCCGGCAGACTAAACTTCTACTTTATAAACAACTATGACGACTAGTTTGTTTGTTGTTTTGTTTTTGCACACGCATATCTTCTGCCTTCCTTCCTTTTGTACATTTCTGTGCTGCTTAATTTCATTATGTTTAACCACTACCAACCAGCCCAACTCTGAACGTTACTAGAGCATTACGAGACTTTTCATCATTCTTGTTTTCTTCTCTTTTTTTTTTTTTGAACCGAATTCATCGAAAAATGAAGGAAAAAACAAACAAAAACATTCCTCGCATATTCGATTTCAAGTCGCATATATAATGTATGCCATCTCAGTTTCATCTCTATATAAACCCGAATCGAACGTTCTTCGGGATTTTAGTTCGTAACCTGTTCTTAACAGCATCCAGATTGAATAAGCATTGCCTTACTGTTCATAGAGAGGTATATAATAAGAAACACCGCCGTGCATGCACATCATACTCAAAAGGTATTCGTTCCAGGAAACGTTTCAATCTTAGGAAATGCACTTAATATCAATAATTTATGTATTTATTTATAAATAAATAAATTACATCATCTCTAAGGATGCGGGCGGGAGAATAGGAGTCAGGTTGAAATGTCCTAAACAAGTGCTAGATAAACCTTTGCAAATTGAAAAATTCAATTTTTTTTTAAAAGAAACTTAGTTACTTTTATAACAGAGCTATCACATTTTTTTTTTTCAGACGAATCTAAAGACGATTTGGTTGGTTGTTCACATACAATACACAACAAACAAACAAAATGCACAGGCTGCATGGTCTCAAACTCACACTTTGTGTGTAGTGTGAGACCTTAAAAAATAATTATGTTGCCCAACTGCAAGTCACAACTCCGCACATACAGACAGTTCTAAAAAAGAAAAGCTCCACTTGGACAAACTAAGGATAAATAAATGAATGCAAAACCTTTTCAAACTCTCTCCATCATTGTCTCCACTACTGTCACCATTCACTAATCCTCCTCGGCTTCTGAGCTGCACTTGTTCTCTTCCTAAATGCCTATTAGAGCCGCGCACTACATGTTTACACCTTTGAGTGTGTTAAAAAGGAGTTATAGACACTTGCACCCACAGCTAACCCCTTTCAGCACTCTTATTTTGAGCGATACACCAAGTAGGGTGCAAAACACTGGTGTAAAAAGGGTACAGAAGAGGGTGTTGCCGTGCAGTCGACGCGACAATGCCGCTTCAAGCAGCTTAAAGGAGCAGTGCAACGATTTTAACGTTGAAAGAATTTGCATCTTCTACTTTTAACATTGTTTCTCTTGTCACAAAGGACAGAAAACACACCTCCTTCCTTCGAAACGTTGCGATTCCGCCGCGTAATTGCGAGGCAAAAACCAGAATATTTCTCGACCTGCAGCCGCGAGCGGCGGCCACGAGACCCACGCGGCATGACGTCAATGGGGGTGCTGTAAAAAGATAGAAAGTTGTGCAAATACCTGCTCGATGAAAAGTAATTTTTCTACGAATCTTGTCGTTCCAACATAAATATAAATGCGCCAAAAACCTGGTATCATCGACAAAACTTTTATTACACGGAGTTTTAGTGGCGCCATCTATCAGAGGTCAACAAAACCGTCAGCTCTATCTGCTACCTCGAACAATCGCAAGAAACCGGAGGGGAAAGGGGACAGAGTCGGGCGGAGATGGCCGGGGCCGGACCCGGATGAGACTTTCCTCCTCTCACCATATTGTTCGCGCTGCGCCAGCACGTGGTCACGTGGTCGCGAGCGGGTGAGTTCTCGCTGCTCACTGATGCCTCTAGAGAGAGAGCTTCACCGGAACCCCGCGGGACCTCCACTAACGTCAAAGCGCACGTGACTCGGAAGATGGTGAATTAGTTGAGAGGGTGCCGAAAACCTCAATCTTTGTCAATTTTTAAGATAAAAACTAGGACATGTAGGCAAAAGCGGCTTTCCGTTCTTTACTTCAGAAAGGTCGAGGCACCAACTCCCAAAATATTTAAGCAATGTACTAAAACTGTTGCACAGCTCCTTTAATGCCTGTATCAGAAATTTTTACCATAGATACATTTCTTGAACCACGTCGAGAAATTATGCTTCACGTGAAATATTGACGGCAAAAGAGGAAACGTGATCGTAACCTTAATAACTGCCGACTCGCGGTCTCTGGCAAAATGAGAGTCATTCAATTGTCTTGTCGAGGCGGCGCGACAGTCCAAGTGTCGTGATAAAAGTCTCGTGTGTGCTTCACTGCGGATGCGCCAGTATTTGTTGTCTTTGGTCGTGTAAAAACGTATGCAAACCAACGATAAAATCTGTGTTGACGTATGGAGTTCAGCTCTACACTCTCAGAAATAGCAGGTGTGGGACTTAACCCCTTGCCCCAAAAACTACAATTCGACGTTCAGTCCAGTAACGTCGAACCGACCATGCAACTTTCACGAACGGCTTAATAGAGAGTTTTAGTAGATCGTTCTAATAGAGAGTTTTAGTAGATCGTTCCGATACCTCCGATAGCCCCGATAACGATACAATGCATGCTCAAGGGAGGCGGTGGCGGAGTATCGGGATATCGTTATCGGAGTCATGGGAACGATCTACTAAAACTCTCTAATGACTCCGATAACGATACCCGATACTCCGCCACCGCCTCCCTTGCGCATGCATAGTATCGTTATCGGGGCTATCGGAGGTTTCGGAACGATCTACTAAAACTCTCTAGTAAGGAGTGTTCACTGGAGGCCACAGTTGTGTGCACAAATTCCGAGCGCGTGCTGATGGCCAGCTTCCGCAGTTTTTTTTTTTTTTTTTTTGCAGCGTGTATTCCGCGCAATCAAGATTTCCGGTCTTAGCAGCCTATTAATGGGAGCTCGTTATGAGCATGCGCTCAAAACAGCGCCCTCAGATATGGCGTCCAGTGAATTCTCCCTACATTCGAGTGATACAACTTATTAAAACTAGTTAATGTATACGCATTAAATACTAGAGGAAAACACTGAAGGGTTTGTTGACCCTGCTGCATAACTTTTTTTTTTTTTTTGCAGTCTTTTGATGCGTACATTAGGTACTCTGTAAGTTACATCACACAGCTATCAAGCCGCTGGTAAAAAGTTTCTATCGTCAGTTTGACGTCACTGTACTGAACGTCGAGCAGTTTTGGAGTGTTATATAAGGGACAATGAGTGTAAGTACTACACCCCATATCTCTGAGCGCAGGACGCTGTTAGGGTCGTCAGAGCCCTTTTTCGAGGTGTTCACCAACACCGTGAAGGTATAATGCGGGAGAGCACTCTTGGGGTGTTATCAGGGTTTACTCAGGATCCTCAATCTGGGAGGTGTAAACAAAATTGGAGTGTTCCTTGAGGGGGCGAGAGGGATGGGTTTGTGTTTACACCGTGGTTTGTGGACTTGGCGCGAAAAATTCTGGAGGTGTGTTGGATGGAGGAGAGTTTATTTTGCGACGTCCTATTCGGGCATTTAACCATTTCTTTGTTAGAATTTTTGTTTTTATGATTGTTTACCCACGTACCCAGTCATGCGGCTCCAGATGGGGTGGTTGGCGAACATAATTAATTAAGAATTAAAACGGTAAAAAGTAAAAAAAAAAAAAAAAATCTATAGACGGGGCAAAACAAGGGCGAGCGACATTGACCAATACCACCTAAAAGATGAAGTCCATGTGCGTGAACAGGCGTTGTTGGGGAAAACTGCTCGAGTACTAAAAGAGATTTCTGTTTGTGTTTGTGAACTGTCAAAGTGCATTGTTTGTCGCCCAAATGAAGCTAGACCTTACAGTAACATGGCCAGATCTTTTTTTTTTTTTTTTCGAGAGGGAGGGGTTGTATTAGTTTGGGAGAGTCTGCTCCCCCTTACCCTCTTTTCTGCCTGCACCAGTGAGGTTCTCAGACGGAGCGAAAGCAAGCAACGAAGACGTTTACACAAGCTGGTTGCGCGGCGACAAAACCTTTGCCACAGGATGCCCTTGTTCTCAAGATAACTTTACAAGCGGGGGAACTCTGTGGTGCGCCTGTTGTAAACCACGTAATTCACTCGGTCTAACGTTTGCAAGCAGTCACGCTTCGAAAGCAAGTCTGGCCACAGTGGGGGTAAGCACCCCGTTGGGGCGCCACTCTGGTAATTGTGAGAACGTCCTAGCAAAATTGTACTATCAGACGAATGCCACAAGCCAGCTGCAAAATGGCAGCTCCCTACGGACCGCATATGCAGGCGCGTATCGATCGGCAATATTTAGAGAAGTGAAAATCATGAGCATGCATATATATATATATATATATGTATATGGGTGGTTTCATCTCAAATCGTGCAGGCAAAAAGGGTCGAATTTTTAATTTCGATGAAAAAAATATATGTTATGGCGCCGTTTCTAAAACCGCAGTCGACACAAACCGCAAGTTCGTCGGATTTTTTGTTCTCGACTTGTGAATTTTTAAAGAGGCCGCGGCGAAAAGCAGTGTTTTTC